TTGACCAAGAGAATCTCTGTGATACCTATTGACCTACACCACAGCTTTAATATATATTAAGCAGCAAAAGAAACGTGTTTTGAATGTTCCTTCGCAGAAACGGATAATTGTAAACTCATTTAATGTTTTGATTGTATATTGTTGACAACATCTCCAACTTTACCTGAGCAAAGACATTCCTTCCCAAACTCAGAATGGAACCCAGGAAATGGTCTCAAAAACGCAACCTGATCTCGGAGATGGTACGGTTTTCTCCATGTTTTTCATGCAACTCATGCTTCACGTCCTGTTCACAAATACACCTCCAAACCTGGTTGAAATATTCTCATTACAACGTCAGCAGGATGTCGCGACTTACGACAGCTCAGAGGAACCAGGCGCTAGAACGATTTGAAGCTGGCCACACTGCACAAGCCGTTGCCAATCACTTCCAGGTAAACGTTCGGACAATCTACAGGCTGCAGCAACGTTTCAGGGCCACAAACACCACAAATGATTGCCCCCATACTGGCAGACCAAGGTGACCACAAGACGACAAGACCGCCGTGTTGTGCGACAGCATGTACAGAATCCCTTCATGCAGGCATCCGAAACAGCACGCCAGACAGTGGGAACACACGGAAGACCAATCAGTACTGATACAGTACGCCGACGTCTTAACAGCGGAAACCACCATTGCCGTAGACCTTACCGTGGACCTATCCACTCCCCTCGTCATCGGTGTGAACGTCTACAGTTTGCCCTACAACACCAAAACTGGCGATACAGGCAATGGAGAACTGTTCTGTTCACAGATGAGAGTCGGTACTGCGTATCAACTGCAGATGGCAGAACAAGAATATGGCGACGACGTGGCCAGCGTTACTCAGACCAATGTGTTATGGAAAGAGACTCATGGGGAGGTGCAAGCATCATGGTATGGGATGGAATAGGCCTGAACCAGAGAGTGGGTCCTGTGGTGTTCCAGAACCTTGGTCCAGGGAGAGGAGGCAGCATCACAGCGGTGCGCTACATCGACCAAGCTCTCAGACCCCACGTCATACCACATTTCGCAAGTCAATGGAACATTTTCCAACATGATAACGCCCGGGACCATACTGACAGAGCTACACGGGACTTCCAACAGCAGAACGGTGTCAACATTATGCAGTGGCCAGCCCATAGTCGCGATTTAAACCCAACTGAACATCCCCGGGATGAAATTCAGAGGAGACTGAATAATGTCATACCAGGGCCGAACACTGCCGATGTACTGCGCCAGGCCTTTCTCAGAGTGTGGTTCCAGGTGTCAATGGCCTTCATCAATCGATTGGTGCACTCCATGCATAGACGCTGTGCTGTAGTTATTGCTGCTCGTGGTGGTCACACTAGATACTGAAGTCAAGAGTCTGAATGGACTGCAAACGTTCACGTAATGTCTTGAAATTGTGCTGAGTTATTCATCGATGTGGCAAGATATTGTACACAAAATAAATTTTGATCCGCTTATTATGTCCATTTCTGTAATGATTTGATTACAGTGCCTGTCTAATTTTGAATTCGTACCGACGTTTTTGTGCTGCTGAGTATATAATAAACCGTACACTATGGAGGACTGACCGAGAGAGTAGTTGTCCTACAATGTAACTGGGATATATAATGACCTACACAGTAGCTGGTATATAAAATTTATTAACATATACGGTGACCTCTGCTACACAGTTGTCGTGGCAGATATAGTAATATTTAAGTAGTGTCATATAATGATCTGCATTGATGACAACAAACACCACAAATAACAGACATGCATGATTCTTTCCTTTTACAACACATGAATACACAATGAAGATTTCATGTAGCAATGAATTAAAACGTGATTCATTTTACAAAAGGTTTTGCTCTGTTTATGAGTCCTATGGTGTTTATGTTTTGAAACATCACAAGAAAAGCACCATCCGTAAAATACCCGCATTTAACAGCATGATTTTCAATTTCGGCGTGTAGTGTCACAGAATACACAATTCACATGCAATACACGTGAAAGTTGGGGATCAGATAGTCTCAATGATGGGTATAAAAGGTTAATCGCTGTCAGTAGATTATTCACTGTATTTGGAATATTGTTGACGAACGCAAAATGCCACGTCTAAGTGAAGCCAACCGTCATATCGCCATTGGTTTGCTTGAAGCTGGACAGTCTCAACGTGCAGTTGCCCGACGCATGAATGTTCACCAAAGCATATTTTACGGCTCTGGGAGAGATATCGCCGGCAGAATGCGGTATCAGATGCCCCTCGTAGTGGGCGACATCGAGCGACCACTGCGGCGCAGGATCGCTACATCAGGGTACATCACCTGCGTCTGCGAACAGCTACGGCGACCAGTACCGCTCGACAAATACCCGGATTGAGGAGGCTTTCTGCACAGACCGTCAGGAACAGGTTGAGAGAGGCTGGTTTACGTGCCAGAAGACCTTATTTTGGCCCTGTGCTTCGATAACAACATCGTCGACATCGAGTTCAATGGTGCACCAACGTTCAGGCCTGGAACCTACCGAATTGGCGTAGAATCTGGTTCAGTGATGAATCACGGTTTCTATTGGAACGACGCGATGGAAGAATGCGGGAGTACAGACGTCGACGTGAACGCTTCGCCGACGCTTGCGTTCCCCACGTGGGAAGATTCGGCCGGGACAGTGTTATGATGTGGGGAGCAATCACCAGCCGTAGGAGAAGTGATTTGGTGATGATCCAGGGCAACGTGACAGCTCAACGGTACTGTGACGAAATCCTACGCCCACATCTCCTTCCAATCATTGATCGCCAGAGGGAGTTGTTACAACAGGACAATGCCAGGCCCAACACACTAGAGACTTCCTCCAGAACCACAACATCAATGTGCTCCCCTAGCCCTCATGATCACCGGACTTAAACCCGATCGAACATCTGTGGGATGCCCTGGACAGACGGGTGCGACGCCGTAACCCTCAGCCCCAGACACTTCATCACCTCGCACAGGCACTACAGGCAGAGTGGGCTGCGATTGGGCAACACGAGATTCTGAGACTTATTCGTTCGATGCCGAGGCGATGCCGTACAGTTCTGGATGCCCATGGTGGTCACACGAAGAATTGACTTCAGCGCCACCACATGTCTGCATTCCCAGTGTGCAATTTCGGTATATTTCATTGACTCATAAAGCTTACAAGATGTTTCAAAATATATGGGATTACACTTTCTCCGTAAAGTATACATTCGAATCCAAGGTATCAGAGTCTGACACCTAGCACACAAAGTCAGTGATCTGACCCACACAGCCCCGCGGCTTCCAGACAATACGCTGTGATGAGCCACACAACAGCTCTCCCAGATGACTACCTACATAGTAGTAGCCATGCTGTTTAATCACCTACACTTTCTGTGATATATCTGTTCCTCCATCATAATTATATGTACCTATGTTTGACAATTACCTATACAGTCTATGTGATATATGACTCCTCTGTTATAGATAAACAGTTAATGGTTAATGATTGGAACAGTAGCTTCTAAAAACAATACTTTGTGAATTGATACGTTAAGCAAATTGCCAGTAAAGAAACATATTTTGAAGAACTACTCAGAAAACAAAAGCCAACTCACCACACAGAAGCAAACGGCCAATTTCTGGGACATTCTCTGGTTTGAACGCCTTATAGTTGTGGGGTCAAACGCTTTCGTGCAAAGCTTTCTCAACGTCGACACGCTTTGTCACGAAATATCTATCTGCCATTAGCATAGTCATTGGCATCGGACAATGATTTTATCACATCGAATGGTATTTCTAGTGTTGTTAACCTGAATGTCACCCAATCTTCCTACCTCCAGTGTAGAACACATTAAGACTTATCGGACATCAATAGTTTGGTCGTGAGAGCCAGGGACATATCTAGAATTTGAACCAATAGATATACTCTTACCTCCTTACCTATCCTGGTGATACCATTGTTCTCATTGTAGATAGGAATTAGATTCGATACCTGAGAATATTCAGACTATTGGTGAGCATGAAGTATGTAATAATCTAAGTTTCATTTCATTCTATATACTGTGACATTTCATTTGCCACGGTTAAATCTTTATTTAAAAAAAGATGAATTTTAGAATATATATGGTTTGGAAATGTCTTCCACATTTACAGTGTAACACGCTTCAAAGGTTTTGCTGAGGCCTTGAATGTTGCTAATTTATTGGCCAGTTTGCCATTAGACGCCCTGCACTGGGAAAACTGGTTCGTGTGGTGTAATGAATATAACAGTTGCAGTAAGTGAAATCTTTATTGATCCGTGAAGATTCGGGTTGGAATTGATGTTCAGCAATCCATGATTGTAGGAATTAACTAAAGGGAACGGGTGATCAGGCAGACTTGGGTGACACGTCATCGTATCCCAGTTGCGTAACTCGATGATGTCAACCTCTGAAGTTTCAGGTCCAGGTTTGAGTATTTACAGACCGCTGTCACACAGCTGTAGCATTGCTGATTGTGTTGTTAAACAACGTTCATTATTCCTCGACTATTGCAACAGTATTATGAGTATTGTACTGGCATAAGGCAGATTTGGTAACGCCCTAGATACAGAACAGTCGAGTGTTAGGCTCAGATTACCATAGAACTATCGATATCGATATTCTATGTTGATATTCACATTCGCGCCCCCTAAGTTTGCGTGTGAAAATATGATACTATGTGAATGGTAATAATACCTTGAGTTAGGTATAAATACCGCAATATTGTCTAACGAAGTTCAAAATCTCTTGATTTGATATCAGGTCCGTAACCCCATAGACACACGTGGATTGATCGTGCGTGGACTGATTTCGGCGGCATAAAGCATATTGTTCGTGTCCATCGGAGGAAGCATTACAACGCGATCGGGTCAGGCTCACTGACTTCGTTAAGGCTGACTTCAAATAGCTGGAGTATTCCTGGGTAGACCAACCAATATACACATGACAGTTGAAAACATGCAAAGAAAACAGTTAAAACTGCTGCATATTTATTTTTTCTGGAACATGCGATAACAGATATACACAAATGCATACATTGTAGAATTAGATTGGGTGTAGGGTGCACGAGTATTTCATCTTCTGAACACGTGAAAAGACACGTATTCTTCTGCAGATTTTTGTCCAAGTTTTTGTCCAGTCAATGAATTTGTCGTCGTGATACTTCACATAAAAACACGAATCTTTCAAAATGATAGAATATATATATATATATGACCAAAAATACTTGTCAGACTGATGTCAACATAGTGATTGTTCAAATGTAAGCAACGCAATTAACAGTAAACGTATCGACATCTTTGTGTCCCATTAAACGTCCAGTACAAGACATGTATTTCGTGGTGGTATATAACGACAGTAGGTGCAGGAAAGCATTGGTTCAGTTACAGGTCGCTGTCCCGACTTGGTTTATCAGTTAACACAATGCTCCCTTCGCGTCTCTGAAGGGTTGATCTGAGCAGAGAGTAGCCGCTTCCAGGTCGCTCGTCACACTGTTCCACTGGTGTCATAGACCGTTCCATTGGCGTGACAGATCGCTCCACTGGCGTCACAGACCGCGTCCACTCCATTGCATTCGATTTGGATGGCCTGGCCGATTCTTGCGGTGAGGCATGGTTTGATTTTGGCTGAACTGTAACTTCTCGCGGAGTGGTTGGACGGCTGATGTTACCCTGAAAACATATAGATGATTGTCGTTGTATGATGTTTATAACAGTGGTTGTATGATGTTAATAACAGTGGTTGTATGATGTTTATAACAGTGGTTGTGTGATGTTTATAAACAGTGGTTGTATGATGTTTATAACAGTGGTTGTATGATGTTTATAAACAGTGGTTGTATGATGTTTATAAACAGTGGTTGTATGATGTTTATAACAGTGGTTGTATGATGTTTATAAACAGTGATTGTATGATGTTTATAACAGTGGTCGTATGATGTTTATAAACAGTGGTTGTATGATGTTTATAACAGTGGCTGTATGATGTTTATAACAGTGGTTGTATGATGTTTATAAACAGTGGTTGTATGATGTTTATAACAGTGGCTGTATGATGTTTATAACAGTGGTTGTATGATGTTTATAAACAGTGGTTGTATAATGTTTATAAACAGTGGTTGTATGATGTTTATAACAGTGGTTGTATGATGTTTATAACAGTGGTTGTATGATGTTTATAAACAGTGGTTGTATGATGTTTTTAACAGTGGTTGTATGATGTTTATAACAGTGGTTGTATGATGTTTATAACAGTGGTTGTATGATGTTTATAACAGTGGTTGTATGATGTTTATAAACAGTGGTTGTATGATGTTTATAACAGTGGTTGTATGATGTTTATAACAGTGGTTGTATGATGTTTATAACAGGCTTCAGTCAATTTTGAAAGTAAATCAGGGTAAAGGTGAAGAGATTCCATTTCGTGGTGTTACAGATATATACAGAGGTAACCATGGAACTACAATACTTGTGTCAGTTTAGTCAGTCGCGAATGCGTGATGTAACAGCATTCCTTCGTTATAGATCAGTGTAGAACACGTCGCGTGCCCTTTCGAGTATGTAGTTGTCGAATAATGACGAAACGTGTCCAATACTCACGTCCACGGAATATTTCAGTGGAGCAGAGTCGGCCACAGTTGTTGACACCTTGTTCTTCTTGCCACCGGAAGTTAGTTTCTTAACCGGATGTGACGTGTCAGACTTCGACTTGTTCTCGATTCCATGTTCAACCTACACAGTAGAAAACAGACATGACTGTGTGTTGATGATGTGGCAGAACAATACACCTGTTCCACCGTCTTCCAGAGACTACTCCGTCTTGATTGTAAATCCACGGAAGCTATCATCTCAGTTATCAGGACAGCATGTATATACAGGAATACATTTATAGAAATACAAGTCTGTCGGTCCCAGGACGGCGCCATCATGAAACAATGATAACACCTATACGTATTCCAGACACCTTATTGTAACCATTACGGCAACCAATACCGTATTCCCCAATATGTTGGTCATAGCTGATAGGTGGCGACAGCTAATCGCCATCATAGGTTTGCGTACACATAGTAGACCTTATCAGCGTGCATTGGATATCCGGCAGTTTCATGGTGAACAGACCGTTCAAATCAGGGCTTACTATATCCTTAAATAGAAACATCGATAAATTAGAAATGTGACCTCTGGTTTCCCTGGTGCGATATTTACTTGGTCCAATTGTACCCTCATAGGTTTGAAACTTTATGTGACTGACTACATGTATTTGGCAACATAATCAATTACTTATTTAACAGATGTTGTTCGACGCAGCACCATGTATCCTTGACGAATAATGCTGCCATCAGTAATATATAGATCTGAATGCTCACCTGATCACAGGCAGAGTTGACGAATGCTGTTTTAGTTTCGGATACGTCCGGAGCTTCTCCTGCAATACGTCGCCACAACGTTGACCACTTGAGACGGCTGCAACAACCCAATGGTACACCACAATGTATTTGTTAAGTTTGTACACGTTACCTTCTGTACCTTTCATATGTCATCGCTCGGTATAAGTAACATGTTCAGGTTCACTCAAGAGACTCTCAATCTCTGACCATTACGAAGCTTATTCGTAGTTGACTGGATAGGTTGCAATTGGAACATTTACATGATGTCTTAAAACTGACTGGCTCCCCCTTTCGGTAGAAGCGCTGACCGCACAAATACGTGACTGAGTTATTACCCTGAGTTTGACAACCATGGCTGAATGTGTGATGAACAACAGAAGCACACAATGTAACTTAAGTCTACGATAATTGGTAATAGAAATGCTCATGTCTTCCGTAAGCGCTGGGACTACTTGGTCCCCGGCCATCCCTGATACTGGGTCATGCGTCTCGGTGCTGGCGAGTACTGTAGGGCGATAACGTCCATTTGAAAAGTGTTATGGAAATCACACAGGCTGACCCTACTATTGGGAGAAGGCCAAATGTACTCAGTCCTGTACGTAGTTTAGCAGGGATATGATGGTGATAAACCAAGGGTCATAATCCGGACCAATGTGGAAGTCACTCAGCGGATCCTGCAGTGGGGCCGGTGTTAACATCCCATTGATAGCCCCCAGAAGAGTTAGATCAAATAGCCAGTGTATCATTACACATATCATGCGATGGGCGTTGCTCACTCTTCCAGACACTGGTTTACACGGGGCGGACATTTCAGACGAAGGGGTGAGCGATATTATTGCTGAATACGGTATACAACAATCCCCTGTCAATAACCTGTATACAAAACACATACATCCTACTTTACTGACCCCCTTTTGACCATGAAGGAATACCATCCCAGAAAGGAGATAACGACTAGGAGCAGCAGTGTCAGCACAACTAGCCCGATCATCCATGCCTCCAGCCCGTCACAATTAGGGTCACTTTCCGGGCATGCGCAGTCATATCTTCCGATGTCGTCGTGACACACGTAGGGCCAAACACAAGGGGAGTTACTGCACTCATCGATGTCGGTGTCGCAGTTGGTGTTGGTCCAGCCAGGGGCACAATCACAGATGTAGTACTGGTGGAAGCCCTCGGCTCGTCGGTAGTCAGTGCACGTGTACTTGTCAGGGTTCTTACCTGTTTGGAATTCAAGTTGTAAGTATTATGAATGCTCTTATATCTGAGGCACAGGCAAACTGTAGCGCAAATAGGGTTGCGCAACAAAGAGAAAATGACCTGTCTTGCTATATGCGAGCGAAGCGAGCAAAGGTTGGCAATGTACTTCCCCCGCTTCGGTTCGAAAAATATTTTTAATATCAAAATAAAATATCGCCATCATCAAAGGTAGACACATATTTCCTCACAGGGTTGTGCTCTCAGATTTCCAACCATATATTTAATAATTACTCACGTAAAACATATTTAATTCAACATTTTAAGCGCCACTCGTGCCACATAAAATCGTTCTTCGCCTCCATTACTCCTGCCAGCGTCCGGTTCAACGAAGTGAAGGAACAGGGGACTTATAACACAGATCGACACATCGTTATTTGTTTGTGTTTATAATACGGACTGTGAGTTCATATATGCTATTTGTATCTTGAAATATTCTTAAGGGTGAACAAAAAATATTTTTGTGCCATACACAGTGTATAGTTCCCTGTTGTTCACCGGCTGAATAAACCTGCAGCTTTATGAGAATATTGTTTTCCAGATGTTTTTGATAGCATTGACTATTGGAAATACTTATTTCTTGCTTCCAATCTAAAAGTAGGTGACTTACTCTTGCACTTGGCTTCATTCTGACAGGGCCGCTCCATGACAGCAAACTTGAGAGTGATAATATCCGAATATAGCCCCGTCTTGTCTTGTACGTATATCCGGGTCTCGTCAAAGCCATAGAATTCTGTGTCCGGCTCGTACCGGAAGATTCTGTAGATCCAGCTCACTGAGTCTGCGCGCTGGCCAATTGTGACGACTGAACAAGGGAAGTCACTCTGGAGGGACAAGTCAACAAGTGTATGAGTGATCTCGTTCCCGAGACATATCCGGTGATGTTTAGATCACATGACTGAATTATTTCAAATGAATGTTTTAAAACATTCCTTATTCGATGAGTAATTCAATCTAATCATTCACCATCGGTGGACATGTAGACAGTGGTTAACCACAACAACAAAGGTTGATAGTGTTGACACTGGCAGTTATTCAACTACAATAACTGTGTGATGTGCATGTACATTCTAGGGGTTCCATATACAGGAAGGACTAAACGTATGTGCGGGTTTGCAATAACTGTTTGTTTATCATCAAGCCATCTAATCCACGGTTTAACGTGAATACTTTACTTTGAGCTAAATAACCAGAGGTTGATAGTATAAGCAACGTTCCACAGATGGTTTAGCAATATTCCATTAATATTAAGGCGGGGGACATCAGACATGAGCTTCACATATTGTACTCCTGTTCGGCCTGCCGAACGATCGCTTTAACCACTAGTCTACCCCTGCATGCAGGATGATCTGTCAACAAACCCACCGCGTGACTTCCAGAACAAACTACACCTGCTGGATGATCTGTCAACAAACCCACCGCGTGACTTCCAGAACAAACTACACCTGCTGGATGATCTGTCAACAAACCCACCGCGTGACTTCCAGACCGAACTACACCTACAGGATGATCTGTCGACAAACCTACAGGATGATCTGTCGACAAACCCATCGCGTGACTTCCAGAACAAACTACACCTGCAGGATGATCTGTCAACAAACCCACCGCGTGGCTTCCAAAACAAACTAAACCTGCAGGATGATCTGTCGACAAACCCACCGTATGACTTCCAGAACAAACTACACCTGCAGGATGATCTGTCAACAAACCCACCGCGTGGCTTCCAAAACAAACTAAACCTGCAGGATGATCTGTCAACAAACCCACCGCATGACTTCCAGAACAAACTACACCTGCAGGATGATCTGTCAACAAACCCACCGCGTGACTTCCAGAACAAACTACACCTGCAGGATGATCTGTCAACAAACCCACCGCGTGACTTCCAGAACAAACTAAACCTGCAGGATGATCTGTCAACAAACCCACCGCGTGACTTCCAGAACAAACTACACCTGCAGGATGATCTGTCAACAAACCCACCGCGTGACTTCCAGAACAAACTACACCTGCAGGATGATCTGTCGACAAACCCACCGCATGACTTCCAGAAGAAACCACATCTACAGGATGATCTGTCAACAAACCCACCGTGTGACTTCCAGAACAAACTACACCTACAGGATGATCTGTCAACAAACCCACCGCGTGACTTCCAGAACAAACTACACCTGCAGGATGATCTGTCGACAAACCCACCGCGTGACTTCCAGAACAAACTACAACTGGAGGATGATCTGTCAACAAACCCACCCCGTGACTTCCAGAAGAAACCACACCTACAGGATGATCTGTCAACAAACCCACCGCGTGACTTCCAGAACAAACTACACCTGCAGGATGATCTGTCGACAAACCCACCGCATGACTTCCAGAAGAAACCACGACTACAGGATGATCTGTCAACAAACCCACCGTGTGACTTCCAGAACAAACTACACCTGCAGGATGATCTGTCGACAAACCCACCGCGTGACTTCCAGAACAAACTACACCTGCAGGATGATCTGTCAACAAACCCACCGCGTGACTTCCAGAAGAAACCACACCTACAGGATGATCTGTCGACAAACCCACCGCGTGACTTCCAGAACAAACTACACCTGCAGGATGATCTGTCGACAAACCCACCGCGTGACTTCCAGAACAAACTAAACCTGCAGGATGATCTGTCGACAAACCCACCGCATGACTTCCAGAGCAAACTACACCTACAGGATGATCTGTCGGCAAACCCATCGCGTGACTTCCAGAACAAACTACACCTGCAGGATGATCTGTCAACAAACCCACCGCATGACTTCCAGACCGAACTAAACCTGCAGGATGATCTGTCGACAAACCCACCGCGTGACTTCCAGAACAAACTACACCTGCAGGATGATCTGTCGGCAAACCCACCGCGTGACTTCCAGAGCAATCAGGTGACGTGGTTACGACATCGCCAGCTGTCAGATATCCGTGTTCTGGCTGGGTGAAGTACATCGTCATATTGTCGCCGTCTACGTCGTAGGCTCCGAATTCCCATGTGTACACCGTCGGGGACGTGTCGTTCACCCTCTCTTGCTCCAAAAAGGTCTGAAATCGTGGAAGCAAATGTGTCATATTTCACCCAGAGATATATATGAATCGTGTATATGTACTCAAAGTGAAAAGGTATGTACGAGTGTCAAAGTGTAGGAGTAAACACGATGGTGGTCTAACGGTTCCTGGAGAGAAATAGCGCATGTAATTTGGTAAACATATTTTTTTTGTAAATATTTGGAAAGTTATCACGTATTTTCAGCAGCTGCCCTCAACATGGAAAAAACACACTAACACAACCACGACAGCAAACCTGGTCATCCAGCCCATTATGTTAACTTCAAGGACAAGATCACCCAGATAACCAAAGTTTTGGTTTATGCATTTTCTCAGATTACATGGGAGAGAGTAAAAATCTAATTTCTATTACGAGTATTGGTTCTGTGTGGTCTGGGTTTAGGATGTTGACGTTGTCACTGGCAGCGAAGGCGGTGGGAGCATCAGCGACGGATACAACGATGATGGTGACGTTGACGGTGACTTCACTTGGGGGAACTCCATCTATGGGGACTTCATACAGAACAACAGATATCTCCACAACACCACTGAAGTCAGGGGCAGGGGTGTACATCAGTCTGTAACAAACATGACAACTTTCAAAATAGTCAGAGGCCCCATGTTGTCTCTATTGTCACGTCCATCTGTGATCTCTATTTTTAAGATTGGACAAATCATGAACAGTAACAAGAACGTGTGCGCATGTATGCTAATGTTAGTGTTGTATACTTCACGTACATTCCATTCTCTGAAAGGGTCAGGTTGTCTACAGGTATGTCATCCTGGTCTATCCTGAACCGGACCTCATCCCCATCACCGTCCGCTGCCTCCAACATGTACACCATTGTGCCTGAAGCATACATCAGTATTATAATATACAGTCAATCACCCTTGTGTCGAAATTGAAGGACCTGCGCAAATGCTTCGAGTTATCAGACGATGGCCACAACCGAAGCATGATTGTTAGGAAGACACCCGCAGCGAGTAAGCTTTCACCTCGAGATAAACGTAATATCGACACAGGGAAGTTCAGCACAATAGTGTTTGATTGTTTTATTGGGCATATATAAAATACAACTTCCACAGGCATACACAATGTCTTCCTGCTTGATGACTATATTTTAAGACGATAATTATTACATCCCAAACCTGTGCTGTGAGGATGCAGTTGAGTAGATGCAAAGCATTTCATCTTCATGAACAACTCTACTTAGTCCTGATATATAATTCTAGCTACATCAGCTGTTAATTTCGCAAACTGATTCAGGTATGTCGCCATGTCGATCTTTACATCCATTCCTATGAGTGAGGGGAATGTGTTTAAGTAAATTATATTCCAACTATACCACGGGTTTCTGTAACTATGTCTAATGTCTTCAAAGTAAAGCTTGTAGTTGTTAATAGCACAGCACACAATTATACACGGCAGGCAGCTGATCCTCATTCTGCTGATAAACACGCGGTAATGGGGACACCCGTTCTCCTCATCAGAACACCACCCCTCTACCGAGAGATCAGATCCCTCCGGAAGAGCCAAAATTCCAATTTACCTTGATCTTCATCAATTTCAAAGAGGGAATGTCCAGTAATGCTTGGTCTGTCGTTGGGTATTTGAATCAGAACTGGTGTGATGAGAAACTGAGTAGGCTGGCTGAAATAGGCTGATTCAGAGGCTGAGCGGCGGCGTCTCGTTGCCTGGTTACCGCCCCTCGTGCCACATACCTAAACACCAACCCAAACACGTCAGAAGTCTAGTTTAGTGACTTTGATTTAAGAGTTAGTACAGTTACATATCTTCGTGGCTCTTGGAGACCTGCTTTGAGTATGGGTATGGTGCTGATAAATCATTGTAATCAGGTTGAATATTAGGATTTTTTAAACGAACAATCATCAGAGGTACACCGCTGACCACCATGCAGCATCGAAGTGCGTAGTGAGACTCAGCAATGGCAACATCGTTACCAGGACATACCAAAACGTCAAATTACATTTTACATTGTAACTCTTGAATGCAGTTGATTAAGAGTGGGCGAGTGAGTTTAGTTTTACGCCGCTTTTAGCAATATTCCAGCAATATCACGGCGGGGAACAAACGAAATGGACTTCACAAATTGTACCCATGTGGGAAATCGAACCAGAGTCATCGGCGTGACGAGAGAACGTTTAACCAACCCCACCGCCCCCAGCAGTTGGTTCAGAAACGTCTGCAAGCTCAGTAGTGATATAAAGGCATGACTAATTTCAGATATATTAACTCTACGTTAAGTTGCCGTACAAGGTCAATGGAAGAGATTAACATTACTTTGACTTTGATGACAGAGGATTCCGGGTCCTCAACTTCTGTGTTGAGCTCGGATGAGCATGTCTGACTGCTATCATGCCAGGATTGTGTATCTGAGTAAAACAAAAACGAACATTCTCATTGTACTTAAACTTTCTTTGAAAGATGGTTGTAGAAATGAATGTCTGAGTATGTTTGATGCTCGCCCTAGCAACACTGAACACATCTACCGGCGGACGGCGCAAGGCATTCAAGTATTTGACATGTGCATAACAAGTTAAGATAACATACATGTTACGGGCAGGGCCCATGTTGTCACATGTACTTGACATTATGACTTCCAAATATATATCACATACAGACAAGGTAACCATTCCATTAGTATCTGGAACGAATTGACAAATCACAGCTATATTCTTCCAACTGGCGACTCATAACCAAGTGAAACAAAGACATTGGGTTTCTGTGTATCCGCCATGACTATCATCAGTCTCCAGTACCGTTCAGTTACCGTGTTGTAACACTGAGGACATGTGTTAGGTTGATGTTGTACATAACAACCTGAGGGCTTCGACTGTCGTATGTCTGTATAGCGTTATGGGAACTACGATCACCCTAGGGCTTCGATCGCATTCTATGACAATATCCTTTATTTGCCCAGGAAGTAAAGGAAGTCGAACCTACCAGGGTTCCAATGGAGAAGTTTGTACTTCCTCTCCATATCCTCCGGTTCATATGGAAATGTAACAGTGAGTGGTCCTGACATAGCGAGGCCACCGACGCTGGTGATGGAGAAGGAGGTGTCCCTGTGGGAGTAGTTTAGTCTCTTCCTGAGAACTCTGGCCATGAACGCCGGGTCGGTCGCTGTTGTATCAGGATCCGTGATGTACGGGACAAACTCTGTAGACGCATCCGATCTGTAATCTTTTTCCAAATCTTCCCGGTTAAGTACTGTTACGGCTACTGACTGTCCGGATTTTAGACCTAGGGAGAGCATAAATGAAGTGAAGTTTATGAGTGTTTTCACAACCCCTAGTGTACAGTACACAACCCTGTGCACTTAAAAGAACCCACGAATCCGTTGGTAAATGACTAGATGGTGACCACATGAGTACATGCAAACACCTAGTTGCGGTTACAGCAACATGCAGTAAACTTGGACAAAGTACTGTAACTATGTGTCCCAGTCCACCCAGCTGTGAATGGGTACCTCACAAGGATGGGAAGGCCACATTAACTTGGTGCACCTAAATTGCTGCAAGAGTTGTATAATCCTCAGGGACTTTAGATTGTAAAATATACGTCCCGCTGAGATTGACATCCAATGATCGAGGAAAAAACAAAGGGCCTTTGAGCAGCTGAGCTGGATATTGGCGTTATACAAATATAATATATGAATAAAACACCCATATGAAAACAAAATCGGAAATATCTGTTAAATGTGAGAGGAGAGCCCGAGTAGCTACATGACAACTACATGAAACAAAGGTCGGTCGCAGACATGTGATATTTAACACAATATTATACATTGCAATCAGCATTTTATTCAATACGTTTTTGTAAAGTTAAGTGTGAAATAGTAATTGAACTACTCACACGACATGACGTTGAACCAATATAAACTGACCACACAGACGCATGTGACGATTATATGTGAAAGCATTAAACAATATAAATAACTATATTACTAATAACTATAAATAATGTTTCATCTTTATATCCTGTTCATCCTCAACTTATACTTATAAAGTTGAACCAGTGCTCATCCTCAGCCAAAGCCGCCGCCATATAGCTGGAATATTGCTGAGTGCGGCGTAACACTAAACTCAGTCACTCACCTCTGAGCCAAAGGTTTACCTCTAACTCACGTCTATCATCTCATATGCTTCTCACATTCATCGTCAACCAATGTTTCGCCTTTACCTCAAGTCATGTCTTGATCCACACCTTGAATCAACTCCCTACTCTACCACTCACCCGTTGGAGTTTCTACAGACACTTTCGAGGCTGCCCTTTTCCGCCTGAGACTAATTGCTCCATCCATCATGATGCTGACCGGTAGGCCATTTGGTCCAGTCACCGCCAAGTGTGTCGACTTCGTCTCAACGTACGACGACCCGATGAGTTTGGCGGTACATCGACCAGCCTCGTTACACATCTTCATAAAGATGAACATCTCCGTTCCAGGAGCCATTGTGAAGCGTGTCTTGTCGAAGGGGGTCGTTGATCCAGTCACTGGCGTCCGGTCGGTACTGGTTCAGCTTATGAACCTTCTCCCCGTTTATCTTCAGATAGCCATCTTCTATGGTGACGGTTCCAGACTGATTGTAGCCTACCCAGGTACAGGGGAATATGTCGTCTGGCACTGATGCAGAACTCCCCACACAAAAATCTGCAAGCAAAGAATAATGAGTTCGGGAGGGTATGGTGGTTCGGGGACTCGAATGATTAACCTCAATGCACGATATGGGAACAGAACAATCGTTCGGCGTGACGAGAGAACGCTGTAACAACAAAGATCGCCTATAGACTCACCGTATCTCTTGATACTTGGATCCTTGCTGATCGTCCATGAGGCACCCACAGAGTTTTGATCGTCCGTTTTCATGGCGTTGTCTGGTATGACGTCGTCTGCAAATGGCTCAGCGCCATCTATTGTGGTGTTGACGTCATCGACCACAGGGTCTTCAAGCAGCACGGTCACCCCTTTGACCAAATAGCAGAAATGACATCAAATGTTCATACTTGTCATATATCTAGTGATAAACTTAACATTGTAATATTACAAAATAATCTCTAAAGTCAAAACATTGCAATATCTTTATTCACATAACAGTGTTAAAATCAAGGTCAGTGAGTTGCAGCTATCCCGTCGTTTTGTAGTCTCAGGAACATCCAGAAATATGTGTTCTCACAAGCGGGGTGACATACATTTAGTGTTATTTTTGCTCGTGTACCTTTCTTGTCTTTATATGTTGTAGAGAGGCCTCCGCTATTCGTGCAGCGGACTGTCACGTAGTAGGTGATGTTATGACGCAGTATGCCGGCAAACCCGGCGTTTTCCCCGCCTGGGTTCTCCCCCCGTCGACGTGAACGTCTGTAGCTCGTCACCCCCCGGGATGCGGCCTATCGCCCACTCGTAGTTCTGAATTGTGCACACATCACGAAAAGTGAGGCAGTGTGTTGTAATATATCTCATTATAGTAGAGCAACGAACTGGTTACACGGTCTTCAACGATACATGTGTGGCTATTCAATACTGTAATGAAGAGCTCATCTGATGAATTTCAGAATATCAGTACAAAATGTACACAGTAAGCAAGCAAGTCTTTACGTTGCATGTATCTGTGTTTTGGAAACAGTATATGCGTTGGAAACCTCAAACGGGATTCACATCCTGTGCCCGGTACCAGGACCCGTCATGACAGTGAAATGATTTAACCAGTGGCTACTAGGAAATGACTCAAGTGTACGTCTTATGGTACACACTAGCGGTGGTCCGATTAATTGAAAAAAATCGAAGATTGGTCGCAGTGACTAAACGACCAAGCAATCGATCATGTTTTCTCATAACCGAACACAAACAATTCTGGAACACTTTTTGCATTAACAATATTTTTCACACGGTTGGTTTTATCTGTTACATTTCATGAACACGACATGCTCGTTTCAAGTCACAATTGAATTTATTTTAAAGACGACAAGAAATGTATTTCCCTAACATACTAGTCATCCTTTAAAGATGTGCAATTTGCAAAAATACACCCCAAGGAACTGCATGTTTTTTCTTTATTTTTTGTGCATTAATTTTGTGGGAAATTTAATAAATGACGCTAACCAATTATTTTCGATGATTGATCGGTTGTAATGAACCAATCACCAATTATGAGATTTTAACCAATTTACAACACTAGTACACACATCGAGCACCTTATGGCGTAGCTGTTGACAGAACACGAATCATAGTCATCCTTGAAGAGAAGTCATGCTGTTGATCCCTGGATTGTCTGGCCCAGGTCCGATTATTTACAGACCGCCGCCATAAAGCTTGAATATTACTGAGTGCGGCGTAAAACTAAACTCACTCACTCACTTCAAGAGAAGATTCCTCAAACGAATATCCTCTGTGGACTCACACCACATTCAGTATATCCTGCTCATCAAGGCATTACCAGATACATGACCTTCAACCCTGTCAACGCTTTTAGTTATAATGTCTAGTAAAAAATATATACCGTGTTGAAAACTAATACATCTGAGAAGTCCAGGAAGACTGAGGTATATAGCCAAATCCCTAAACTATGATGGAGGCACACAGACATACTACTATTGCACTCTCATTGTCGCTGCACTTCCACACAGCTTTGATGGTGTCGTTGGATCCCTGGAATGAGGAAGGTGTGAAGTTGCCTTGGTACACGTCCATGTAGAGCATGAGGTCGTGGTCGAAGTAGGGCTGGGTGGTGTCGACGGAGAAGCCGTCAGAAGAGGATACGGCTGACAAGCCTGACCCCAGAACTGCCTTCACTAAAACAAAAGGGAAGTGAGTGACTTAGTGGGTATGGTGTTACGCCGCTGTGAGCAATATTCCAGCAATATCACGACGGAGGACACCAGAAATGGGTTTCTCACATTGTACCCATATTTGGAATCGAACCCAGGTCTTCAGCTCGATGAACGGACGCTTTAACCATTAGGCTACCCCAGGGCCCCAAATGGGACGGGAAGTAATGGGTCGGCCTCCTCATCCCCACACAACGTGCCCATTACTTTTATTCCCGGAATCTTACAAATGAAATGAATAGAGCTGGACGTGATCTAGCAATGTTACCTGACTCAGATATTAGTTCTCTTCCTCTGTGTCATTTTAATTTCCAGCCCTTTGTTACATGTAAAGTATGTTATATTTGGGACCACACTTTCTCAGTAAAGTACAGATTCTAGTACATTTGTTGGGTAGAATGTCATTTTGATACAGTTGATTAGGTGCCTGACTCTGAGGGTGTGAGGTCAAATCTCGGATTGGACTCAACCTAACAAAAGTACTAAAATCTGTACTTTATACATCAGCGTTTGTTGATACAAGTAAACAATCACACACTATTTGAACCTCAGTACAGGAAACTCTCCGAAAGCTACTATTGAGTGGAGAACAGATGTGTTATGACGCTGCCCATACAGCAATACCTTACATAATTACCTGGAATCGAGGACAGAACGAGGACACACAGAGATTAAACACTTCTGATATTCGAACAACATTATAATACATGAAGCTCACTCAAAGAAGGTGTTCGAATAGTTTAACTACAAAATATCGCATGGGGTGATATTGTACATGTAGATGATAAGGTATATAGAGAATCTCACTCAAGTGTCTACTGATATCACTTCTTTATCAACACGAGTTGATAAAGTTACAAATATCCGAGGCTTGCCGATATTTTTACCTTTATCAACGAGTGTTGATATAATTGATATCAGTAGACACGAGGGTCAGATTCTATTTATCATCAAAATCATTCTTCATTAGCTTTCAATGAAAAATGCACATCTCTCAACACTGTACTACCATTAGCTTTGCAGTGCAGCGATGTCATAGCATTGTGACGTCATCAAGTTGATGATGTCATAGCATTGTCAGGGCATTGTACAAAATCTACTGTCCAAACGATATCTCCGAGGAGATATCATATGATCTCACACAAGCGATATCTCCTGTGGAACACAGTTTTGGATGATAAATGTACTTACCTGCTGAATAATAAAATACTGACTACGTGCCCACTTTATAATACAATACTGATTACTTATCTGCCGGGAAAAAAACAATATTTACATGCAAGATAATAAGGTATCGATTACGCACCTGTTAGATAATAAGGTATCGATTACGCACCTGTTATATAATAAGGTATCGATTACGCACCTGTTATATAATAAGGTATCTATTACGCACCTGTTAGATAATAAGGTATCGGCTCAGTCTTCCCATTTAGTGTTGCTGTTTCATTCAGCGAGAGGTCAGTCAGGCTGAATCTGACCTGCTCTGTACGTGACTTGTCACATGATGTGTTACAGCTGTAAGTGTCACATGGCCTCAAACAGGGTACACAGGGGCTATATATCTGTAACATAGGCACACAGGGGCTATATGTCTGTAACATGGGCACAGGAGCTATATATCTGTACCATCGGCTCAAAGGGGTTATATAACTGTAACTTGGACAGACAGGGGCTATATATTTGTAAGATTGGCACATATGGGCTATATATCTGTAACGTCGGCAGACAGGGATTCACTTCTGTATGGTTGTGATCAGAAATGTTAGGGGGAATACTTAAACTTTATAATCACTGTTATGTTGAGACATATCTAGATACTAATCCGTTAACAGTGTTATACACCCTATATACCTGAAACCACCAAGCTTGTCTCAGTCCTAATCACAGTTATTATTGAGCCATAACGTTAAAAATATAATGAAAACTTTTAAATATTACAATTCTCTCTCAGCTGGGTCGTTCTGATAGACACGATGGTATTAACCGCAGCGACAGCTTTAGGATAAAAGTATGCATTGTTCATACTACAACCAACACTTAGACGCATGGATGTATATCGGGGTAATTCCTCAAATCATTATCAATCATTCAGCCCTCTGATTATGACCACTGGCATTTTGACACCAATTGCCGATAAACTCCGTTATCTCACACCATACTCTTGCGGCGGTTCTCTTTTCAGTCTATTTATTAATGACTATTCTCTGGTTTACAACTCAAGAAGCGACTCGTGTCACATTATAATATTTGTTCAGTATTAAAAATGACACTTTGATATATTCCATAGGCAGAACCGTCGCAATAATATTGATCACTGGATTGTCGAATACAGGTTCGAACACATACCATATTTCTTCATACAGCTTCACCCGTTCTGAGAGTTGCGTTACACTTTAATAATCTAATAATATTTAATTTTCTCTCGTAAGTATAAAAGTAGCAAAACTTATATAGCGAATTTATCCCAAATCGATGCTTTCATTCACTTGTAATGGGCATGAATGTCGTTTGCTATTACATAGAATAAGTATATTCTTATAAACCTAAACCTTTGTTAGGTGTGTTAGAAGTTAACAGGTTCTCTGGCTAAACTGTTCGGTCCCACAAATACATAACCTAAACATTTACAACTACCGTGACAACACTCTCATCTTACCGGGCGGAACGGTACGACATCATTTTGACCTGTCTTCAGCCCGATCCCAGCTTCGTAACGAACTATGGCATTGTTTCCTCCACGGAACGGATTACCATAGCGACACAGCTTCCCCAAATCAGGGGGCAATTCCATGTTTCTAAACGATGCTCTCTGTTCCCAAACCCGGAGGTAATTGGACCCGTCTCTGCGAGTAGCAGGCATATAATTCTTGTGGTTCCATATTCCCAGGAATATGTTGGTGTTTGATGACAAATGAGGGATGCCACACTGGTCCGATATGTCCACTCCGTCCATTTCTATCTTCATGCACCAGGTGGCCTGTATGGGTGGGGACAGACAGCAGATCTACACACTAATCAGTTACGCCTAGAAGATCTGTCGTGTGGCGATGTTACAAGTAACCGGTGCTTCTCGAAAGATGCAGTTACATGCACTGGTTGGTCGTGCTCGGTTACATGGTAAAAAACCCAGCCATTGTACCGATATTAATCAGTGGTTTACAGGACCAGACTCGATGATCCGCATACTACCAAAACATGGCTGGATTATTGAGACACACATGTAAAGGTGTTTGAGAACGATTACAGTAACAGTGTATATACACAGCTGGACACATGGCAGCGTGGAGCCTTGTTTGATGGTTATTCAACGGTTATGTATAACGTACGTGTATCATGGGTGTATTTGGGACCTTAGCAGTGTTTAGTCGACTGTTTTCAGTTCTTTGACGTTGTGATAACGTTTGTAATTCAAGATTTAAGGGCGCCTGTCAGCATGTACTGGTATTTCTTGTCAATGATACTTCGTGAACCGAATATATGTCGACCTTGTTTACAGTTACTGACAATTTAACAAAGCAGATATACAGGGTTAAATTACACAGAACTACTGGAATGTGATACTTTTGAAAGATGAAGTATCACATCCAATGAGATTGTCTGTAAGACATCAGGTTCAAACAATAATACAGTGTGGGTACCAAAACAAAGCTCTTCTTAACATACTAGAACTCGCTTTTGCTCATGATGAAAAATAAAATATGATACGCAGATGTTTTTCAGCTTGACGAAAAACACAAAATATGCTTGTCGGCATGATGAAAAAGACAAATGTGCTTTTTCATGTGATGAACAAACAGTTAAACCCATGAATGGGCAGCTACCGCCCGTGTATTGCTTGTCATTCCATTGCTTGTCGTTACAAGACATCAGATGTCTCACCGCGGAATCCTTGGCTTCCTCCCTGCTGATGGTGTAAGAGATGGTGTAGTCATGGTAGTCGAGGGACGGATCTACATCGAGGTCCCGGACAGTCTCCAGAGCCCTCATCATTGGGTCCTTGAAGATGCACCATGCAACCAGCCTGCCCTTCACGGACTCGTCCTCCCCTTGGTAATAGAAGCAGTAGGATTTCTCATCCATACACGATACATCGATACTATTAATCAATACATGTTATGGCATTTATTTGGAAAATAGCTGACATATCAGTACGGTTATATTAGACAGGAAAAGCATATACACCAGCCGTTCTGACCTTTTTGTAAACTATTGTGCAGTACAGATTGTTTCAGAACTTAGTTTAGACACACGGAGATCTTACTGAGATTGTTTGATAATTAGCTTAGGTTACCTGCAGTCTTTAGTTATTCATATAGAGTACAGTTATACACCGAGCAGGTAAAACCAATCAGATTTCACCAAGTACACACGTATGGCTCAATAGTTGAAAACATGATATTGGCATCGCGTCAATGGCTATAATTCGATGGCACTTGTATGGCCAATACATAGATATTTCAAAGTCCACAAAAGCTTCAACACGAAGCTTGCTGGCATATGAATAATACAGTAACAACTGACGAACTAATAACGTATGACGCGCTGAAAACAAGTATACACGTTAATGTTCAGTTAAGATGAACAAACTTTACTCTTCTCACTGGCAAGCCGTTGTGTCCTGAATCTTGGACATCTGTTCAACCCAGGTTGTTATTAACTGATACAGGACAATTTACATGCTAATGTGTACACAGCTGAAGCTTAGAGTCACACGTCTATAGCATGTACCTGTGTGTTTAAATATCTGCATTCCACATGCATCTTGGGGGTCGCTCTTTGGTTTTACATATATGTCTTTATTTTCTTTAACTCTCGTCACGTCGAAAACAGATACCCCAATAGGACTGAAAACAGGTGGCCTGAAGTGAAGATGTAAACCAATCTCTTGGACAGTGGTAGTAGGCGTTGTAGTGGTGGTGGTGGTGGTTGTCGTTGATGTAGTGTTTGCAGATGACGACTCTGTTGTCTGCAGACGTCTGTAGTGGTCTTTTGCTAGCATATACTCCTCACAGTTGCACTTGCAGGTCTGAAAACACAGCATGGAATCTGTGTATCCTGCACGTATGTAACAGGTGTGAAATATATACAGTAAGATGTAAAATATTTTTGACAACAAGTGAGTGAGAGAGTGAGTTAGAAAAGGGCTTCACACATTGTACCCATGTGGGGAATCGAACTCGGGTCTTCAGCGTGACGAGCGACCGCTTTAACCATTAGGCTACCCCACCGCCCCGTTGACAACAAGTGATTATATGAAATATACTACTGCATAGAACTCGATAAGACAAGTGTTCTCGTCATATAACTTTGTGATTTAACATCACGGGTTCTGGACCTTGTGGTAACAGCATTGAGCAAGTGAAGGTTCATTTTCGACTCCCTGAGGATCAAATAACCATTCCGGACAAAGAAACACCACCGTGCTTGATATCAGACAGGAAAAACACACGGATGAAGTTTTTTTGGAAAGTAAACTAAGTTCATTTTAGGCAACAGTCACCACAAAACGGCTACTTAGTCGTTTCGTACCTGCTCACAGGGGTACATATGGAAGATCGTAAATTAACACTTTTTTAATTTTAATAAGGATGGAGAAATGTATACATTTCAAGATACTTGATATATTGATGCACATTATCACAAAAAGTTCTGCTGAGGTCAGGTCTATCTTACGTCCCATCACATCTCATGAGACCACTACCTGTTTTATGTGGTACAGAGGACAGGTAACGTATATGTTTAATGGCATCTAATCTCAGTCTACGAGGCATCGTTCACCTCCTGTCTACGAGGTAGACAAGAGCCCAGTCATGGTTACCTCTGGTACAGGTTCCTCCTCACAGCAGGCACAGTTGGAGTCTGCCCAGCTCGGCGTGGGGGTGAAGTCGTTGTTGAGGATATAGTCCTCAGGCCCGTCCCAGAACACAACACTGGTCACTGGCCGGCTGTCACGGTTTTCTTTTTTTGATGTTCTCCCTGCACCCGGAATGTTTACAAACATTCCCCCGAACTGAGGCCGTATGTTGACTCTAGGTTCTGACGTTTGTTCACCTGCTGCTTTGATTGACATCTGTGTGGGGAAAACACAGAAGGTGGATATCACGAGACAGATGATAAGGGACACCTTAAGCTTAAACCGTTACTTCAAACCGTACATGTAGATATAGGTTCCCTTGCCAATTTGGGTACAATATCTTAAATATCAAACTGTGCAATAAAAAACAAATCCCGTAAATTTAAACGATTGTAAAAGTTTCTACATATTTAGCAATTCTATTCGGAACATGTATCCTTTTATGTCATTCTATCATTTTCACTTTCAGTTTCAAATGAGTGTCTACCCAACGATGACTGTTGCATTGTGCGAAGTTATCAGAAGGAAGGAAAATCATATTTTATACCGCCACAACAATATGTACATATTTTGGAGATGTGTTAGTTTGACAAATACTGTTTCGTTAAGAACTATTCGTGGAAACTGGACATGTCGATACAAGTTCTTATGATGCATTATTTTGATATTTTGAAAGTTTAATACAACTCGTCCAGAGATATCCATGTATCGCCCATGGAAAATAACTAGTGGCTGACATCTGTTCAGGTCGCTAAAAGCTGTAAATGGAGAATATGGTATGAACTTTGTATCTACAGTTAGTCTATTCTGCATCACGTTTCTTACCTTGTATACCCCGCCATTCAATAGATCAGCGTTCCTGTAGTATCCGCCAGAAAACATCCTGGGTTTCTTGGTGTCTCGGGCCAGTTTGATCTCTACCTCATCAGCCTTGGGATGAACGTTCTCCTGTCTGAAGGTCAAGGACAAGCTCTTGCCCTCTCCGACGAAGTTACTATCTGACGTGAAGAATTTCCATTCTCTGTCGTCAAACTTGACTGGACGCCCAGGGCAACCAGATGAATCAGGTATCGGATGGTGCAGGAACGTGCCTGAAGCAGCAGAGGTGTGTGTGTGTTTCACTTTGATACCCAGATGCCTACATCATACATATGTATTCACATATGATCTCTTTGACAATACCATAATCCTGTATTTAATATATTTTGATCTCACTTTTTGGCTCTACCATACGCGCTCATCTTAATATTTACTTCACTGGTGACAAACATGCACGCTTATTTTACATTTTTGACAATGGCCATATCACTCGCGTGTATTAACCTTGACCTCATTGACGCTCCAGGCGTGGTTACCTTTGATCTCATTGGCTGACCCCATCCAGCTGACGTCCGTGGTGAAGTCGTGGCCGTCAACAACGTGTCCTGGGGAGGGGATGGAGTCGTCGTACAGGACGGGGGGGGAGAGTCAACCGTCGTCGATAATCCAGCGTTATTGTCAGCCATGAACCTCACAAAGTATGGGACAGACCCCTGTAAATAGATACGCCAAATATACCGCCCGCAGAACTTGGTGCCGAAGACACATGCATATGTATCTTAGTATCGAGGTACTGACAGGTAGAACATAGGAGGATTAGTTAGTGAGTGAGTGGGTGATATTGGTGTAACCCTGCCAAGGATATATATCATTTCCTTTGAGGGTTGTGGCGGGATGCACAAAGTGACTTAACACCGTGTCCTAGACGTTTCTGAGAAGTTTATATATCACAGATTATATTATCACTGCCCTGAATAGCAGTCTATTCCTTTATTAGACCTCATGGTACGGTTATGACCTGACGGTCTGTAGGTACCTGCAGGTTCAGGTCCATGAATGTATATGATGTAGTGTTGGTGTCGAGGGTGAGGGCTTCCACCACCAGCTCCTCGGGACTGCCCGGGCCACAAGAGATGTTCTTCAGAAGGGCCACAGAATAGCTCTTTATTCCTGACTCGTCGTCAATGAAGTTCTTCCAGTGCATGGTCAGTTGAGTTGGCTTAGCTGCATAACTGGAGGCCTAAATGGAAGTATAATGACAGTACATTTGTCATGGAATCTTACAAATATTAAATCACAAAAGCTCATACCAAAGACCATAATGAACAAATTGAGATCAAGTAAACGCCTTGTCAGTCGTAATTATAACCGACGGCATTAGTACCTCTGTTTTGCCATAATGTAAGGTACCTAGAAGAGCTAAGTCCGTGATGATATGTTCGTAAGCCAATGTCACTATAGTCCGTTTGGCTCAAAAGTGGACCGATGAATTGCAATCTAACTCGAAAACTAATAAACATAAAATACTCCAGGAAACAATGATCATAATCAAAACTTCGGACCAACTCTGTGAGGTTTTTGCAGAAATTTATGTCCTAAAATTAAAAGATGTTTAACAAACAATCATTAAAATATTGACACAGTTCATTATTTGTTACGAGGGAGGAGTGCAGAGAAAAGGGACAGCCAGGTGTGCGAGAAAGGATGGAGACGGCACAGCATAGGTTGATGAATCAATAACTTTGTCGGCACTTGTGCACGTGCTTCTCTAACACCTGGCTGTCCCTTTCTCTGCACTCCTCCCTCGTAACAAATAGTGAACTGTGTCAATATTTTAATGAGTGTTTGTTAAACAACTTTTTTAATTTTAGGACATAAATTCTGCAAACAAATCACAGAGTTGGTCTGACGTTTTGATTATGATCAGCGTTTCATTGATTATTATATGTTTACTAGTTTTCGAGTTAGATTGAAATTCATCGATCCGCATTTGAGCCAAACGCACTATAGTAGATGTGTAACACACCACGTCATTATTGATCATAACATAATGTCTCAGTCAGCTGTGTAACATACCAAGTCATAGTATGGACCCGCTCTGATCTTGCCCTCAGTTGGTGGAGAAGCATCAACTGTGAATCTGTGACTTGTCATGTTGCAGACACCGGCCTTGTTTACACCTGACAAGATAAATAATCGATAAGATTGATCTTCAAACCACAAAGAAATAGCACCTGAAACATTACAAAATCTTTTGCGGAAAACAATAAAATATAAATCTTTTGCGGAAACTTTGTCCGGTCTTTAATCTATATCGTTATGGGTTGATACCACCAGGTTGCGTTCGTATTTCAGAAACAGCACTCCCAAGAACAGTGGGGAAGCTGTACAAATAGGTATGTCTCAACGGAAACAAGACGCCGTCAAAAGCCTTTACACGAAGCTCACGTTACACCAGGAACCAGGGTGTTGATATAAGTGAAGGTTACTGTGAGACATTAGCGCTAGCAGGAATTCTTTGTATCGAAATGTCTCTACGACCAATACATAAACTGTTTTTGATCTATTCTATTTTCAGTGAATTTGAAATAGTAAAACAGCATAAGTCTGTATATGCAGCCGCAAGAAATGGGTTTATCTACGATTATCTAGCGCGTGTGATATATGGACCGCCCTTGACAAACACGCGATCACTTTACTCAAGGAATACACTCTGTCATCCGGTTTCCATGGCTCCTAGATACCATGCTACGTGACTCATTGCTATAGGCTCTATCGTCAGCAGCTTACCTATTATCCAGACATAGTATCTTGTGTTATGGAGCAGTGTGAGGTTGGTGAATGTGACGAAGGTGTCCCTGCCGACGTTGTTGACATCGGCAATGTTCATTACACTCTGTCTCTCCTCTTTGGAGATCAAACCCATCTCAGTCTGCAGACACAAGATAAAGTCTTATAACTTACACACATGCTTACAAACAATACATAAGGCTGCAGCCAGCACATAACATTACAACCAATACACCAGATTAGAATCAACAGATAAAATTGCTCACAAATATTACCACCAATAGGCACTATCACAGTTAGCACACGAATGACGAATCAACATACTTGATTACAATTACATTTGGTAACAGTGCACACACATGATTACAGCCACCAGGACCAATTACAACCTGCAGATGTTATCGCAAACAGTAGGTGATTAATTCCAACACAGACGATTACATTAATGACATTTTAATTACATACAACGCAGACAATACAGTTAGCACACACAAGATTCAACAACCAACATAGAGGCTACAACTACTAGTGGTGGTCCGATTAATTGAAATAATCGAAGATTGGTCGTAGTGACTAAACGACCAAGCAATAGAACATGTTTTCTCATAATCGAACGCAACCAATCTTGGAACACTTGTTTGCATCAACAATATTTTTCACAAGGTTGCTTTTGTCTGTGTCATTAAATTTACATTTCATAAACACAACAAGCTCGTTCTAAGTCATGATTGAATTTATCTTAAAGAATCCAGGAAATCTGTGTTCCTAACATCCTAATAATCCTTTAAATATGCAAAATTTGCAAATGGATTTTGTTTAATTTGCAAAAAAAACCAAATTACATGTTTTTCCTTTATTTTTTACAAAGACAACAGGAGCATTTGATAAATGATGCTAACCAATTATCTTCGATGATTGATCGGTTGTAATGGACCAATCATCAATTATGAGATTTTAACCAATTCCCAACACTAACAACTACCATAGGCCACCATAGCCCCAACCAACACGATGACATTCAACACACAAACGATTTCAACATAAACTCCAGATTACAGTCCATCCATAAGATTACAAAACACAAATGTTATTGCAACCAACACACACAGTTATGGGACTGGGTAGTTTCCAAACAGACAATACCCAACTGAATGTTACTACCTGCGCACCTTATTACACTCTGAACAGAAGATGACATACAACCAACATATAGATTACATCCCATTCAATCTTAATTTCATCCTTATTTTTATGTAAGTAGCGACCGAATTCCCTACATCCAGTATCCTATATGACAGCGGAAACATGGTATTTAAGGCAACATGTCATGAGTGCACAGCATTTAACTGACATGGACACTATGGTACTATGAGCTCCAAAAGAAATGTCTCCAATACACTTCTCAGGCTTTAAACTGGTGAATAGAATAGAATAGAATAATACATGTACTTTAATGCCTTTTCAGAAATTTGTGTTACATCAGCAGAGCTACTGACACATTAGAGAGATACCAAACATATTTACATAAATTCTTTTATTTAGGTATCTTCACATTTGTTTAAGAGAGATATGGTACTTGGAATAAAGAATGTTCGGGCTCTCTTAGTTTTTGGAACTTTGTAGCGTGGCCTGAAGGGAGGAGGTTGTATTCCGAATTTAAGTAGTGAGTACGGTCAGATATGATTTTGACAGCTTGATTCACGATTTGCCGCTCTTATATTGATGACAAAATTTCAAATCTGACTCCAGTTATTTTACTTGCAGTGTTAACAATTTTGTCTATTTTAGATTTGAGATGAACTGAGAGAGAGAGACCCGTACCAACAATGGAAGGAAAATGTTAAAATACTCTGAATAAATGCTACATAAAAAGATGACATCACAGATGGGTTAACATTAAAATATCTCAGTTTACGCATGAGATGACAAGAGCTGTGCATCAATACTTACAAACTCCCCACAGTGATAGTGCTCTGCCTTGGCGGTGTCAGCCAGGCCGGCATAGTACATCATGACACCAACATTAGACTCAAACTCCTCCCAGCGCAGCTCCACGTGATCAGTCGTGGAGATATAGTCGCCCATCTTCACTAGCCCGGCTGTTGACATATTAGATTCATTATTGGTTAGCACAAACCATTGTCAATGAGGTGTGTTAGTTTGATTAAAAATACTGTCCTATTTGTCTTTAGATAACATTTACATTTTAAAAACACATGTTTGTTCGCCCTTGTGGTATAAAACTAACTACTAGGTGCTTACCTGTTGTACCATCGTCAAATCCAACAGCAAATCCGTTTGATGTGACCTCGACCATTGACCCGGAAGCACTATGTGCTCTCACTGTAAAGTAGTACAGGGCGTCCAGAGTAACGAGCTCCAGGTCGTAAAATGTCACAGATTTGTTGAGGCCAACATCTGTGAAGGGCACGACGTTTTCACGCGTCTTGCCGAAACGTCGGTCTGTTCCTAACGCTACTTCATAAAACACCACTTCCTGGTTTGACGCCTGGCTTCTGTCCATCTTGGGTAAGGCACCATCTATACAAGAGAAACATGACAAGAATGAAGGTTCAGTCTTGGCAATATACACTATAATAATTGTATACACTAAGATATTTGGCAAGTAGTGTCAGGGTACAAATATATGTAGTAACTGTCAGTAAAGCAAATAAATAATATTCTGATTACAATTTATGTAGAGGGTAATGTCCGAGTAACTCTCCATTCCTTAAAAATAATGGAGCCGAGGCCCCGGAGGGGCCGAGGCACATTATTTTTAAGGAATGGAGAGTTACGAGGATATTACCCTACTTAAATTACATTCGAAGTATTGGGAATATTTCTGTTATCAAAATCAAATGTCAAAATGACAAAATGAAGGTTTTATTTTGAAACTGGTTGGTACACATCGCTCCATTCCTGAAAAGTAATGGAGCGAACAGACAATGGAATGACGTCACAAATGTAATTTAACAGGTGTTGATAAGGACTGAGCTGAACCCAAGACGTAAGTAGCGAGTGTGTGGATGTACAGATACTTTTTAAACAACAATAGGAGTCATCTGCCTATTTCAATGAACTTGACAATCTGGATTGAACGCTTACAGGAAGGGGCACTCTCTGGGTCGGGCCCGTTTTGACCTGTAAAATTCCTTATCCACTGGAGAAGTCCGGATTGCATGGCAATCTCGAAACCACATATTTCTCAATTGAAGACATAAGACAGACCTCTCCCAAAGCAACCAACATTGATAAATAGCTAAGATATGTTTAATGATGGTTTCAACCTCCTCATTCTTTCCCACGAGTTAAATCAATATACTCTGCAAATTTATTTTTACATTAATTTAACATTGTCTTATTGAGGGAAACACGGGGTATCCTAGGATAGCATAATTTGTTTAATAAAAGAACCCAAAACTTCATGAGCAAAATTCATGTTAACAAAATAACAGTTGTAGAAGAATATGTAAGCGTCATTGAATTATACATGTTGAAGGTATAGTGTTACACGCAACGTTTCTGGGTTTGAGAATTTACTCCATTGTTTGCATTTCTGACTAAACGAAACAATTTATTTCTCATTTCTTTACAACTCAACTCTCACTTACTTTAATTACTACTGAAGAAGTGGCGATATGTGCCGGTAGCCCGGTCTTAAATAACTGTTAGTTATGTCTCTTACTCTAACCATCATCCTATGGCAGTAGGCTCGAGACCCGGATTATAATACTTGACCAGTAAACACCAACACTTCTGAGCGTGAACGTCTGCGACGTGCGTCACCGTAGGCTAATTTGCTGTTACTTTACCACAATACTATCTACACTGACTACAATACCAACTCATCATCACGGTCCCTCGCATATGCGAGGATTAAAGATTAAATAAATTATTTTATTTAGACAACCCCCCGACTCGATTTTTTTTAAATGCTTCACAGTACATATACATCATGATGTATTGTACTGTAAAACACTTGGAGTCGGGGGCATCTCAAATTTCTATATGTTATTTTTAAATCTTTAATCCTCGCAAAGACACGAGGGCCTGTGCTCATCATCACTGTATTATTACAACAAAAGCAACAGTTGACACACCAGCTTCAAGGACAAGAGACTCCTCTCCAGCGTTGCCGTCACTGCCGAACATGTCCCAGTTTGCGCTGACCTTGGTCGTCGTTCTCACGAACTGGAGGTCAAACCCGATCACGTCGCCATCGTTGACGTTTCCTGGTACTAGCGGGTCATCCCTCACTGTGATACCGTTGGAGCGTAGGGTGTAGGTGAAGCCAAGTGCATTGGTGACTCTCAAAAGCTGATAGTACCTCTGCTTGTTCTTCATGGTCAGCTGATCATTGACGCCGAATGTTCGGCCTGGAAACGTACATATATGTAATATCAGATGTCACTTCCAGACGCTAGGCACTACGTGAGTGAGTGAGTGAGTTTAGTTTTACACCTCACTCAGCAATATTCCAGCTATATGGCGGCGGTCTGTAAATAATCGAGTCTGGACCAGACAATCCAGTGATCAACAGCATGAGCATCGATCTGCGCAACTGGGAACCGATGACATGTGTCAACCAAGTCAGCGAGCCTGACCAACCGATCCCGTTAGTCGCCTCTTACGACAAGCATAGTCGCCTTTTGTGGCAAGCGTGGGTTGCTGAAGACCAATTCTACCCCGGATCTTCACGGGCCCTAGGCACTACGTACACCTATAGGGTGGAGGTACGGAACACTGGTATATTTGCTGAAGACATAATAACAGAGCCGAATCACCCTGCTCACGACATTCAAAGTTCAACTATTCTTTCGGTTGGCAATATTTTTTCCATTTTTGTTTTCGGGAGCATCTGCCAAACCGAATCCTGCCTGGTTCTCCGTCATACAAGATACCAACCGTTTGTCAATGGGTATTGTAAAATCTATGTCGACATTAACATTATGCTATAATATGTATTGTTTCAGTCAGCAAATCCTTTTAGTATACAAAAATGCTTCTTGGAGATATTCAAACGAAAACGATATTTTCGATTTATGCAAACCCTATGATCTTAATTACTAAGGAATCTAGAGAACATTAAATTATTCTGTGATGTGTTCACACAGAGAAATAACTGATGTTTCCACACAAATTCCTGACGAACTTGTAACGAAACACGAATGATCGCTGGCAAGTGTCATTAAAGGGCTGACCGTTGTGTGAACTGTACCTTCTGTGTCCACAAAGTCCTGGACAACGAGTCCATCTGCTCTCTGTATTGCCCACTCGTACTTCACCACTGGACACGGGTCACCCGACACATCCCACTGGGCAGACATTGACGTCAGACTGGTCTGGTAGTCCCTGTAACCCCAACATGTTATACAGAGACACGTCTATGGGAACATCTACCACTGTTTAACAAGCATACATGACGAATAAAACGTGGTCTTGTGTACAGACTACACAGTAAGGTAGATGGTGACGGAGAGTAAGTGGATGGGGGTTTGTTTACAGTTAACTTGACGCACATGAGTTTCTGGCCTTGCCTCACACAGTCGTAAGCTCATGTTACCCTCGGCATGTGAACAATATCCCCTCTGCATGCCATGTCTGACGTATTTGTGTGTTAATTATAACATGTAGTTTCATAGTTGACACAAACATATTTCAAAATGCATTCAAGTTTTCAGTTGTTATGTCGATGGTAGGGGTTGTACACGTACAGATCACCATGTTGACTGTCCCCGTCCATGACGCCCACGTGTGTAAGGGGCTCGAGACCCTGGCTGAGATAAGACAGGTAGATGCCAGGAGATGTAGAGATGGTGCTGAGACCTGCTCCATTGGTACCCTTGACTGTTACATACACCTGCGGATATACAGTCCTCATTACGGATGTGCCTTGATATTACCAATGAAAGAATACGTAAATGGTGTATGAATGAGTGGCAATTTGGCCAGTAGCTTTCAGCAACATTGTGGCTTAATCAGTAGTAGTATAGGTACCTTTTCCCGGAAAACAACCCAGCGTTATTCATCTACATTCGGCAAATCGAAACACAGCTTTGATCTTTTGGAAATGCGACCGTCACCCGCTGAGTTAAAAAAAACCTCTCTAGTAAGACGCGCGAGCGAGAACCAAAGCTAACAAACCCTGCTCGCCCGCACGTAAAGAACAACAAAACCGCATATCCACGGTCTGCGAGGTCCTCCGTCGATCAAATAAAAAACGTTTGACCATCGCGATCAGTTAACAATCCGTCGAACAGAGATTTTCTTGACCGCATCGAGTCTCACGCATTAGACAGTAGACATTTAATTCTCTTTCGAATTACCCTAGCCGGTTAGTCTCGCACACGAAACACCCGTGTGGTAGAAAATGAAGTTATAAAGAACAAATGCACGTCACGCACACTGTGCCACGAAAAATCTCTCTATAGTAAATGTCGACCCGGGTATTATCTTCAAAGGAGTGAATGCAACTGTTCACCTCTTAATTATACGAACCCATTAATATTAACCCAAGAAATACGAGTTAAATGTTCATAAACCCGAACATCGAAGTTTCTCTTTTCCTGCACCATTTGCTAAATTGTCGTGGTTTATAACATTTATATTCGAGACCTGTTGCTCGGGGTTGTTACAGCATCCGGTCATAAGAGAAGCGTACTTCGGAAACGAAGAAGTACGCAGTGCGATGATCCGTTTTTATCCGGATGTAGTGCGGTGGAATGTTTCACTGTACGAAATCTTCACGGGGTGAGTTGTAGCGCGTATAGCTTGTATTATAATAGACTAGTTAAACAGAACAACCGAACAATTACTGTCATCATGCATAGATAATGATCCTTGTCAATTATATATATGACAGCCCGCGCAATGTGCGATTTGCCTAATACAACTTCTCTTTTATTTGTATCGAATTATATATACTTCTTTATTTCCTCCATTAATGAAGATTTACAACAAAAAATGAATTATGGATCATGTACAACAGACAAACATTCGAAAAGGAATTAGACGGATATATAGAGGGACAATCGCATTGTGCAGGGCGTTTATGCAGGTGGATAGACACAGCGCCCATGTGGAGAATCGAACCGAGGTCCCTGGCACAACGAGAGAACGCCCTAATCAGTGGGCCCCTTACATCCCGACGAGACAGACGGGTAAAGAAGGGTAGAGATGACAGATATATATGTAAAGAAAAGGGCTGACATGGTATCACTTGAGAATGTCCTTTTCACATGATTCCCCGTGCAATCACCGCACTGCAATGGCCGGATATGTCGAGGTACCTAGGACACATGGCTGTCACAAACTGGAGAGCAGTTAAAGAGAACTGTTCTTTATGTCCAGGTCTGATTTATTGTGCAGATACACACTAAACTCCAGACTTCTTATGTTGGCTAGTTCTGTCCAGAGATTGTCGCGGAGTGCCTGTCACTGCATGCACGATCACATTGTTGAAGAACAGTCCACACTTATGACACAGTATATCTGATGTCGAGCTCCTCACAGAGGCACACAGTAGAACATGGAACTGTACATTGACTGTGATATGGGGGTACAGCTTACACAGTCTCTATTCTTGGGTGAATCTGTCTGAATATGATGAAGTCTCTTTCGTTTGCTACTCTATCAGCCCACATCCTGGATTGCACAGAGTGGATAGTTTCTGCTGTTCCGCCTTCAATGATGAGTGACTTGGGAAAATGTTCGTGTCCAAGAATTTCTCTTGTAAGTGGAGAGCGATGCGTAAGATAGTTTTGATTACTCGCTCTATCCACCGGTCCGTTTTCAATAATGTGTCGCGATAATCTCGGCACTCGTATTTAAGTAGGTATAAAGGTAATATGCTTCGTAGGAGCGGAGTCTCCGAAATAAGGATTTTCCAGTAACGCATGACTTCGCCTTCGTCGATAGATGATAATAAGAGTTCTGTGATGAATGAAGATATTTCATCCTCATTTGAGTGTAGAGGGATAGCACTCTGTCGAACCGTAGCTACGTATGCGCGAATTAACAGTCCTTCTAGACATAGATTGATGTTGTGCGATTCCACTTCGTCAGCTACTAAATTGGGTTTGATATATCCAATTCGTAATCAACCTTCTGGAATACTAAGTAGATGAAAAAGCGAATGGAACCCCAGGAGCCTGGTAAATCTCTATCCAGTTGTTTGTCTGTTCGATCTTTTAGGTGATTTAAACACTCTCTCTTTGACGGAACCATTCGTCGCAGGTGGATGGGATTACTTCTTCACCACCAAAATGCTGTCTCTGATTTCGAGGAGGAAATGCGATTTTCACCCATTCATATTCTTTCATGTTGCAGTTCTCGCAGTCTGCGGATAATTGAAAGCAACTGCGCGTTGAAGATTCTTTTGTGCTTGACTCAAGCTTCATCGCAAAATGTTTCCTTTAAACTTTATGACTTGTATATGTTTACGTAGAACGTCGTATATTTATTTAACTGGGATGAGTTTATTTACTCGATGGGTGGGGCGGTCACGTTTCCAAAAGATCAAAGCTTTTTTTCGATTTGCCGAATGTAGATGAATAACGCTGGGACGTTTTCCGGCAAAAGGTACCTATACTACTACTTTAAACGTGTCATACATGTCCATTAAATATTACCTTTAAACCAAGGGCAGTATTTACGATTGTATTTTAGGAATTCTTAATGCTGTTTGTTGTTTAACATTACACTCAGCAATATGCCAGTTTTATGACGGTAAATATTCGAGTTTAGGCTAGGCAATCCAGTGATTGGCATCGTGAACATCGAAGTCTTTGTTTCCACACATTTCTCCTGAAACGAATAAGTCAAAGATACCCGATGTTTTGAGGGGATATACATGGCGCCTTCGAAACACAACTTTCCTAATAACCATTACACAAATGGCTTGCGCTAGTCTTGATGAGAGTGATGTACCTTTCTGTGTCCTTTTAGCATCAGGCCTGTGACGTACGTGTATCTCTGCTCAACGTTGTCCACCTCAAACAGAGACTTCAGCTCCCTTCCCCCCGGGGTCGTGCCTACCGCTATCTCGTACCTGGATGTGGAAAGAGAGGGAGTGTGAGGGAGGGAGAAATCACAGGGAATCGAACTGAGTCAGCAAAATGCACCAACGGTTTGCTGATAATCTTGCATGTATCAGGGAAACAGATCATAATACAGCAATGCATGGGGTTGATAGTTGATGTCGTTACCGATGTCGCATGTGCCTGGTTATAGGTTCAGTTAGCCCCGGTCACTGTGGGACTGCTGTGTCAGGCGTGAGGCTTCATTTACCATCTCTCCTCTGCCTGTATGAAAGCACTATACTAGTATGTCTGTACAACTCGTACTTAGCAGCAAACATAGCTTACTTGACAATGTCAGTCTGCTCATCGTGGAAGGCCTCCCAGGCAACACCCACTCCTGTCAGAGATTCCTGACACGTTGCTTCAATTTGCAGACATTCTGGAATAAAATTGTGTTCAATGTAACATTCTCAAAATGACTTTAATCCATACATTAATCAGCGGTTAGCAAATGCAGAATCATGTATAGTATATATTTAGTGAACATGTGTAACAGAAATGATTTGCCTTTTTATTTGAACATCATATTCCTGTGGTTAACATACCTTGCCTATTCGTGTGTTTGTGACTGTTGCCACCGGCTATTCGCAAGAAATACCTTGAGATTATGGAAAGGATTTGTCTCTTTTTATTAGAACAACTTATTTGTATTAATTTACAACAATTCAGCTTAGTACCCTGCATGCAGATGTTAGCTACCATACTTGTCATAATCCGCAAGTCTATTAAGTACAAAGTTATTGCAATGTCAATAAATTTGCTTTTAATATTACTTGTCTATATTCGAAGGCTCAAAATGACAGGAAACTTAGGAACAACCTCCGAGGCGAAGGTGTTCGCTGTCGTTTACCGTTTTTGGAAAGTCAAGAGCATGTTCCCCAATAGTTGTCCGGAAAGTAGCATACATATTCCAACTTGTATGTGATTATTAACTGCCATAATGTTAACTTACACAATTCTTTAAAATCAAAACATGAATCACAAAGTAATAAGGTGCGATCACAGTTAATTAATTATTTTAAAAACAAACAAATACGTCAGTGGGAAGTTACACCTTCTTTGTTGTCGCATTGCATGACGTTGAGTCTCTCAGATGCAACAGGGTCAGACACATTGACACGATAGTCCGACTTGAGCTCTACAACAGTGCCTGGCTTGGGTGGTGTTGTGTCCACGCTGATTGGCTTAGAGACAACAATGGCTATTTTACCAACACTGTTGATTGCCTTGACGACGGCGTAGTACGACTGGCCATGGGACACGCTGCCTGACAGCCCTGTCAAGTATATCCATCATGAAAATTTTATCCAAATATCCACAAATCATAAAAATGAAATTATATTAAAAAATGTACATCAATATATATGCAAATCTAAACGACCCCAGTAGTCTTCTTTCTATACACCTTTTGTAGTATAACATTTGCCTCAGTTATCTTTCAGTCTTTCTCTGTCTCTGTTTCTAATAATTGCTTGTGATGTAATTAGTTATTGTAAATATCTTCAGAGAGTGGTTTAATAAGTTCAAAAACCTGTCCCCGATCCTTTTCACATTGTGAATAAAATATGTTTAAACTAAACTAAGAATATCCATTGTACGATTAAAAATAGCATATTGACAGAAAGCATGCAATTACCAAGAATATGTAATATGATTTCAAAAAATATCATAGAGTTTTTAAGACAGTTTTGCATTTGAGGAAAGACCAGCATTTTAAAAAAAGGCAAGTATACGTTAAAAAGGACCCAGTAGTTTTCATTTTGGGAAAGCATGACAAGTGAAAGAAAACTAAGCCTAGCATTTTCACGGGAAACCAAGCTTTCTCCAAAAACAACATCACTTTCTGAAAGTGACCATGTTAATTAAAAAGACAAAACAAACATTCTGCAAAGCATTTTGTTGAGCAATTAAAGCATACGTAACAATAACATTTCAAAATACATGTCATTTTAAAGGAGAGTCGGGATTTGCTTTTAATTGATAGATATAGGGAAGACCTGAAACAAATGCAGTGAGTGTCATTATCGACTACAAAATTACCAATAGCAACTTTAAACATTACTATCATTTCTTTTCAGTCGCTTAGAGGACATGGGCATCACACTTAATCGGAAAATTCGAACAAAAAAGAAATAATCATCATACAAAGAAACTGTTGTCCTTTCTTAGAGATATATTTGACTAGGACAACACGCTGAGTAAAACAACGGGAATTATTGCCCACTCTGGGTTAAGGCAACAAACTAGTCCGAGACAATCCACATATTCTTTGTATGATATTGTTTGTAACTTCAACAACATATATTACTGAAACGTGTGTAGCGATACAGACACGAGAAGTTAACACTACAACCGTCTACTTGCCTTGTATGAGGAACTTCTTCGTGTGTACTGGCAACGACACGGGACGGATCACGTCCTCCAGACCTTCGTCAGACCCCAGGGAGAACTCGTAGGACACGATGGCACTTTCGTCGTCATGGAAACCTGTCCACGATACACTGGCCACATAAAGAAACTGTGCACACAGAAAATATAAAGATAGGCAGACAGCGTCTTTATGCATAAATAAAGGTGTGAACATAGCAAGTATTGGAGACAATCAAACGCTCATGCAGGTGCCAGGCGACGTGACGTCATTGATGGTGGCCTATGGACTTGCAATGTGTTACTGCACGTGCAGCCTGTGCAGCTGCACACAACATGTGAAACTCAGAAATTGATGTCACTGTCGAAAGCTTGATCTTTGGTCATTCAAACGTTCACAAATTCACATGAAAAGTCACATGCACATCATGCCAAGATTAACATCTGCTCAACGTCATGAAGCCATTGGAATGGTTCGAGCAGGCATGAGCCAACAACAGGTGGCAGCACATTTCCAATGCCATCGTAACACGATATCTGCATTGGTCAGGCGTTAGGGAAACAGTAATGACGTCGCCGACCACCCACGTTCTGGGCGTCCCCGAGTAACGACGCCAAGACAGGACAGATGGATTCGGGTGACTCATATCAGACACAGGTTCCAGACGGCAGTGACCACGTCCCAAACCATTCCCCAGGCCTTCATTTGGAAAATTTGGTAGCCTCTATGCGTCGTCGATGCACTGCTGTGCTTCACGCGCATGATGGTCATACCCGTTATTGACTTTGTGACTTCGCCGTATGACCCCCGACTCAATTTTGAACTTTTGACGTCATCGTTACGGATATTGTTCATGTTCTTTTGACAAGTTGTTGAGGCCTAATACTTCAGCTTATAAAGTGTCTACATCATGTCGTCTGTTCTGTGTTGTATTCCACTTCTGAAGGAATTTTCTGTGTGCACAGTTTCTTTATGTGGCTAGTATATAAGGTAATATAAATTAGGTTTGATGTCGCATTCATGTTTAAAGGAAGGAAAGGCGTACAGGAAGGCAGAGTATCAACATGCACCGTCTCTTAAGCAAGACCCGGGATCGAACTTAGACCACCGACAGATGCCCTTCCACAAACCCATAGAGGCGATTCAAATTAATATATAGACAAGCCAAAGGCACAGACAGGCAAACGTGTTAAAACCCCTCTTTCATTCTGATGATCTGGTGAATAAAACCGAATCATTGAATGTTGTTCGACACTACACCTAAGACATCTTTATATCACTCATTGGATAACATTGGATAAGTCTTTTTATTTCAGTGGTCGCAAGGACATGAGTGTCCCGGGTATCCTGGTAAGGTAGGTACTTGTTCCCAGTCATTTACGTGGATCATGTTTGGGTACTGAAATTTACATGCACTCCCAGGCAAGCCAGAGCCAACTCCAGATTCAACGACTGATGTAAATCAAAATCTATATTTACCTGGAAATGCTTTCGTGCTGAGGAAACTTAAGGATTTACCTGGATAAATGATGGGCACTTCACCTCGCCCTCTGTCGGCGGAGTTACGTCAACAATGAGTAAAGGGGGAGATAATTCTCGTTGATAGACCAACTTCATTTACGGCTGTTATGGTGAGGATGTTGGGTCTCCCTGAAATAAATTGACACTTCACTATAGTAACACTTAAGTGATCACAGCCGATCCAAACTTCCTATAAAACAATACTGAGAAATACATGTATCGGAACCCTAGATTCCTACCATCAGCTGTTGGTTTTATTCCAGGTGGGAGCGTCGCGTCCCCAGTTAGGGACTGTATCTCCGTCATGTTGTAGATATCATCTGCGTACGGGTACGACCCGACTGAGAAATAGACATTCTTGATTGGACAGTCGGCGTCCTTCACCTTCCAGGCGGCCGACAACGAGTCCACCTCAGACTGATACAAGACAATGCCCGGAAGGAGCCTTGTTTGATTTTCCTCCAGTGCGAAGCTATAACGAAACATTAGTCCTTTTTACAGCTATACGACGTCGTGTACGGTGTGATTATCAAAAACATTAGAGAAAAGACCCCACTAGCCTGCACCAAAACCCCACTACAAGCAGGCACTAACAACCTCCAACAGCCCTGCACTAAAACCCCTTTACGTTCCCACAGTAAAAGCCGACTAATCGGGTACTATAAACAGTACCCACGTATTCGCCGTTGAGTAACCAAAGATTAATCCTTTGCATGATAACAGATTTATATCTTTAACTCAATGAAAACAGAAAACAGGTTACCTTTCTAATTGTATTGTGGGTGGTGTTTGGTCAACGATAAAACCATCCGATGTAGATTCTAGTATGTTTCCTCCGTTCGTAATACCACGGACTGTGGTGTAGTATTTCACTCCGGTCTTCAGCGGTAGGGCAGCCTGGCCGAACCCTGTGCTGGCCAAACCTGTAATAATACATCGATTACTTATTTAAGAAAAACATACATGAAATAATGCCGACAAAAATAATTTAGATTGCCATAGGAAATCAAAGGATCACTTTCCTTTGTACGAATCCGGCTAAATCACGCGCATGGGTTTTTGAATTACCATGAAATAGCGATTGGCGAAAACTGTTCTGCCCCTTACCCACTCTGTTTATCGGAAGAAAATGGGTGGAACATCATTGTCGTCGTTTATCGTACGTTCATATACCTCTTGTTATTCACCAATACCAGTTCGATGATTGACATGTGTTCCTTTTATTCACTGTGTGTGCCCTGCTGTGTAACTCACCACGCCCAGGGACATCCGATTCTGACTCATCGTGAGTGAGTCCCGCCATGATGAAAGGTTGCACCTCCTCGCCGCCAGGTGTCGTGCCCACAGCCCAGTCATAGTACGTGACGCCATGTTCATGACTCTCGAAACCAGCAAACTGCACAGTCACCACTCCTGCATCTGTCTGGTAGTCCATGTCTTCGCCGATACCAATGTAGTTTTCACGTTCTGTAGCATCGCCGCCGTCGATGACAATGCCTTAATACAAATGATATTGGCGAATGATATTAGTATTAATGCAGTTGAATTTCTACATATAATTGCCATCAATAATGATTGTGTTTTAGTCATTCTTTCCCATAAAAGCCTTCGAATCATCAGTAAATATGTTTGGGTTGTTCTTGAAGTTACGTCAAGTTACCCGTATGGAGAAATATTAGTTATATAGGTGAGGTGAGGTGAGGTGAGGTGAGGTTAAATTGGGTTTGCTTGAGAATATTTCGCTCATATGACGACGTGCAAGCGTGTGAATGTGTACATGCGGCTGCTTGTACTAGCCCAGACTTAAGCTGGTTTTATAGTGCTATCTCACTGAGATACCATGCCGCAGTGAAGCATGAATACCCCACTCAGACACATACTGACTCCGAGTCGACCAGTCCTTGTTGTTCCCAATAATGCCGAGCGCCAGGCAGGAACCAACAAGATTAATCATATAGAGGCGTTGTTCACTCTGATTACCTGCTTTGTCCTGATCCACCACTCTGATTGGATGTGACGTCATTATGGCGCTGTCCATCCCGGCTCCATTTCGGGCCATGACCTTCACGTAATACACCGGTGTCATGGTGACGGGGTCAGTGATGTTAAGGGTCAAGTCGCTTATATACTTGTCTTTGTCGGGACCAACATCTGTCCAGTCCAGGATATCAGTTCTCTCTGTAAATATATGTTTAATAGCTCCAAGTTATTTGGTAGTTTAATATCTCAACAACGTCTTGCCCTTAACCTTCTTTCACATATCTGCGTACGGTTCAAAATTGGAAAATGTTTGAAATCCGTTCAGGTGTAGTCAAACATCGTTGTCGAAATTTGATGTGTCAAACTATCAGTTGTCTCGAAGGATTGCTTTCCACGTAATTATTTGTAGTTCAGTTGAACATGACTCCAAGTATTTACACGGGTCCATTCACTTCGACATAAAAATGACTGACTGTACTTCCCGTTCCTCACAAACTTGTCTGAGAAGGGACCAGTACTTTCCGAAGTCATCACACAGTGGTGTCAAATATACTGAACAACATTAGAAACGCACCATCCATATAATACGAAATATCCCCGTCAGACTGAAATGTACCCATGATATCTGAGCATCGTCGGTGCAATTTAGTGTGGTGCGTTTCTAATGTTGTTCAGTATATGTAAAACAATTTGTCGATCCGCATGTAGATACCGAGTATGTTCTGTTATAATTTACCAGCAGCACCTCGGTTACTACGTTTTACGAGGTACCCAAACTATTTTTTTATATTTTTGGTAATAGGCAGGTATATATAATATATAACTGGTGTAGCACATATGAAGGTTTTACGTCTGTTAATTACATCCGCTCATACGTCCTATCGAATATTCTTATATACACATACATCCTGTCTGAAAATTGTTTGAACATTTACTATTGATTACCTTTCGTCGTGCCAACAGCCACGTGATACCCCGCTATACCGCTCTCCGTGTCTTCCCCAAGCCATGTAGCTTTAATACCAGTTGGGTCAGACTGTATCACATAGCCGTCGATGAACTCCTCGTCACGTCCGGCAAATATGCCCACATACACCCAGTGCATCTGAAACAGCGATGTAATTGAGGGTTGACTGTATGAACGAACGTTTTGACCGAGTCGTAAACATGTTATGATTGCTATTTCTATACACATGGTGTTGGGATGCGTCCTTTTCCGGTTAATTAAGCTCGTACATTATCATAGAGGTAATGTCAAGGTGGAATCGGGTTTGACATCAAACTCAATATTAATGCATGCGTACAACAACGTACTGTGCGTACAAATGGTGGTTTATGGAACTGTTAAAGAACACAGATCGAATCATGGACCTTCTGCTGTTTGCCCGAAAAGAGGCACATGTAAATAAATCACAGTTCATATACACATGTGAAAGACACTTATATCCTTCCTTACCTCTGGCATAGTGTTGTCCAGCAACACCCCGTTAGTGTCATACGTGGAGACCGCCCCGGCTCTGTTGACTGCCCCAACCCTCACACTGTACATGGCCCCTGCCCGTAGGGTGAGGCCGTGCTGCTTGAGACTGGTAGCGTGCCAGTCATGGATAGTCTCCCACCCTCCAGAAGCTGGTGACCAAAGATGGAGATAGTTTAGATAATATTGAACCTGTGTCTACGCTTCATTCATATACTTTTTACGAAGGGTGAGACGGGTACATCATGTCAGCCAATACTATTATTTTAAGGACTGAAATATATGAATGCAGCACTGAGGGTTCGTGTGATCCTGACATAGTCAGAAGGGCTGTGCTAACGGTGGAACTCTTGGTCATCAGTGGTCTGAGAGCTCATTTCCCAGGTTTCATTCTTATCTGGATTATTATCATCTTTCACAAATTAGAATAAAACGATGCCGAGAGGGTTTGGCTGATTCTGGCAGTGTTGGGCTACGCTTATCATCAGCTCAGATACCCTTGTCTCCTCTATACGCTGCCCAGACAGCAAATATGACTTCTTACAGGTAGCGCTGCCAAGTCGAACCCACCAATAACTTTTCAGTAAATATGAAGACTCTCAAATACAACGTTCGGATGGTTCAGTTTTCTATGGTCGACACACTTGCAATGTATGTGCCTGTGTGCGTGACTGGTGGCTATTAATATTCCAGTTGTATGCCTGTTGAGAAACCAGACACGTCCCGAAACCAGACACGTCACGTCCCAATATCCGGTGTGATGACACACAGTCTGAAAACCCTGTAATTCAACAACCATACCTCCCATGCCCAACTCCCCAAGGGCCCGTGTAATACAACTGTAGACATACGTGGGTAGATCTGATGTCTGGATCCTTCATGCAGTTCGTAGACCTGGTACTTAAAGTGTTCGAGCCCTGACTCGTTGTCAAAGAAGTTGAAGACAGCTTCCACTTTGTCATCGGATTCCTACAATGAGCCAACGTCATCAGTAACGGGTCACCAGTATCATAACGTCACCAGTCACACAACATCGTCAGTAGCACAACGTCATCAGTGACACAACACCATCAGTACCGCAAGGAAGTAACACAGCATCACAAGTAACACAACGGCATAAACAGTAACAGATCATTAATAACAGAATGATAATTTCAAATTAGCTGTGTGTGGTCTTTATTTATTTTTTATAAATACGTCACTACCTTCAGTTAGGACTATTATTAACACACATTTTATCATGGAATAAAGTATACTATGCGAAAACATTTTTGTGGAGTGTAAAATCTGCGTTCCAGTGTTTTCAGGGACAAACGGTCCCACACAAAACGACGGGGTACCAATTACCCTGAAGTTATGCTGATTTTAAAGGTGAATGAGTTCGTTCAGTGATGCAGAACGAGGAAAACTATTTTAAACCATGGATCAATACTTGAAGTGAGCTTCTTAAGCTGTTGGTATATCTGTAGACTAGCTGACAAACATTGCCCTTCGAACGGGAACCTAACAGTTAGGGCATGTAGGTTAGGAACGTATCAAAACCATTAGGAGTTGATAAATTAGAAAGGTTTCTGATTACTCAAGTCAGCTGCGTAACAGTTAAAAATGCTTTCAGAAAATAGATAAAAGTTACGAAGAAATACTTGGAAACAGAACATGATTTAATCGTTATAATATACAATATGTGGCAATGTTTGAAAACATTTGAGTACAGATACAAAAAGATATAGCAGTGACCATATGTCTGTGTTATATGAACGAACTGACATCAGTCGTCTCTGAAATCATTATCTCCAAACCATCAAGCAGAAGTGGGATAGACTTGAGCAAGCAGCAGTCCCACCGATAGATGTGACCATTAGTAGCGCCACATGCATTTTGAAGATGGCTGTGACATGAGCGAGTCAGACTGAGAAGATTACTATGATACGACCCCATTTTTGCTGTCATTCAATTTACCGTTGGAGTCCATGCAGCACGTGTGTACCGGGTTGGCATTGTATAGACTTTTCCAAATTTTTAGCCTTTTCATCATTCTATATATGTTTATTCAAGTATGAAGTATGCAATCAGAAAAATTGTGTTCCAAATAAAAGGTCAGCCTTAATCTTTTCTCTTTTCTGTGTACACCGCTACTAAATGTCTTGGCAGCAAGCAGCTGAGGTTCAAGAAATACCTGGAACTCGGCGTCCACGTCTGTCACACTTCCATCCCCTATGAAGGTCATCCTTGGAGGAGTGAGGTCAACCACGAACCCATCCGTGGTCTGCTCCACTGAAGCCAGGGCGTTGTTCGTCGTCCGCAGTTTCGTCTTGACCACGTCACGGTGTCCGAGTTTGAAATTGTGCCACTCGAACTGAGAGATGTTCGTGTCCATTGTCTTCCAGTCCTTCAGGACCTCAAACTCGGAGGACATGTCCCTGTCACAAGCACATGTTACAGACAACTACCCACGATCTTCACACTTCTCATCCATTGATAACATACATTCATGTATTATTATACGTCATCATGATTTTCGAACTTGTGGAGGAAATGTAAAAGATTATTATCACCTTACACTTATAAATAAACTGCGGTATAAGGCGATACCTGTAATATGTTGCCAACACAGAGCTGAATCCTGAGACCCCCCGTGTAAGTCTTCAAGATGTATATTCATATTTCTCAAAACATGACATTTCACATAATATTGAAATTCAGTACTCCAGCACATTAGAGCTAATGGCGCACCAACTATGATGCGTCAAACAGGCTTCATTCAAGGGGAGGCACACACTACCTTGGAAGACACATTTGTAATTTGTTTTAGATTTCTAAGGACAATTCCACAGTACGGTAAAACATGGTAAGACTAAGATCAGATCTGAGTGCTTTCGTTACACAACGATAATGATAATGTCAAAACCTGTAATATAAAACAAAATTGTTGGCCACAGTATAGCTGAACAACTAATCGTAGTCTAAAGCAAAAATAATAGTCAAAATAGTGGCAAGGGTATTTCTCCACTCACTTGGCCCGAAGTATTTGCACAGCGTATTGTCTGAGACTTGACTCGGGGTCGGAGAAACCACGCCACTCCGCCCCTATGGTCGCCTTGTGGGTACTGAACTTCTGGTCTCTGAACGATGGGGATCTACCGTCGACGATGTCGCCATGGATGGGCGGAGTCATATCAACAATTACTGGAATAAATGGAAAACCGTTTTTGAACACTGTCCCATACAGCCCATTTCTCATGTCCCCCGCAGTGAAATTGCTGGAATATTGCTAAAAGCGGCGTAAAACCTTTCTCACTTACGCTAATGTTGAAACTGAATATGTGGCTGTCTGCTCCTTTAATCGGTAGGCGGGGCAGCATTATGGTTAACTCATTCTACGTCGCGCCTAAGCTCGGGTTCAATTCCCGAGGTAGACTGTGTGAAGCCCATTTCTGGCGTCCCTCGCCTTGATACTGCTGGAATATTGCTACAAGAGCCATAAAAGGCAACACACTATTTCTGACTTGTTAACGACTGAACGAAATACATGATTTCACAGAAAGCTGTTATCAACTTAAACATGTTGGAACACACGCCTGCCTGTAACTAAGACACTTGTTGGACTACAGATTTAGTGGATTTTAAAACCACGGCAGAGCTTAAGTTTTGTAAAAATAGATTGGCGGTCACACATTTGAACCTGACCTCCGTTCGACTTTGCCGAGATGTTCTGTTGTCTGTGGCCAGCGTTGAAGGCGGTGATGTGGACGGTGACGTTATCGAGGTGCTGTAGAAGCCGTTCAGGGTGCAGCGTTATACACGTCTTGCTCGTCTTGTGGTCAACACTGACCACTTCTGTTATGGGGGTACCCGTGTTCTCTTGCACCACGATGTCGTAGTAGGCGATGCCGGATTCGGGGTCGTGGAAGTCGAACCAGTTGACACAGACCTGATTCACAAAGCGTTCAGTGAGATAAAGGCTTGAATAAAGTGAGTGATTTTATGTCAACATTCCAGTCCACCATACACTGGACCATAGAGCTGTCGGTAATACCATCTGTCCAAATGAGCACTATTTCTGTTTCCACTTGGTCATTGCACAGACTACACAATCTAAAACCGTCTTGATTAAGGCAAAGTGAGGCCAAAACTTTCACCCTTGATTATGACCTTCGATTCTTGCATATGCCAGACTGACTGACTGAGTTTGGTTTTACTCTGCTTTTAGCAATATTCCAGCAACATCACGGCGGGGGACACCAGAAATGGGCTTCACACATTGTACCCATGTGGGGATTCGAACCCGGGTCTTCGGCGTGACGAGCCAACGCTTTAACCATAATGGTACCCCACCGCCCCGCATATGCCAGATTGCACCTCGAAAAAATATCCTGCGGAAAAAATAGGGGATCACATGAAAACACAAGTGTTCCTATATTTTTATTCGAGGTTCCTTCATACGTTGTGCGATACAAGGCTTGTGAATTAAGAAACCAGGGAAAAAATAAAGGAACACTTGTGATCATGTGTGATCCCTTATGTTTTGCCATCAGTATATATATGCCTTCAATCTATGTTGAGGTTTAACTTCATATGCAGAGTACAGTGACTCTACAGCATACAATACTGGAAATGAAGTCGCTGGAAGCACGTGTCGATGTTATGATGGAGCGTTACACTCTGCCTTACATTTATTATGCAGCAAGACACATGAAGCAGGAGTATTTCAGTCACCTTATCGGTGTTCATGGTGTAGTTGAGGTCCAGTTTGTTGACGTCTCCATCGTACACAACGCCGGCAACAGGTGGGGTGTTGTCAATGATGATGGGGCGGTCAGCTACGTCAACAGTCTTTAAATCAACTGAAGCAGAAATGAAAACACATCTCGATTAGCTGGTTGAAAACGGCTAAACAGTGTCAATATATATATATACACACACACACATATATATATATATATATATACACACACACACAAACGCATAGCTGAAACTGACTGATATAAGTAAATGTTTTACAGTTCAGCATGAAACATACGTCGCTCAGGGTTGTTTCTTGACAATCTGGTGACACGATGGCGCATAGTTACTTCACGAGATGCTCACAATAATAATAATATATGCACTTGGTCATTTCAACTAATAATCGAGAAACTTAAGTAAGGTAATTATATCACTGAATACTCTGATTATGCAAACATGTTACATATTCATGAGGAGACTTTTATGAATGTCAGCGTTTGTCCTGAGATGAAATTCTCACTACACAGTAACATTAGTGAGTGAGTGAGGGAGTATGGTTTTACTCCGCTCTTAGCAATATTCCAGAAATATCATGATGGGGGACACTAGAAATGGTCTTCACACAGTGTACCCATGTGGGGAATCGAACCCGGGTCCTCGGCGTTCCACCCATTAACCATTAGGCTACCCAACCGGTCCAGTTGACGACCGATTAACATCTGCCTTGAGTAATACTCATGTCATAATCTCACAACCTGACTTGCACAACACGTTTCTTTTCATTTAGAGGACCCTTGTGGCAAGATGGCACATTCTCGTATATGTGGTTCGCCTACCGTTATTGATGGCTCTGACTTTGATCCACACAGGCTTGCCACCTGGAATCTCGTACTGGTAGTTGACCTTGCCGTCACCTTGCGTTGACCTCTGCCATGGCATATGGTAGCAATCACGTGTCGACTGACCAAGACATAGGTCAAGCTCTCGGACACCAGACTCCGGGTCACTGTGGATGCAGATACTGGACTTTAGCCTAAATGTATGACGTTCTGATGTCTACAATGTTTCTGTGACCTTCTGACAGACACCTGCAGTACATGATCATCACCTGGCTCCATTAATTCTTTAATAACTCGTATGGTGAGGTGGGGTTAAATTGGGTTTAACGTCGTGCTTGAGAATATTTCGCTCATATGACGACGTGCATGCGTGTGTATGTGTATGTGCGGCTACTTGCACTAGCCCAGACTGAAGCTGATTTTATAGTGCTAGCACACTGAGATACCATGCCGCAGTGAAGCATGAATACCCCACTCAGACACATTATACTGACTCCGAGCCGACCAGTCCTTGTTGTACCCATTAATGTCGAGCGCCAGGCAGGGACCAACAAGTACCATATTTTAACGTCTTTTGGTATGACGCGGTCGGGGATCGAACCCGCGACCTTCCGCTCTCCGGGCGGACGCTCTAATCACTACACCACGGCGGCGGTCTAATAACTGGTATGGAGCTACCTGTGTACATTATAAAACGCCAATGAGATGAGTATGCAATTCGAAGACACACTGTCTCAATTACCAGAAAAAAGTTACATATTATGTTTTATATTGAGCATGAAACTCATGTAGTACAAACATCTCAACCTTGATGATGCTGGTGGCGGGAGTACTGTCAGAGATACAGTGATTGTACGTTCGCATCATATGCAATCTAGTAGTTTAGAATCATGATTGTTTTATTCTTATTAATTTGGAAGTAATTGGTTTTGGTAATACAATATATCATATATATTATACTACATATGTTATTTTCTTTAATGTTTGTATGCAAAACAGCAACTCTATGAACATATCAGTTCGATTAACCTGACATTAGGGCAGTCTGTCTGCTTCGTCGTGATGTATTAATAAGATAATCCTTCCAGGTATTCGTCAGCCGTCACTGTACAGACCACGATGTGTAAAGTCAGGTACACATGATTAAAACATTGAATTTAAGATACGAAGAGGAGCAAGGTGCTGTCAATCTTTCACTTTCACCTTCACCATCTTCAACACTAATACCGTCATTATTAGGACTGCACGGTATTACCGGTATACCGGTATAATACGCTTTTCAAACGATATGTATTGCAATATTTTTTCTGAGAACCGGTATACTGGGTAAAAAACATATACACAAGGAAACGAATAAGGGAACACATAAAAGTACAAGTGCTCCTTTATTTATTTCCAGAGTTTCACCCACAGTGCAATCCATACCTTGTGAAGAAACCTGGAAAAGAGTTCCATGCGTTCCCTTATTTGTTTCCATGAGTATATATGAAGTTTTTTATGATTATCTTTATGGTTTAAATTATAATCTGCACAGAATTTCATTCACGACTGATGTTTCATTCAATGACAAAATTGCATACTGTAAACTATAAATTGTATATAAAAATGAAGCTAGAATCCCTGACACTGCAACCTAATTTTGAGATTGCTGTTATCAGAACAATTATGTTTAGGGGCTTATAATGTAGAAATAGGATTGACATTAACAGTTAGTGGCATCTGCTGTCAAACGCTTAAGCTGCCAATATATCGCGATACGTATCGCAATACGGGTACCTGAATCGCAATATATCGCAATACAATTTATTTGCCATTACACAGCACTAGTCATTATCAGTATTCTCGTTGTTCAGTGATCTTGAGTGATTTTGTGAATTGTATCTTGACGACGTGGAAAAATGAAACATAATGTTTCCTGGTCCAGACGTTGTGTTGGTCATTTAAGCCTCACCTGACGTTGTACTCAGCCGATATTGTGTGGTTCTCCTCCTCGTAGGCGATGTTGTACACCTCGTATACGATCGGCGGGGTGTTGTCAATACAGAAGGGTGTTGTGTGACACACACTCGTGACCAACGGCCCTCCATACTCAACCTTGTTGAAGGTACGTAGTGTCACGTAGTATTTGCCATCTGTAAACATCGTACATCCTCATAGTGGGTCCACAATCACAGCATCTTCACAATCACACAGAGTTATACACACGTCATAGGATTCGAGCAACAACTAAACAAATAAAAACTATAACCATAACATAGTAACTTTGTGTAATCCCCAACGTACACTTCCAGACATTTTTTCTGTATATTTCACTTTAATAAACAACATAGAGGCATAAAAAATCATCTCGAGACGAAGTAGACAAGCACCATTTCTACATTTACCAAATTGTCTACATAACAAAATGATATGTTTAAAGTAAGGATTTGTTAAAAAGATGAAATAACGAAACTATCCGCCGGGCATCAAGTTTTGCGTATCTTTATCGGAAGATACGCGCAAGAACGGTGTTGAGATTGTGAGTCTGATGGTGCACAGTCATATACCCATTTCGTATGTCCAGAGTCAGTAAAATAAAACTTCAGAGTTCAGTGATCTGATCTGTCGACATTATGGCTTGTGCATATGTACTTCTCAACTGAATGTGGTAACTTTTTGTGTCGTGAAAGTTTGTCAACGCCAAGATGATGCCCCATGGATTTGGGGACCTGTTTTATTGGTTATATAAGTCCATATCAGGTACCAGATAAAGCGCACAATAGTACACCCAAACCATGCGTCCTGTGAAGTATTCGGAAGAGGAAGTAGAAGTAACGCATGGCTGCCTTACCAGGAAGTGGGTTGAACTCTTCCGGTAGAGGAGACAGAAGACCGGTGTGGGTCCACTCTGCCTCGTCAAACAGGTGCTTGTGGGGGTCGTGGTGGGGGTGGATCAGATCCTCACAGGGCTGGGTACCGACGCTCCAAGAGTAACCCAGGATTCCAGATTCCACGTCAGTGATACCGTCCCAGTTGGCTATTCAGAGATATAGTATCTTAGCAGTTGTATTCAAACGCACACAAACACAATTAAATAACCTATACCTGTATTCCCATGATGAAATACGGTTTCCGGAAATCCTTGACAGCTCTTGATCTTCGTTTTTCGAACATATTTAGACATTATATTTAAATGGTTTATAGAATTTCTCAAAGTTAAGTTGATAAGCTACATGTCGTAGAAATAACCTCCTGGTTATACGCATGACTGATACTGTACATTTCTTTTTGTAAACGTTAGGACCAATTTGTTGTACGTATTTCAGCGATCAATTAGATGAATTTATGCTTCCAGTTGGTTCTGTGGCTGATGGATATTTGCTGTTGTAAATGGAACATGAACAAAGCCAGATATTTGTAAATTGTTTCCAGTTATTTATGTGCGACGTGTACATCTGCTTTGTCCATGTAAAGGGTGCTGCTGACTTTGAACTAGTAGGGAGACAAAATCATCTGACGAGTCTGTACCTACCTGCCACGTAGTTGTTGGCTCGTGTGTACTTCTGGTCTGTCAGAGGTTCCTCGCCGTTAAACAACGTCATGGACCCAGGGCCATCCATGATCAGCCTTAAACGAGAGGGTTAGACAATGTTGTAGAGAACGACACATGCAGTCATGTCCGGTCATAGCAGATGTACACCACGCACCAAGAGCTCGCTCACCAAACATTCCATACATAACTATATCAGAAAATACTACATGGCTCCAACAAGCATCGGTTAGATCTGGCTCCAGACCTATTGGTATCAGTGCAACAGAACGCATGAAGCCATGTTCAGATGACATCACGACAGAGCGTATGACATTAGCACTCCAACAAATGATATGATGAACACATAATCCCTTTTGATATTCCCGCATACTTGGTTCATCATGAGTAACAGCGTGAAGAATAACCCAGTGAGTTATATGACTGTTGTACCTGTGATTCTTGATCTGACTGTTAACACCTTTACACCTCTCAGCCCAGTTTGGCCTGTTTTCAGGGAGGAGACTGTGACAGTCTAACACCTCACTGGTGTCCATCTGGACGTCAGCCAGGGGACCTGGTCAAAGTGAAATAAACAAAGCTACACATGTACATCCACCCAATCCCATTCACAAAATGTTAACACATTTCATTAGGTAATGCTCGTGATCACGCCCTCTGCACCGAGCAACAAGGTGCAGATTGAGGTTCAGAATTGTTTCACGGAATCGAACCGAAGATAAAGTGTTCCAATGTGTATCTGTTCAAATGTCTCAGATGACAAACGAACCAGTCTGCGTTGGGCAGAAAAGTCAACATAGAGTGAAAATTTTGTGAATGGATAAAAGAATAGCAATGATGACACAACGTGATGATTGTAATCGTAGCTTGTTAGACTGCACCACAACTGCCACGATGTGTATATTATTAATAACGTCAGATGTTTAAAGCTGTGCATCATAAATTGAAATATCACCATCAAAGGTCGTCTTTATTACGTGTGAGACGTTTACTGTGGGTAACGGAACTCGATACACACACCGCATCGTTAGTACATACTGACAGGTTGGCGGATTGGATTACACGATGTCGTCATGTTTCTTACCTGGTTCAGGCGGAGTAACGTCAACGATGACGCCGCGGCTATGGATGAAGCTGGAGAAGTTGAGGGTGTTGACGAGATGCATGCTGAAGTAGTACATAGTGTTGTGACGCAGGGAGAGGTCCTTGTAGATGAACTCATGAGCCAGTCCAACACCCAGTCGCTCGAAGTGTGCAAACTGGCCTGACTGAAAGCACATAGCCGATAGGTGAGTGGGGTAATCTGCTTGTTTGAGCGCTCGTACATCATCATGAAGGACTGGGTTCTATTCCCAACATAGTGCAATGTGTAAAGTCCATTGCAGTGTCCCCGCCATTGTCTATTTTAAGGTGACCTAAAGCTTCACTCATTCACACATTGTGATTGAGTGAGCAATCTATCGAACGTACCTGTGAATACTCAAACCCCGATTAGGAAACCATGTATCTAAAACAGTCTATTTAATCCTCGGACGAAACAAGCACACCCATAAACTGGACAACCTGAATCCATTTTATATGAGTTAAGGTATTGGTGACCTATTCTAACTTCGAGATCTCTGCAGGTATTTTGGTTCCATACTTAGTTCAAATTTAGAAGACCGAGGTAAATTATAACATTGATACCAAAATTCATTAGCGTTCATTGAACAAGAAGGAACAAACTAGCCATAACATCTAAAACGGAAATGACTTCAATCAAGAAGAAAACTTTTGAGCCACTTACAATTGCAACCTCAAAGTCATGTCCCTCAATGGCCTCCAGCAGTTCACAAGTACCGCTCGAGCTGTAGTCATAGTTTGTACTGAGGCACTTAGTGGGTGGAAACTGTAAACAGAGCTTGGCGCACAGTCCCGCATGTTGTAGCCCTGTTGTAGTGGAGATCACGGGGCCTATCAGGCGGCCAGTCTTCACGCCGTTGAAGTGGGTGAGAGCAATTTCTCCAGTCTTGTCACTTGATGCTGAAACATCAGCAAATAGGTAAACGTATACACCTTAGCTAGTAACCTTTTCTGTGCAACTATAAATATAGATTTGATGACAAATATACAAAGAATGTAGTTTGAATTGCAACGGGGATGAGATATAAGGCAATGGTTGAGACTGTAAAGTAAAGACAATTACAATCTATGTAGATTTTAATCACATTTGACTTTTATTGATTAGCACACAGGTAACAAGAAACCATATAACAGGCTCTGCGACATGAGGGACGAAAACTTTCCATTTTGTCCAACAATATTCCAGCAGCTCTCTTTGGTGTAACAGAGCACAATTCTTAGGTACATTCGAGCACATTATATCTGCGATTGTTTCCAAGAGTAGCATACAGCTATTGTTCAAACGTTACATCAAGGTTACAACATTCAAGGCCTCGCAAAATTGGCACTCACGATCATAGTCATTTGTGTCGCCGCTCTGCAGATTGACGTTGGAAAATGGCACGACTTCATCCGCGTACATGCCCTTGCCCACACCGACACCTATGTTGGTTATGCTGAGGACGGAGTCTTCGTACACTACCATCGATGCACGGAGCTCAGACGGGTTGCTGGTGGTCAGGAAGTCTGCGGTCAGTCGTCCTCCAGGAAGTGTGATATCGTAGGTGGGGATGCTGCACGTGATTGGAGTCTCTAAATCCCCATGGTTTACACCGAGCATTGTGAAGTAGAGTGGAACGCCGTGGGGTTTTAATTCCTGGATAATGACAGTCAGGAAGTGAGATAGGTTCCGCTTTGACTTGGAGCGTTTCAAAACAAGGTCTTTTACCACAAATTCTGGATAACAAATGTTTTTACCGTTACTTGATTTGGATCACTATGAGTCATTTTTCGAGTGTCATTTTCACGTTTGTTTTTAGGAGAAGGGAGACAACTGCTATTGTGAATAACCACGTGGCATATTCAGGCAAATTTGAATGGGACTACGTTTGCAAATGCATCTTCATAATTCAATTCAATTCAATTTAGGTTTTATTCTCGATTTTGAAGATGGCATTATCACCTAAAGTTCATTCTTTGGCTGAGAGTTGGTGCAGTTACGGTGTCTGTGCATCCTGTATTGAACTATTTTAGTGTTCAGTGTGTGTTTCCATTCCAAACGGCGAAATGTGGATGAACGAATCATCGTACTGGCTTTGGTTCGTGAAAGCATCATTCCTCAAACAAAGTTTCTCGTTTAATGATGGTTTGACTGAATGGGTTGAACACCACCGATACTTACATGGGTGATGACAAGGGAAGGTCCACCTAATTTCACTTTGGCAATGACATCTTCAAGACCGGGTTGTGTGCCTGCCTCGAGGTAGAGGTCGACTATGCCCCTATCCTCTACTCCAGCTGCCGCTACCTCAATAGTCGGTTCTGTGTAGTCCTTTCCTGGGACTTGCCGCACGAAACAAGACTCCGTTTTTCCTCTCGCCCGTCGACGTCTCTCGTCCTGCAATATTCAAAGCTTTACATGACAAAAATAAAAATAGGCCTTTTATCATGCGCATTGCTCCATGCACAATGCATTCTCGAAGTGCCCAAACAACCTGATCATTATTACCCCGAATAACAATCGTCACCCATCCCAACACTCTCCGCTCCCAACGTTGCTTAACTTCACCTGATCTGTGACCTGAGCTACATGTACAGGACCACGTGCACACCACGAAACCGTGAACGATATTTGGGACAATAATTTGTACACGAACATTGAAATATAGATAGGTATGTGTGTATATTGGATGCGACTATCAACAAGAAAATTTATTCATGGAATACTTCAGTGATGGTCTAATTACTGTGATGTTGCTCTACACCATTGGGGGAAAGGGGTGTCCCCCTCCTCTGGATCCGCCTATGCGAATACCCACTCACTCACCTTGTGTTGGATGTAGTGAAGGAAGTGGGGTGGCGTGTCGTCTCCCTTGTGGGTGCCAATTTCGAAAATTCGTGTACTGATTACCGGGGAGGTGTAGCCAAATATTTTGGCTTTGAACAACACTTTGGTTATCTTGGCTATTTTGATGTCGACCTCAAGTGTGACGAGGCCATAGAGAGAAAGCTCTATGGGAACAAATTCAAGATCCATAATCACGCTGCAAAACAAACGACATAGGATAGAGTCGAATGGTATACACATGATGAGCAAAGAGTTACAAATCATAACTTTCACGTAATGGAAATATGAAAGTCTTTACTTTCCCATTTATTCCTAAACTATTTCATATATCATACGGAGTAAAATGGGTAATGATTTCTTTATCATGAGGTGTGATTCTCACGATAATCCAACTTTTACTTTTATGATAAAGACAAACCTTATAGAAGAACACTTTCTTTATTCAGGTGATGGGACGTTTCGATACAGATTATTATATCATTGTCAAGCAGGTATGACAACGTGATGTTCCTCATACCTGCTCATACCTGCTTTACAACGATACAAGTATCTGTATCGAAACATCGGATCACCGATGAATAAAGAAATTGTTCATCCACAAAATTTGTCCTTATCTTGCTCTCCAACTTCGAAAAATGCCACTCAAAGAAGGGATCCTAGTCGTATGTGCATTGGATGAAGTAACATTAGGAACACGTGTATAAGTGCGAAACACGTGAACATATCGACAGTCAAGGAATAATGTATGTAATTATTATCAAATGTGACCGACCCAAATCGTGAACGCACTTGCACTGAACTGAGAAGGGTCCTCTTCTTCGACATAATTAAAATGATACGGATGTTACACATCAGAAACAGGATTAATTTAACCTGCAGACAGGACACAACAGTTATCTCCCTTGCAGTGTAAGTATCCGGATAAACTCAGATTTTGAAAATCACACAGTTGGATATTACGTTTACACTGAATACAGTTACGAGCGACCTTACCTACGTTACTTACGAAGGCATTTTATGAACCCTGATAACTACTTACTGTACGGAGAGAGGCCATTTTGTGAACTGGATCTCGGCCACTGTGGGGAAGGCCAAGGTCAGCAGGTATCCCTCCAGTCTGAGTTTGCCGTAAAGAACAAACCCAATGCCTAGCTCACCCCATGTATGGGCACCGACGTAGGGGGTTACTTGACCTTTAGCTTTCAGAGCAAGAACCTGGGCCCCTATCCCGAATTTAATGCCCAATGATGCCCCGATGCCAAAATCTGCGAACAAGAAATACAAATTGTATCAATTGGGATAGATTATACCTTCCGTAAGAGTAAGATGGGTAATTGCTGGATAAAAAATATGTCTGTCATATCACGTCCAACAACTACAAACGTTGTACCACACTGGTGAAACCCCAATCTAACTACAATCATGTATGAAAGTCCGTGGGTGTATTGGATTCATGTAACCTCGTAAAGACGGTCACTTACGGGCTGTTCGATAAACATTTGGAACGGACGAGACTGTCCACAGGATGTGGGAAGGACTGCCACAGGCACGAAACCAAAGCCATCCATGAGATGTCAAAAATTGTCCTTCGTTAAGTTTCAACACTGAATGGAGAAATATTTGTCTCGGTGCCATAAGGAAAAGACTACCGTTGTAAAAGGAGTGCCCTAAAGGTGCTTTCTGATTGGCTGATGTCAACTTCCCGTGAGTTATTTCATTGGTCGGTCAATGTTTGCAGAAGGTCGTTCCGTCGTGACCTGTATGAGATGTTTGTGATCAAGTAGCAAGCACTAAGATTTCAATTCAATGCGACTGGTGATACCCTGTATCAGATACATCAATGTTCACCACTGAGATTATTAAGATTTTTCTCACAACGCACTTTAGTACATTCAGACAACAGTGTCATCAATAGATGTACAACCCGTCGTTTTAATGATTGTGCATTACGCATCAACATGAAGGAGTAATAATCAAGTAGAATGTTTGAAATATTTAGAGGGAATATTGCAGTTAGATAGGTCTGCAGGTTCTAAAAGAAATCATTCCCATCCAGTTGTCGATGTTTGATGTTGTTGTATGTTTTCTGTCTAAATCGTCCAGTCCAAGCACAATAACGGACCGTGTTTTCTTAAATAAGACAACGTACTTACCGAAAGTCATAGGGACGATACCGCCCACGAGGAAGAACCATTTATGTGAGAAGAAGTTAATGTTCTGCCGAGGAATTTCAAATTTTCCTTCAAGGATGACATCAAATGACTTAAAGAAGTCAGTAAAATCTCCGTTTATGACCGTCTGAATAACCTCGGTATACTGAAACGAAATTACTGATACATTCATTCACCCACAATTATGGCAAGGGAAAAGAAGCAAAGTGGGGTGCGTTATTGTACAAGGAAAGTTACATATATCATCACTTTCACAACTAAGTTCTCCTATTCACTGTTTCGATATTGTTCATAACGCTATATATTTGCGCAACTCTGTACATGAATTTATAATAGCTTTACACATTTTAAAAAGTACTTTTAATTATGAGTATGAGCATTTCAGTGAAGGGACTGACAGGCAAATTTATACATGACATGTGCAATATATCAAGGCATAAGCTTATTGCACGATGAAAGATGGTGAATATGATTTAGGGAACGTGGAAAAAATAATGTTACATTGTCAACATGTGTGTGACGAGTACTGTAGCATATTATGTGCCTGGGTTTGTATAAGTCTTCAATATATTATCTTAATATATTACAAGCAAATTGTTCACAAGCATATTATCTAGGAATATAGTATATACCATTTGGATTACCCATAAAAGTAAGTATTGGTTTGTTTTTTTTGTTGTTGTTTTTCATTTAAAGCAAAATGTTTCTGTTGTAACAATTCCTCATTAACAAGCCCACCGTAATAAAGTAACACATAAGCGAAGAATAAATCTTCTCCATAGCATGTAGATATCACTCGCTAATGTACTGAGCACTATTAACGAGAGCCTACCATTTAGATTCCCAATCTATTTCTTGGGGTTTGAAGGACAGTAGATGCCCGTACATGTTCTTGGAAGGGAATAAAAGGACACACAACTTCATTTATTTGGCTTGTGTTTCCCGTAGTGTTTCCACATTAATGTCATTATTTTAATCTAGTGTCTCTACAGCCTGACCAATATAACATAGCATACCAGATAATGAACATGTATGGGCACTTGTGATGGTGAGGGCATTTCTACATTTCTACACTTCCAACACCCGGCTCCATGTGAACCAAATGATTTGGAATACCTTGGAATGAGAGCATTGACATCAATACCAACACTGTTCCAAACATCTAAAAATCAGCCTTTTCGTGACGTGTAAAACTATTCAACATACCACGGCCATGGCAAGGTCCCTCAGCTGCATGCTGATCTTGAAAGCGGTATCCGGAGAGATGGTGAGTTCCTCTGAGAGGGCCAGGAGTTCACCAATACTCATATTGGCCAGCTTGGCACCTAGGAGTTCCATGCCCGCTTGAGTGAGACCACTCCCTATTGTGTACGCCTGCTGTCCTCGACCGAGCACCCCCAACGCCTTGCCTAGCATCTTGATCACCTTGCCTGGAAAGTACAACACCTCATTGTGTTTCAGGTAGTGCGGTGTTCCTGACCCCGTTCAGTAGGCATCCATATCACGGCGTGTCAACTATGCATGACATACAATCCCGACATGATGCATGTCAGCGAGGATGGATGTGGTACTGGCAAACTAATCAGAACATACTCAGAGCAAACTGGGATTTGGATGAGTGAGTTTAGTGTTATGCTTTCACTGCTTTTAGCAATATTCCAGCAATATCGCGGCGGGGGAGTCCAGAAATTGGCTTCACACATTGTACATATGTGGGGAATTGAACCCGGGTCTTCGGCGTGACGAGCAAACGCTTTAAGCACTGGGTTACCCACCGCCCCAATTTCTATTAGAACCCTGGATGATACATTTATGGTCAAACGCCACAATTTTGATTCCCACACGGCTACAATATATCACGCCGATTCATGATTGTTTCTTGTGAACCGTCAAATAACGTCCCTAAATAAATCATACCCCGCCAATTATTGCTAAGAGAGGGGTAAAACAGTTTACTAATACCTGGTACTAAAGCGATCTATATGTTTAAACCATTCCGGTGACACATTGTTCCAGGAACAAGCTTGTATATACCTCCTCCTCCAACGATGCCCACGTTGTAGCTTCCTCCTAATGCTTTACCAGAATATATAATCGTCTTCGGATTTTCATTTCCCATCAGATTCAGAGCTGTGGATGGGTTTTCTGCAGACTCTTTCCTGTCCCCTATTTCGTACTCGACGTCATTGACATCCTACAGAGTGATGGAAATATAAAAACAGCATCTTCATCTTCGACAGAGATAAGTGTATATCCTTCAAATAATATGAAAAGGTAAACATGTTTGTGAGACCTGTATCAATAAGATAACTTGTGATTGGAAATGGGATGACATATGTATTACAAACAGAATTACATACTTCTAATACGGTGACATTATTAATGTTTCACTTATTACAGTGTTAGTCGATGTTAAATCTGTGGCCCCACAACACTACATTGGAAGTGTGGAAGGAACAGGGAAAGACCACTGAATGTAGATTTAAGCTAAGAAGACACAGTTCTTTCCTTCTTGCAACAACAGACAGCAGATGATGGTCCTCCCCATTCCATTCGTTATTGCTATGAGGTAAACCTGCAGCACAATGTCTCACCGGGAAGTCCTGTACAGCATCCAGCGCTTTCTTTATGAGCTTGTTTGTAATGCCGGTCTTCTCCATCAGACCTGACAAGATACCGTTCACATCCATTTTCTTCTTGACCCTGGTGCGGCAGAGTGTCAGTCAATAGGACATTATCACAACTATTTGAGAAAACAACTTATCAAGCATAAGAGAGGAAACATTCTACCATGGCTACGTGAAATGCTCGAATTTGATTGGTCAAGCAATAAAATCAGATGGTATCAATTTGGATTGAAAATGCGTCTGATTTCACGGCGCTTCACTGCGCACGTATACAACACTGCCGAACTACTTCAGCTTGGCCACCAACATGACTAATATCAACACAACAGACGTGATGGAAATGCTGATGAAACATTTATCAAAACTCGACAAATACAATTATACGATTTCTCCTCCACAATTATTAGGGGACCTCACTATCATAACTATTACCTTCTATTATAAAAATATTCAAACTCAATTACAATACACAGCCCCGAACATAAACAAACAATATCTAACATATAAATCAGAAAACCTTGTAAAAATATATCCCTATCTATCCCTATTTGTGGGCAAAACGTTCGTAAACATTTACCTACCTGGTAAATGGTATATTTGTTTCCGTTTAGAATGGGAAATTCGCAAGATAACGGTCAGGGGAAACACAAAATGTGCCACTCATACTCCATCATGTCCCGTTGCATCGTTCAAAATGTCAAAAACTGAACCATGAGAATTCAGTTCGCTGCCACCTTCCCCGCAAGGCTGTCAATGCTATGTTCGTACACTTTGAAAAGCTTCGCCACAAGCCAGTCCAAAATGATGAGAACAATGTTCAAAGGAATCCCAAGTTAGTCGCATGTACACAAAGCAGCACTGTCACTCTTCCTCAGCTGCCTGGGTGGAGGCACGTACGTGAAATCATGATCGACACTCGCCGGTCATAAAAATCAACAGTCTTGGATGAGTTACAGGTCATAGGTCGATCAGAAAAGGATCTATTCTTCGATTCTGCAGGGTTCAGGTTCGACAGTCAGTCAAGTATTTTCCACTGTCACTTCGAATTTCAACCTTTCGCAAAATGTAAACACTGGCTCGTCCGCCATTTCAAACTGTTGCGTAACTGTCTACTTCCAAGAAAATAAGTAGGTCAGACGATTCCATTATAGTGTGGCCAGGGGGGTACAGTAACACGGCACACAAAACAATAGGCTGGTTTCGGTCTTGTGGAGTTATGATTATAAAAACCATGCTCATAGGTGTTGAATTTTCAATCCAAAATTGATAGCGTCTAATTTTATTGATTGACCAATCAAAATCGAGTATTTCAGGTAGCCATGGTAGAATTACTTATATTGTAGCTAAAATATTGGGCCTACACGTTCTGATCAGGACGTACAACCTTTTATGGTTCTAGTTCTGGGTCCTAAGGGCCTGCAGCTGTTCAGGGCTAAGGGCAAACACTGCTCAAATGTCTAATCACAGGCAGAATCCTTTTCACATTACTTGACTTTACCAATCTCAGTTACATTATTATCGAATTTTAAAACAGAATGGCATACATGTCACTCATGTAGCTCCGCCTCTTCCGCCCCAGGAAGCCGCAGGTAGATGTCTGGAAGATGACCTTGTCCAGGATGACCTTGTACTGACAGAACTCGGGAGATCCCGGAGAATCCTTCACACACACCTTCAGACTGAAGGACAACTCGATCATGGCGACTGTCTTCCTGACGATGTAGGACAGGGTCAGGCCATCTCCAACCTGTTCTGTCACGTTCTTGTCTGAAACAACACAACAGTTCTGTATATTACTGACACCAAGAAGAAGTGAGAAACAGTTGATGATGATGATGATGATGATGATGAAGTATTAGTAATACAGTGTAACCTTGACAACTCGCTATTCCGTCAAAGAGTATTGTATACTTAGCATTTTCTTTTGGCAATATTATGATGATGAACTTTCAGCAAAATGGAGAATGGATTTGGGGCATCTGCGCCATGTTTGCCTACACTTCAATACACTTGGGGATGTTTTAAACAAAACATTGTACAGAAACATAGCATGCAGTTGGCAGAAACACAGTCTTTATTCCAGACACAAAGTTGAATTGGTGGACAAAGAATGGACTCTGGTTTCCGTTACCGAATGTCATAGCCTTTAGATTCTTGGACCACTTCTTGTTTTCCACGTGGTATTCAAACTTGTCCGCGCAGTGGTCGGCTTCGATGCCGGTGGAGACGGTGTAGACACCGAGGTGTTGAACATCAAAGGGGACACAGCATCTGACCCCCATACAACTGTCTGTGACATGACACGTGTCATCCAAGTTGCTGGGCAGCTTCACAGAACACGTATTCACTGAAGGACAGACGTGTTATTAGGTTTTACACAATACAATTCTACTTATATATTAGGGAAATTGATTTTATATCGATATGTTGCAATTCTAGAGTGTAAATCTGAGCCAATTTTTGTGTTAATATTTTCTGAATAATGTTTATTTAAGCGTTAAAGCTGCGATGCTGTACGCAATGGAGTAAGACCACCCAATAGTTAAACAGACCTGATATGTAAGGGTTCTTATAGGCTTTTATACGTTTTAGATTAGGCCTTAATGATTTATTAATTAACCGTGGAAGATATTTTTCTATGGGAAAAAAGCCAAAGATTATGTCCATTCTGTTACATTACTGAAGATAAATTCCATTTTATGTTTATTTGTCCTGTATATGAAAAACTAAGAAATAAGTATCTACCGCAACTGTCTTTATCTCAGATCAATGTTAATCTATTGTCTTCCTTACGTTCCTGCAAAGAACCTCCAAAACAACACAAAGTGACCCTATTTATTTACAATGCATTTTTGTTAAGAAAAGAAATATCTGTACTCATATTTTATATATATATATATTTGGCCTATGGCCTTTCATACAAAAAAGAATTTAATTGAATTGAATTATGGGCACGTATCAATTGATAGACGATATATCGGTGTACGGTTCTACAGAGCATCACTAAGAACGCAACACGTACATTCTAGTCCAAACTTGCAGACTTCCGGGTTGTAGAAGTCAAGTGACAAACCTGCAAACAGGAAATGCAAGTTTAATTCCCAAGTTAAGCAAGTGCAATGTGAATTCAAAAACATACCCACCTTGAGCATCAGTTTTCAAGTCTTCGAAAGTGATCGTATTTCGTACTAGCCCTACACAAAACAATGTTGTTCATGTGTTGTATGACAGCTTTACGGACTTACAGAAGGTACCATATAGAGTAATACTATGCAAAGCTTCACTTATCATCAAGTTGGAAAATATTAAAAAGGGAAGGGTAATTAACACATTATGTAAGCGATTGAACGAAATGGGTGAGATTAACGTTCTGCTTACATATTATACTAACTAACCTACTATTAAAACTGTCAACTGAATGCATGAATGCATAATTAATCTGCTACCTAGGTACGTTTACGTAACAGACATATCACGTTTTACCCCACTACGTCATTGTTAACTTACGCTCAAAGCAGAGTGAGTATAGTTTTAGGCCGCACTCAGCAATATTCCAGCTATATGGCGGCGGTCTGTAAATAATCGAGTCTGGACAAGACAATCCAGTGATCAACAGCATGAGCATCGATCTGCGCAACTGGGAACCGATGACATGTGTCAACCACGTCAGCGAGTCTGACCACCCGATCCCGTTTGCCACCTCTTACGACAAGTATGGGTTACTGAAGATCAATATTCTAATCCGGACCTACACGGGTCGTCAAAGCAGATAAATACATAGATGCAAATATGTCATGAACACAAAACCAGGGTGATCCCTCACTAACCCTGCAGTGGTACGGTTTGTTCGGGTCCACACGGGTTGTAGGTAATCTCACTGTTGGACATTATTGGGAAGTCCTTCTGACACTGCTTCTCGAAGCAAATCTTCATCCTGAGATTTACTGTTATTTTCAATGCCGTGGGGTTGTGATCCATCTTGTACCTGTTTTCAGGAAATCTCAGAATAGGTTTACACAGAAACTGACATCATTGAAGGTTGAAACTACCAGTCTACTCTCTACATGACAGTTGACCTGACACATCAATGACATGATCGTGCGGTCACAGTTGTCAGGTACAATTGCAGATGTACAAGGAGAGAGTAAGTTTAGTTTTACGCCGCTTTTGGCAATATTCCAGCAATATCACGTCGGGACACAGAAATGGGCTTCACACATTGTACCCATGTGGAATCGAACACGGGTATTCGGCGTGATGAACGAACACTTTAACCATTAGGCTATGCCCCGATAGATGTACAAGCAAGGGATACTTACTCTAAGATGATAAAGCTCCCGATGCTGAACTGCGCAGTCGTTCCTTAAAGAAAGAGTGCATTATTTCAGCGGGATAAAACTAAGGTCAAAAGAAAGGACACAAAGTTTGTATTTATACGGTTGAAAAATGAAATAACAAATGAAAAGGGTGATTTTTATTTTCTACAGCCGTTTGCAATAAGTAGTCTGTAACTGCGTAATTTTGTGTTAGAAACTGTTAGACATGGTATTGCAGCCATGGCTACTACCATGTTTCAAAAGTTGTAAATTATGTGGCAGAAACCCATTAAATTTATGTTAGCTATCAACACCGTATAATGATGGTGCAGGTAAATATTCCCTGAACAACATGTAAAAAGCCCTGTTGTCGACTTTATAGTTATTATGTACCGCCTAGGTCAATATGGCAATTACAGCGAACGGTCAGTTCATCAAGTATCCTTGATATTACAAGCTCATTCTATCCACAGTACGTTCTTTTTAAATTATGTATTATTTTGTAAACATTTGACATATTGAAACGATCGCCTCCTGAATGTTGTATACCCCATTCATATTCCAGAAGCGAGAGGTTGAAGGTTAGACGCTCCAGCTTCATTTCCACGGTCATGGCGCAGATGTCGACGGCGAACAACGTCTTGAGAGACCGACGTATGTGTGGGAGATCGGAGCAACACTCCACCGACATGCAGTTGGAACTGAGGTAGCAGTTGGTAGACTTGTCCAACGAAGGTACGTCGACACTTGTACAGTCTGAAGGACGGTAATGGTGACATCAGAATACACATCTTCTAGACAATCATTGTTGTAATTACATGCTAAACAAACATTGAGGTTTCAGTCACATAACTAATGACATTGTGTATTCACAGACACATAACGCTGACATATAGAATAAACATCTAGTACCTGGCAGACGGTATAATGCAGTATTAAACCAACTCCCTGATCAGATGTCTTCTGGTCTTACCTTTGTTCCAGTTGTTGACATTGTGGGGAGAGAAGGGGGACTCGTCTCTCTTGCAATATGGCGAGTCGATGTCCAGCATGATGTCCAAACTGTTCTGTACAGGCAGGTAGCTGGACATACCAAGGTCCTCCAACAGCTGTGCCACCAGGCTGTCAGACAACTCGGTCTGGGCGGACGGCACTCCGCGAGCCTCGACCCACTTCTCCAGGGAGAAGCCTGCAATAGTGATGTACAGAGTTGACTAACGGAACAGTTACCTGTAATTCAACAGTATTTAAATGTTATTTGAAGTTTATCATTCAGCGTGCCCTATCTGGTTAATGTGCTGTAGCGCCAGACATTGAACCTAACGGACGTTACAATGTGTATCGTAAGTTAATGCGTCCTGGTTGTTCTCGTCCTGGGGTTCACATCATGTCGTTTTAAGACAGTAGTACACAGAAGGTACTTCAAGATCTGCATCCCCGAGTCTCGTCCCGTATCGTGCTTTTTATGTGGCGCTACAACAATGAACCGCACTAATTCAGTCATACCGTGTATAATTCATGGACATATATTGATTTACTGGTTCTCTGAGAGACATCAAATTTGGGGTGTAAGAGATGGGCAGTTATTTTTTCAACGCAGGAAGGTGTAACCAGTTATTAATGTTAAAACTACTGGTAAACCTTGTCACACAGCCCCAAACAACGCTATGCCCATACAACTATATTTTCTTTAGACAGAATATGTTTAGCCACCATGCTTTTACAGTTTCATTTTAACACAACTCTAAGAGGGTTACTTGCTATTCTATAGCATTGTTGCTTGGTCTTTGAGTCACAAAGATTTGCGTGTACATGGTTTTGGGTTATGTATACATTGCTGGGATGTTGGGACACCATGGAATTATTATAACTATCAAACAAACACGAAACTGGAGAGCCATATCTGTAAGTCAAACTTACTGTGCGAGCTGACTTTCGATGTCCATTCGCAAGACGGTTGTGGCAGCTTTGCCTTGTCCAGCAGCTTTTGGGAAAACAGACACTCACTTTCCTTGAGACAGACGCTGATGCTGACCGTAGCCTCTATCGCCCTCTCCTGTGGCAGTTGGGTGAGGGTATAGCTGCACAGACGGGTTCATTTGTTAGTTTTACATGTGTGTCAGGGATTTTGATAAGAAGATGTAGAATGTAATCATGTATTCCCAGACTGATTCACTCTTGACTTACCTTCGACACGAATTGGACTCCACTAACCGACTCTCGTGTGCCGGCGATATGTCACACAAAGTAATAAAATGGGGTACAATATCACAAGCTTACTGCTTTGGTAAGTTGTAATCGCAATTATTTTGAGTTGTAACCATTACTTCCACCTCTCGTTATCAATCGTACTTACTCCATCCTCAGAACGCCTTTCAAATAGAAATGTTCTTCTGTGCCTGTAAACATAAATATATCACTGTTACAAGCTTATTACAATGTCATTTAAGATCTTGAGCTGTAGTGAGATTACCATCCACGTATTATCAACTTCAGAAGCATAATCAACACCCAAAGCCATCATCTTTATTTGGCTAAATTAAGATACGTAAATATGATGTCCATTCCATATAACCACTGCAGGGTCCTCGCTTTACAGAATAGCTCCTCACCGAGTAGAGTGCCCCGGGCGGACGCTCTAACCACTACACCACGGAGGCGGTCCATTTACCTCCCGATGTATCCTAAGCTTGGCATTACCGTGGGACAATCAACTCAACACTTACCCCACTCATAATCCATCAGCATCTGATGATGCTCATGTTTCTCCAAGGCAATCGTCATCTTGTAGTTGCATGCATCTACACTCAAGGCGAAGTTGAAGTTCCGGGACAGAAGGTCGATGAAGACGCAGCAGTTGATGGAGGTGCAGGAGGTCCCTAGGTGACAGGCCACATTAGCGGGAACGGCGGAAAACCCACCTTCTTTCTTCAGTGGTGAGCAATCTGGAAAAGAAAAAACATATACGCTATGGTCTGTGACTCCTTTCGAAAAGCTACAATGGTTTTGCCTTTATATTATTGTAATTATTTTTCAATTCTGGAAGAAACCTCTTTGAGAAATTATTTACTTCCACACTTACCATTTTTCCACCCGTTTGTACCACCTGTGTAAGGTGCAGCCTTGGTATCACACTGTGGAGCTTTCAAGAAGCGGGCGAGGTCCAGTGCTTCATACATCCGCGTGGCAACTAATGGTGACAGCTTGGCCTGCCCAGTAGCACCGTTGTCAGACAAGAAGGTGTCAAGCGGAAAATCTGCAAAAGATACAACTTTGCCTTGTTTGTCACTATGTATTATATAAGCAAAGCTATTTTACTATATACGTGAACAGACTGAAGGCCATCATTACAACTGGTTGCATCACCGTCCTCTTACCTTTACTCGGTCGCATACAGTGATCACAACACCATAATGTTGTATTCGTATACTTTGTCTGAGTACGCGGGAGTGTGAGTATACGATACTATACACGTCCCAGCGGTATCACAGTGGGAAAACCAGACATGGGCCTAGCACAGTGTAAGCAGGTTTGTCGAGCAAACACTTCCCAACCAGTTAATCAATATGGCAATCTGCTGTTGCTGATCATAAATATTTTCATGAACGTACAGACTGCATTGGAATCATTATGATATGAACTCATCAAGGTCATACAAACTACCCTTTGAGTAAGATAATGTCAAATAACCTTTCAGCGTTTCCAGGCTATCCAGCTCGCAAATATCTTTGCTGAACATCGCTTTCTTAAGGACATTTGCAGAGAAGAGACAGGAATCCTTCTCAAGGCATACACTCATATTGGCAACCAGCAGGAACTTGTCTTGTCCTCTCAGATCGTCAATCAGGACACTGCAGGTGGAAAGGGAGATACATTTAAGTGGATTTTCATTATCAGCTGCCGACAGTAAAATGCAGATAAATACGGTTTGCTTTTGGATTACTCACTGAGACCAGGATATGTAAGAACATTGAAAACCTGTAATCTGGTCCGTCTAGTTGACAGATCAGTCGTTTCCTATAGGTCACGGGCACTATATGCATGGTCCTCTAAGCATTCATCGGCTGTCGTAATCCAAGACAACGTTATGTTATTTCATACAGTGGCGCCTAGTGGCAGCAAGAGTTGTATACTCCCCAGGGAGTGGAGATTGATAATACGATATGCCGTTGAGACTGACATCCAATGATCTAGGGAAACAAATACCAGCGCCTTGAGCTTGCACTAGTTGCGTGGATATGTGCGCTATATAAATATCCTATAATAAAGATATATATATATATATATATATATATATATATATATATATAAAATCTAGAATAGAATAGAATAGAATATTAGAAGTTTCCTGTCTACCGCAGGCCGAGTACACGCCACTATATACACAGTACGACAGCCAGCGGTTGGTGGACGGCCTCATCGACAAGTTTGGCCATAAGAATACGTCATATGAAAACTATTTTTCCTTAGCAAGAATAACCGGTGTATCACATCACTCACCGTCTGCCTTATGGTGGCAGGCAGCTCAACGTTGTCTCACATAGCATGGCCTGTACTTTTCTCCATTAACCTTCGAACTACAGATACTAGATAGGCCTCCAAATGCTTTCTACAGAGTATTTAGAAAATGATGTACTGTTCACCTGAAGTAATCCCATATCGCTTGTTTTCTTGTTAAGACGGATCGAACGTGAGTCATCCGTCCGAAATTCATGATTATAATACTTACTCGGCACGAATGACATCTTTCAGGTTGAAATGTTCCACTCTCCCTTAAATATAAAGCGGACTGAGATGCAATATGGTTCACTGGAGCATGGATATTAATAATCCGTTATCCGAATTGTTTCAGATGTTCAAGAAACATTATTGTTTACATATATACTGTATATATAACATACATCCGCCACGATCAGCCACGCCGCTCCCTACACATTTGCTAGAATCATACACGACAGTTTGCCTTTATGAACATTTTGCTTTCACATTACAATCTCAGCAGATGCGGATTCTAGCATGTGACTGGAGGACAACGATTGTCCGCTTGCGGTAGAGATCACTGACAGGCCCTGGTGATGGATTGTCATTCCCTGAACATAGTGATTTCAGAAGACAAAATACACATTTGAAACTCTCATACGGCCATTCAACACTCATATAGTTAGTACTGTATATTCGTATTGATGTGCATACGGTATACACCTGTGAAGATCCGGGTTAGAATTGATTTTCAGCAACCCGTGATTGTCGTAAGAGTCTGGCTCGCTGACTTGGTTGACACATGTCATCGTATTCCAATTGCGTAGATCGAGACTCATGCTGATGATCACTGGATTGTCTGATCCAGTCTCGATTATTTACAGACCGCTGCCATATAGCTGGAATATTGCTGAGGGTGGCGTAAATCTAAACTCACTCACCATAGGTTAGACGCAAACAAAAACAAGACTGGTCCACTTACCCCAGCTGTAGGTAGAAAAGGACCTTACAAACACCAGCTTTTCTATCGTCATTCTGATCTTAGAGGCACAAGCTTCAATATCTATCTTGAGGTTGAAGGACCTTCCAAGGGTGTCATCCTTTACACAACACTGTAGGCTGTGACAGTTGCTGTTCAAATGACATGCTATCCCTGGGGGGAGTTTCCCAACCTCAACATCGCCCGAGCATTCTGGAACAGTAGTACAGATTACAGGGCTTTATCAGGCATGTTGCTGCACCAACAGGAATGTACCTTTAACAAGTGCGTACAACATTTAATATTGTCGTAAACGTGTGTATAGTGAGAACCTTTAGAATTGACACTGTTTTCAAGATGTGTTAACACAACATATGCTGTAAGGTATACATGAAAAGTCATTTTCTTTACATGTAGATCATCTCTACATACCTGTGCTGAGGTTGATAGCAGTTCACATAAAAATACAAATATGCTGAGGAGTTAATACATATTATTACCATTGTTCCAGCCATCCGTGGCTTCGTCAAAGGGCGAGGCCGTGAGGTCACAACTGGTCTCGTCAAGGTGGTCCAAAAGGTCAAGGTCGTTTAAAAGCTTTCGCTGTTGAAAAGCTGTAAGTTTTGTCCCTGTGGGAACGTTGAAATCTGATCGCCACTTCTTGAATGTGAAACCTGGGGAATAATTACCATGGCTTAATAACTGACGCGAATTACCTTATGATTGCGATCATATTGCAAAGCTGAATGCATGCGTCTTAATCTGATTAGTGAGGTCTACCATTATTGAGGTGTTTCAGATGTTTCATGTCGTTTTGGAAAGGATGACAGACAATTTCGTGAGAGGAACAGGAACGACGGGATAATAATAATTGTGGATTGGTATTGCACTCATTGGAACTGGGGTGATTCATGTCTTACATTCCAACTGATACACAGGACACTATGATATTGATAATGCAACTACGTATTAACTTTATCCATGCTACGTAATGGTATGTGTTGATGTAAGTACCGGGCATCGTCTTCTTGCTGTTCCAGTCTCTGGTCAGTCGGGGCAGCAGGACATCGGTCAGAACCTCGATGTCTTTGTCACATGGCTGTCCAGCCTCCGTGCATACAGACACACTCAAGGTCATCAGGTACTTCCTAGATCTCTTCAGATCTTGTATCTTAAACCTGAGACAAACGTTTCACTGGATAATTTGTCACCCATATGTTGAAACAAACGCAGACAGTGGAGATGAGTTAATACCGTGGACGCAGTGTGGGAAGATTGTTTCTAGTGTTCACCGCCGCTGATATACGCGTTGTAAAACCACTCGCCCACCCGCCCACTGATTCACTCGCCCACCCGCCCACTCATTCACTCACTCACCCGCCCACTGACTCACACACCCGCCCACTCATTCACTCGCCCACCCGCCCACTCATTCACTCACCCACTCGGATAACCAGTGTTTACATCGCACCAACCTTGAATATACCCACCCCTCTGCAGATATGCTGGCAAATTACGCTTAGTTCTAAGTACGCGGTACTGATAAGCGTTATTGTCCCCAGTTTTGATCCTTCTTCTGGCAACTCTATACAGTCACGCATATCCATGGCTTATATCAATGTGGCCCATGTCGATGACTTCAACTTGCCTCCAACATATGACAGTGATATCATGTTCAAATCCACATTCAACAGTTAACCTCCAGATCAGGCACCATGAGCAAAAAACTATCAGTACTTCAGTGCAAGGCGAGAGTTCTAAACCATCTGATGATAATCATACAAAGGATTAAAAAAGAATGACTTACTTCATTTTGGCAACTCCGTTTAAGTTGAAGTTTTCTTCCGTTCCTAAATATAAAAGTAACAACATGTAAAATTGAAAGGTTTTGGAAACACGGGTAGCGTAAATGCTGGTATGTCCCAGTAACTGGACAAAACACAAACAATATAATACACCTCATTCCCGTAACGATTTGAAGTTGCAGCTAGATATATCATGTAAGTATGTATGTAAATACGAATGAAGACTGTTGTTTTATGCCGCAGTCAACGATCACACTTTGGCCAGCCAACATTCCAGTCAGTTAAGGAAACCATGCGCATCGATCCATGACCTCGGGGCACGGTAAAATATAATCAGCAAAGAGACGAGTTGGCAGCCGGGTCCAATTACGACATGTCGGACCACAGAACTTTATTTCAACTCAGGCCGCAGACAGCGGCATATGAGGTTATATCAGCGTTACAAATACGTATATATATCTCTCTCTCTTCCAAATTATGTGTGTATGTACGTATGTGTATATATGTGTATGTGTGTGTATGTATATTTATATACATACATATGTGTGTATATATATATATACATATATACACACACACACATACACATATATACACATACGTACATACACACACACATACACACATATACATATATGCAAATAGATTTCATAACGAATAAAGTGAATATATAATTCATATATCTACATGTAGGAATATTTAGATGGAGTATTCTTACCGACGATTCTTAAAAACATTTATAATAATACTACAGAATAAAACGAGTTTTCTAAGAATATCTTATTGCTATTGAATAATGTATACATTTTATGAAAATTTGGTCTTGTATAAAGATATGGCTTTAAATATTTAATTCTTACATTTATAAAGTGAGAACAAATAAATAAATAAGGAAATTCATCGCAAATGTCGTTACCATGACAAAGTTTACATAATCATTTCCAAACTGCGTGTGGGGCGGTGGGGTAGCCTAGTGGTTAAAGCGTTGGCTCGTCACGCCAAAGACCCGGGTTTGAGTCCCCACATGGGTACAAACCAAACTCAGTCAGTCAGTCAGTCCAAACTGCGTGTCGTTAAAAAGTATTGTAGAGATAAGTAAGGATAATTTGGAAGATTCACCTGTTAAAAGTCGACCCCAAAACCAAATAATTCTCAATTTCACATCAATTGCAAGTGGGTATCTACCAAACTCCCCATACAACATAAAGTTTGAGGTGCTTTTTCTTAACAGTGCTAATTGTTTAAGAGAGTTTAAATGTACTTTTTCCAATAATGATGTACATGTATTTTCAAATCCCGAAACCTCACAACCATATAGAAGAATCGGCAACACCATGGAATCAAATAGACGTAATTGTAATTTGTATGTTAGATGCAGTTTCCGACCTTTGCTAAGAATAAAATACATTGCTTTTGTGGCTTTTTCAACAGCTGGTTCTTTTGTTAATGTAAATCTTCTGCTTTTAGGAAAACTACGCCCAAATATGTGTATATTTTAACATTGACCAGAGACGCCGGGGAAAGCCATATCATGGAATCTCCCAAAGCATGTAGTTTGTATTCCATATGCGCATCCATATATGTAAGGCTACCTAAACATGTTCTTAAATACGACCATTGATGGGACACTATCATAGCAAGAACTTATTCAAAACCAAATATTCTTGGCAAAATATTTGGGAAAACAAGATTATTTGGTTCAAATTTACGTTACATATATAACCAATATCTATGGAATTAGATGTATTTTATTGTTTGTGTTTTGTCCACTTATTAGGAAACAGACGCCACCTCTTCAAACATCTTTACAATAATCTCTACAGTTCACTGACGTTCGTTGCAGACATTAGCTTAAATATCGGCCAAGTCCTCCATGTGTTTATAGAAAACGATTGACCCCAAAATGTGCACAATTAAGTGAATAATGTTCAGAATCAGTTAATATGCCTACATCTCGTAATAGCATCTAGGACTGTGTGTATACAGAACCAGTGTTCAATCTAAGCGTTCATAGGCCATACAATATTATGCATAGGCATATGCGTGCGCTAACGTTTCTGTACAATCAAATGTTATTCGCCAATACAGTTCGACATGGGAGTGCAAAGATTAACCTACCCCACTTGTACGTGTGCAGACTCCGCCGGTGGACGAGCTTTTCTATTCCCACATCGAGCACCTGGTTGTTGTGATCTACGTTCACCTTCACACTGAATGTTCGTTCCAGTTTAGCGGAAGTGACGCAACATTCAACAGCTGTGCAGTGCTCAGGAATGTGACAAGAAACACCATCAGGGAGGTTTTTCAGGGCAATATCTCTCGCACAGGCTGAAAGAAAACCCATGAAATATTTGATGCATTTAAGATGAAAACAGAATGCTCGATAGAGCACTGAACGGTGTCGTCTCAGGACGCCGACCTTTCGATTTTCCACTAGTCTCAGGACGCCGACCTGCGGTTTCCTTCGAAGGTTAGGTTCTGATTACCCACTGAACCAGACTACGCGCGAAGGTTGTCTTGGATGGAGTGATGGATATTCATATAATAATGCATGTGGAATCATAAGGACGTAACCACGTATAATGAGCGGAATGTTAAGTGTTCTGATTTTACTGTTTTATTGTGGTAAGTATCTGAATACTCTGACAATAACAGTAAAACACATTGTGCCCAACCTTCATACGAACTAAATGTACAATCAGGAGTCGATCCTATGAGTATGAGTGAGTGAGTGAGTTTGGTTTTACGCCGCTTTTAGCAATATTCCAGCAATATCACGGCGGGGGACACCAGAAATGGGCTTAACACATTGTACCCATGTGGGGAATCGAACCCGGGTCTTTGGCGTGACGAGCCAACGCTTTAACCACTAGGCTACCCCACCGCCCCCCCTATGAGTATGAATACACAAGCTGGTTAGAAAGTGGTCAAATACAACATATGTTGTTATTATATATTTCGGATTACTCTTTCTCAGTAAAGTACCGATACCGGCGTTCAAAATACCTGCCTGCCCGACCGCCCGGGACGGGTTATTTTCAACACGGACTGTCAGATTTCAAATCCACCTGCTCGACGGTCGGGTTAGAATTTAGATTAGTAATTTTTGTGGACAGGTACGTTTTGGTCAATGGCTGGCTGAAATTTTTAGGAGTTTCATACCCTGCCGATTCTAGTACTTTTGTTTGGTTGAGTCCCATCTTTGGTCTGCCATCTTACCCACTCAGCCATCGTGGATTCCACAAAAAATAACCTATTATTGTTTCTGGCAGGCCAAAGAACTGTCACAGATAAGAAGTTGCGTCGTATGGAATCGACATACCGTTGTTCCAACCCTGAGACTGCGGCTTGAACTTGCCCTTTGTCCTGTTACACATAGGATCCAACACGTACTGAGAGATTTCCATTGCTGTCTCGAGTCTGGACCGCTGGACCGGCGTCATGCTTGACCCTATATTGTTTTCCCTCTTCCACTTTGCCAGAGAGAAATCTGAAACAAGCATATATATCTTGCGCGATGAGGCAGAAATTCAAGGTAATGATAGACCCCTACAATATACCCCTGCCTCCCCACCTGTACCATTCTCTTCCCACAGAGGTTACTTGTCATATCTTCCTATGAACCTCTGTTATAATACGGCCATATTTCCCGGTTCTCGTAAAATCCCCTAGCGGCAAAAAGTCGCAACACGAATTATCTCCCTTCTTTTTATCCAATCAGAACACGTGTTACGTCGACTTAGATCCAGCTTGACTAATACAAACAAATGTGGGGCCACAAATGTCCCTCATCAGCAGGGAATTGTGATGATGTGACACACAAGACATTTAATGGCTAGCTTGTCCGTTGTCAACGAGGGCGATGGAGATGCCATTGATCCGCCATTACATGACTGAGTTCTGTCTAGAAGAAACGTTTGCGCATCGCGCATGGGAATAGGTTCTAGTTTTCCCGAAGCATACGGAAATTACCGAGGCCTTGCGAATGATCACTTTTAAAACAACGGCGCTGATTGCACAACTAAATCTGATTGCAACCAATCAGAAATCCTGAACACTAGCGCCATGAAAGGGCCGTATCAGAACAGAGGTTCGTAGGAAGATATTACAAGTAACCTCTGTCGGAAGAGAATGCACCTGTACTTGACCACATGGTTATTCTCAGCAAGAGTCCCCTGAAGATCCCGGGTAGAAATCAGTAACTGAGCTCACTCAGACACCTCATTCTGAGTTAGAATACAGCCCCAATACCTTGATTGTATGCTGGTCGTAATGCAAACTACATCGATCGAGAAGTAAGGCTCAGTTACTACTTTGCTAGTGCAGATGGAATCAGTTCTATATGTTTGCTTCTGTGGCACATATTTACATGCCGTAGTCATGTATCTGGAATGTTACTGCGAGTGGCGTTAATCTACAAACAAACCAATAATGTGAGAATACGCTACCATTAATGTCAACGTAGGCGTCCGTATGAGAAAGTGTATATTGCGTTGTATCGCACTGATGTCAGTAACGAAAATCCCTTTCGAGCCGAATGCTTGAAGTTTGTTCGTTAACTCGTTTAAGTTCCAGAGCAAGGATGATAGTCAGAATCAAATCGGATTTTCGAAATCACACAATCGGATCCTGTTACGACTAAGGCAAATAATTCAAAACCGGGCGGACCGAATCTCTTTACACCTGACTACACACATGATGACATCGTGAAGCTGGCCAGTGACTGGTCAGCTTGTTGATCCTACCTTGATGAGGACCTCCCGTGTTACAGTCGGGCACTGGCAGCTTCGTATGTCTGGCAACGGGAACAACAATCTGACATGGTTTCTCAAGGTCGATACAGGCGCTGATGTTTAGTGTCAGAGCGATTTCCTTCTGGGTCTTGAAATAGTCGATGATGAAACTGAAAAGAACACACAGAAATGTTTGAAGTATGTCAACTTGCTACTCAGAGACGTGAACGTTCTGTTGGCAGTAGGTGTTGGCCAATGTGCTCTCACATCACATTTCCTGTATTTCCGCAAAATGATGGTTGAATGTATCATCGGCCGATATAGTTTCGACTGATGGTGTTTTGCAGATACTTAAAATCAGGTCAAGTGATACTGTTTATACACTCACATCACACATACGTGTATGCAAACTGTTTATTCCCCAAAGAGGTAGTTAAATGTGTCATCGGAAGAGATAGTTGTGCTTGAAGAGTTTGTTTTGCAGATGTTACTAAGTATCAGGTCAAGTAATACTGGTTATATACACAAATTGGGGGCTGACGAAGCAGGAACAATAAATCTGTGGATTTGGAACTCGATCTCCCAATACAGACAGCAACTCGAAACCCCATAGTCCACACACATTCATCATAGGCGTACGTGATAAAGGTAAACACAGTGTTTGCTGCAACCTACTTACTCTGCTCTGAACACTCCCTTCAGGTGCATTCTGTCAGGAGATCCTGCAGAGAATAATAAAATCACTTAAAACCACACATCTAAATCGAGATTCTACCGTGTACTGTCTGGTTAGCAGAAGCTACCAGGAGGTAGGACACCATGTTGAATGATAATCATTTTATGTATGATAAATGGCTGTTGACTAAGTACAAGGTATTGGTGTTGTAATGTAGACATCAGACGGTTAGACATTCCTGAGGGTAAACAATCATTTTTGTTTTATTCTGATTGCAAGTAACCAAACTACCTGTTATAGGTCTACCTTTACGTATCTAGACTCACCCCAGTGGTATTTGAACAATACTTTCTGGTACTTGACATTTTCAATGGCGAGGTTGAGTGTTGATTTACAGACGTCGAGGTCCAGCTTGTAGTTGATGTTCCTGGTGAGGAGGGGAACGTCGAGGCAACAGTCCACATTCATGCACGATGCTGACATCTCACACGACGCAGACTCGGGCAGGTTGTCCAAGGTCACGCTCTTCTCACATGCTGAATGACAGGACACAAGTCTTATAATCGCTGCTGAGGTATAGATTGCTTTAAGAGAGTGGGCATTGTACTGACATCTTTACAATCACCAGCGTGTTGAGAACAGAAATCCAGGCTTCCGTTCTTCTGATATCATTCACCTGTGTTGCAATGTATTACGACAGTGTACAATAGCACTAATCTACAGGACGGGTTTGGATATCATTAACATGTATTTGTACACTTCGCCTGACCTGAAAGTCGTCGGGTTGAAGCACATTTTGCAAGATTTCGTAGACTTTTCTGAAAATGTTTCATCACCAATCCAGCAAACACTGACCATTCTATAACACTATTTGAGGGTGACCTTACACGAGCTCCAGCCGTTACTGCCCCGTCCGAGGAAGCTACACGCCTCTGTTTTCATGTGATGGGCTACCCCCAGTCCGGCCAGCAGACGTTTCTGGGCATTGGTGTCCAGAGTTGCCGTCATGGACGACACATAGTCCGAGATCTGGAATCCTGAACCAGAACGAAAAAGAAAATTATTCCTTTAACTTGGTTTCCAAAGACTAACTTACCGAAATTGTCACCCATATTCGGAGACAAGTGTATTTTGTGTATTTGCCCATGATGTCCAAAAGGACTTGATTATCAAGTCATGATGTCTTCATAAATGTATCAAAATGTTCTCAAGAAAACTCGCATTTATCGCAACACTTCCAATTTGGATTGCACATGTATCTCTTAGAGTCTTCCCATAACTTCTAGGTAACACACCGTGACATAACTGAAGTACAGTTCTAAACGGTGTTAAACCAAACTCACATACCTAGTCAAATACGACAACGAAAGACCTATTTGAAGAAAACGTGGCTCTCAACCTGTTCAACCTGAACTGTTTGGCCCCTTAACTCTGACAGGCCAGGATGTTTCAACTTTATGTTGCACGCGCTTTCAATGAACCTAATATGAGTACCTGAACCCCCCATGGAAGTTGTGGGCAGACTTTACGCTGGTAATTCCATCATTATGACATAAGGAGACATACCAGGCATTGTGATAAAGAACCGATGTGGAGGATCGATACCCCGTCTTTGCCGTGTCCGGCGAGGTTACATAACCATCAAACAACGCTATCGTGTGAGGCTGGGATGTTGTCTTCACTCACCCGGTTCTAGTGAGGGCAGTTCGAACTTGCAGGGCTGTGACGTAAGCAGGGTGTTCTCCAGGACGGTTATCGTGGTGGGACATGACTGTCTGGCAGCGGGGCACACCTTCAGCTTCAGGTCAGCAATAAACGCCTTCTGATCCCGATGCTTTTTGACGCTGAACCTGGAGGACGAACAATAGGACCTCACTTAGTAACATGTCTGAACAGAGGCTGGTCCCCCAGAAACATATGATCGAGGAGCCTAACGTCTGTTTTGAGCCTTGATGATTTGATTTTAATGTTGACAAGCATTACCCATTCTCGTGTGTTTCACATCCGAGACCGTTTATCACTAGGGCTTTTCTCGAACATTATGTTGTGTACAGTTGTACAAATGAAATACTGTTCAGAACAGTGTCAAACAAATCCCTACGTCTTACTCCAAACTGTACTGGGCAAATTGAGTTTTACTTCCTGGTGATTGGGGGAAAGGTTTTCCCATTGTATTAGTACTTCGTTCCATTTCATAACATAACAATTTCGTCAGTAAATATATTTATTTTGAGATACCAGAAGGTTCCTCACGTACAGTGGCCGTGGGGTAGACTAATGGTTGAAACGTTCGTTCGTTACTCAAGAGACCCGGGTTCGATTCCCACATGGGTACAATGTGTGAAGCCCATTTCTGGTGTCCCCCGCCGTGATATTGCTGGAATATTGCGAAATGCGGCGTAAAACTAAACCCACTCCTCACGTATAAACTCCCTGCTATTGATAATATACTGTCGTTACAAGGACCGTCTGTGTAATAGCATGCATAAACTATTTTCTCTGTAATATCAAGTGTGTATTCGTACTTACTCCACTTTGATCAGACCGTGTAAGTCAATTACTTCCGCTTTACCTGAAACAGGCAACATATGATTATGTGTGCGAGGCCTACAGGTATATGTCAGTTTCACATTAGTACACATGGTCCGATAGGTACAAGTTGGTACAATAGAGGTGCCAAGGGCACAGGTATGTACATGCATTTACAAGTAGGTACAGATAAATGTCAGTTTCACATTGGAACACAGGATTCAATAGGTACAAGTTGGTACAATAGAGGTGCAAAGGGCACAGGTATGTACATGCATGTACAAGTAAGTACTAGAAATACAAATGGGTACAACCAGGTACATAAGGCTGAAACAAGTACAAGAGAATGAGGAAGGTACAAAGGTACACATAGTTGTAAAAGGTACAAGAAATTGTAAAACATCGTGTAAAGGGTCTTCTTGTCACACCCCGTGGTTCTTGGTTCCATATATTTTGTCCACCTGTGGGGACAGACGTTGAGTGTTGAGTATAATGGACACATGTCTGTTTGAACTTAAACTCCTTAGCGAGGCTGTTATATTATATCTCCAACCAGATCAATGTTTACTCAGTTGCTTGCAACAAAGAATGTCAAACTCCTAAAAATTATTGCAATTTATCTTAAACTATATTTACCTGTATAAATTGTAAATTGTTCGCCTGACCATGTGCTATATTTTGCTTATTGTACTTTTGGTCATGTGGCCATAAATACTGAATAAAGCTCTTCTTCTAAAGTACCAATACATATCCTATAGTCGGCAGGTAGTAATACAAACGAAAGACACTTCCATACAGAATATACAACAACAGTCATGAACTATGAGGCTATGTGTCGTTATATCAACATAACAACGTACTCTCCCGAGGAAGGTCGAAGCGGTGGGGTGGTATAGTGGTTAAAGCGTTCGCTCTTTACGCCGAAGACCAGGGTTCGATATTGCTGGAATATTGCTAGAAGCGGCGTAAAACTAAACTCACTCACTCACCTAAGGAAGGTCAATGTCAGACCAACCAACGGTTTACCATTTACCATATCCGGTAGACTTACCCCAGTTATAGTCAAACAATGAATAACTGAACATCATCTTCTCAATCCCAACGGTCATGCTGTTGCTGCAAGCGTCAATTGTGAGGAATGTTTTGAAGTTTCTCTTCACCTCTGACGCTTCGAGGCAGCACGAGACGCCAGTGCAGGTATCTGACAGGTGACAGGTGGCAGCTTGTGGCAGGGGCCTAAGAGGAACCGATCTCGGACAGTCTGGTAAATATGAATAAAGTGGTCACTTTTAATGGTTACTTTTAATGATTATAGCATAACAATACATTCAGATATCACCGACGTATATATTTCAATTTGGCACTTTGTTTGCAGTAGTGGTTATGACTTGTATTACTTCAGCCTATAAATATGTAAAATGACAATCTGTTGCTGGGGTTATTTCTGCGACAGCTGCAATTACATACATATTCGAAACATTCGAATTAATTAATCATCATTGAAAATAACATTAAGATATATAGGTTCGAAATGACTGCTTCTAATGTATGACTACTCAAATTACAGCAAATATACTCTTATTAGTTTGTTGTTTAACGTCGCACTCCCAACTATTCCAAAAATATTGCCGTGGCTTTTTAAATAATCGAGTCTGGCAGTATGAGCATAGATCAGTGACATGTGCCAACCAAGTCAGCGAGCTTGACTTCCCGATCCCGTTAGCCGCCTCTTACGACAAGCATGTGTAGCTGAAGACACTGGCCCGTATCTCAGCGGGTACGTTAATTCTGTGAACATGCGTGTTAGGTCCAACCTTTCTTCCAGCTGTCCTTGGCGCCCTTGAAGGGTTGGCTATAGCTCTGACATTGGCCAGTCTGCAGGAAGCGGGTGATGTCCAGTTCGTTCAGGATATCTGCTGATAGTTGAGCGTTCATCGCACCTCCTCTGTCAGCTACCCACTGTTTCACTGAGAACTCTGGAAGGTTCGATATAACTGTACAATGCTTTATGCTGATGTCATTTCAGCAACATGCCCACTAAGCGGATACTAATCAAACAGGCTTTAACATTATACGTGACGGTTAAACTATTTTCTGCCCATGGCAAATGACTGACATAGCAGATCTGTGTGAGTAATAAAACGACGGATTATATGCAGGACAGAAAGTATTCCAGCAGAACAAACAGGGTCATGGCGTATTTTATATTTTATCTATATTAACACATGCGCGGCAGATCTACATATGTCAGCAATTCTACTTCTAAAATATTGTATTAGCACTTGCTGACCAAACTCATATGACTACCGTCTTCCCAGTAGGCCACCAACAGAATTGATTTGAAACGAACCCCTGTCGTGGTATCCCTGCCTTGAGGGACATGATGGTATGGGCAGGAAGGCCTTGTCAAGGATCTGCACGTCCACCTCACAGCTGTCCTGTTCAAAGCACATGCTGGCAGTGAGGTCTACAGCAAAGACGTCCTGGGACTGCAGCCGCTCGATCCGGAACCTGGTGACAGTGACGACATAATGTCAAGAGCTACGTTGTTACTGGTGACGTAAGTGCAAATGTTTTTAACTGGTTTCTTCTTTGAAACTACATTCAGCCGTACTCCAGCTCTATGACGGTACCAGCGGTAATAAGCTAAGACAGTGATTGACAAAGCAAAGCCTCTGGTCGTTAAGGTACAATGATGACAAATAGTCAAACATATCACAAAACATGACAGCCGGATGCTCAAATTGCCCTTACGACCAACTCCTGTCATTAACCTGTTCTAGATATCTTTGTTTAGAATTTCAGGTTACATTAATACGATGTTACTCCAGCTACCAGAATATATGACTGAGTTTAGTTTGTAACCTTGATTTGAGTCGTGGTAAATTACGGCGGATGTATCAGTACCGTCAATCAAATATAAATATATCAAAGGTGTGTTTCGTTTAAAATATCACTTTTCCGTGCAGTGGTAAGTATATCTGTGTGTTCTGATACTAATGACAACCTTCCGGGATGGCGGTACCTATAATGGGTGAGTGGCGTTTTAACAACAACCATTAATGGTACTGGAATATGCGCATACGATCCGACTACTTGACACAAGTTGACATAACACAACCTACTTCATCTTAGCGATGTGGACACCATTGAAAGTCATTTCCTTTCTCTCGCCTGCAACCAAAACAACAATCAGTTACCATCTTGGTATATGACACAATACAACCTGATGCTGTCTTTCCCGAATTTGTTCTGGCCAGGACTTGGACAGGACAGCATTCTGTATCGGGTAACAAAGACAAAGAACAGGAGTGCACAGGGATATTTACATATATCATCACGTTACAGACTTAGAGGGACCGCTCCTTCAATTGACGACTCACCCCATCTATAATCCGGCATATTGACCTTGAACATAAACTGTTCGATGCTGCCTTCGATGTAGTGGTCACACATATCGATGTTGAAGGAGACCTGGATCGTTCTCCCCAGTGTCTTGCTCTCCAGACAACACTCTACAGCCAGACAGTCAGTGTTCAGATGACAGTTGACGGGCAGGTCCAGCTTCGACAGGCTACTGCTGTATTTGGGCTTAGCGCAGTCTGGAACAAAAATGCTCAATCCACTTAGTATACCTTCATTGAACTCATCATTTTGATTTCACATCCTACGAAGAATTATTTTCGGTGAAATATGTGTGTGATCTAATCCATCTGAAAGTGCGATAGGTTGCTAACAAATGAATGCACATCAAACTTTCTTGACACCCGTTGAGCCAATATATATGGTGTTGTCCCCGAAGTCATGGCAATCACACGGCTACTTTCTTTCAAAAAAAAAGGTTTATCCTGGGTGGATAGCTCATCATACAGCGGCTACACTTTATGAACTTATGTGCAAGCACGTGCGTGACCTCCAAAGGTTGTGTATGACTATCTCAGTATGTCATGTCTTTCGTGAACTGGACATGCCTGTATGTGTTTCACTGACATGCCCCCAAACAGATTATCAAGTGCACTATTCCATCTCAGACAGGTATTTCATAATCATAGTGAGGAATTCATATCTGTAAAACTGAGAACAAATCTCTTTAAGGGCGACAGTATTTGGGAAATCTTCTAAGTATATATTGTATCAAGCAAATACACCATTTACTCGTCCGCTGTCATAATCAGCAACGTTGGATACTGCAGCAAATAGTGACACAGTAACACTTTGACAAATCCAGATGGAACATGTAGTAACATTCCGTAGCTGCTGTCTGCTAGGTGCCATTAAAACAGAGGCACAATTATCTATTTATTCAAAATCACACACAGTTTTACACGTTCATATCATCAAGGTCCTCTTACCATTCTTCCACTGGTTTGTTCCAGCAGGCTTGAACTTGAGTCCGTTCCTATCACACGGCGGGTCCAGCATCTTGTCCTTGATACCGAGCTGTTCTAGCAACAGGTCGGTCTCCGAGGGCTGCAGACCACCGCTTAAGTCAATGCCCTTCTTACTGGCCCACTGCTTCAAGCTGAATTCTGTAAATAATACATCACTGTCGCAAGCCGCAGACATATAAAACCTAGTCATGAATATCTGCAGAAACAAGTTCCATTTAGTGTAGCGAAAAACAGCTGATCATATGAGTGGAGCAAATAAAGCACGCATCGTGGTCGCAAAAGGTAAATTTATGTTCCAAACGCTAGTAATTTTTTAAACATGTGCTGTGTGATGGTATCTGCTTTTATCTATCTACTTTACTCTACTATCTACTTTAATAAAAAATCCCTGTAATTCATTTTCACTTACTGCTTGTATCCATCGCTGTGCATTGTGTAGGTGGCAGTTCTGTGGCTGATAAGATGTTCGCCTCAAATAAACATTTGTCCTCTTCAAAACAGACTTTGATGTCGTAGTCGGCCTTGATGATCGCCCCGTCCTTCTTTACGTTGAAACTACAAAGGAAATAATTTATGGTCACCGTGTATATATTGAGAGCATTCATATTTCACAATTATCAAAACCCATATCCACTTTTACATATAGATAAAAACATGAAGCTGAATCATTCATCAGCAATGTTTCACGTTTACAAATATCTTATCAGCAGTGTTCTCATAGTCAGCATCACAGGTTTAACATCAGCTGTGATAAGTGTCTTACAATAGAGAGAACTTCAAAGTAATAAGACCCATGAAGATCCGGGTTAGAATTGATCTTCAGTAACCCATGCTCGTCGTAAGAAGCGACTAACGGGATCGGGTGGTCTGGCTCGCTCACTTGGTTGACACATGTCATCGTATGCCAACTGCGTAGATTGATGTTCATTTTGTTGACCACTGGATTGTCTGATTCAGATTCGATTATTTACAGACCGCCGCCATATAACTGGAATATTGCTGAGTGCGGCGTCAAACTAAACCCGCTCACTCACTCACTCAAAGTAATAACTGGAGTTATTTTGTGTACCTCATTTTAAAAACCTTGGCTATATCCAGAGACTTGGACACTCCTGTAAACAGTTCAACATAACATTACATTCACAGTTCAGATTAGATGCCCACATACATAATATACACAGAATAGCAATCATAACAGGCCACCAAATACACTGATACCTTCAAGTACAGAAGCGCGAGAAGAAACGTGGCTGTTTGTTGAAATTTCAAAAGGGCGGCAGTGGACAACCACCAGCTGATAAGGGTAAAATGATGTTTTGTGTAAAGGTAACGTATTGGAGGTGAATATGTTTACTCGTATCGGTTAATATATGTTAAACACACACAATAATAGTAACTGATATAGCCTTACAATGGAGCGGAGGTCAGATCATGCATGTTTAAGGTAGACTGCATCATATTGTCAGGATGCAAATGTAGTAATATAGAGGCGATTCCCAAAATAAATCGTTTATACATATTAGTAACATTATGTTTCTACCAATAGAAGTAATAACTCCGACCTTTGGTAAGGCTTGCTTTCTCCTTGAGGAGGTTGAAACTGATGGAGGTCTTCTCGATGGCCGCATTGATACTCTGTTGACACACGTCCACGTTCAGGTGTGTGCAGAAGGACATGCCCAGGTAGGCGACCTCAAAACAACACTCAATCCTGGTACAGCTGGCGGATAGGTGGCAGCGCACGCCTTCGGGAAGCTTCGTTAGTTTCCGTGTACTTCGTGGACATTCTGGAATAGAGTAAAAATAGTGCATTGTGACTTGCGTTTTCAAGAGTGACCCGGGCGTTCAATCACGAGTGAGCTGTACATTCATGGGTGACCTGAATGTTGAAGAGTGAACTATATGTGTTCACAACTCGCGGTAAAATCATGGGTATAATTTTCAGCAATGAGTTGTACTTTCACGGAGAAGTACAAGGTTGGTGAGGAAGCTGAAGGTTCAAAGTGTGTACGTTGTACGTTGCCGAGTGACTTGTAAGTTCCTGTGAATGTTGGTTGTTCATGGGTTGCTACAGGAACATCACGATGAACACATCACATATTGTAGCTATACAGGTATTATAATCTTCAATGTGATGAGTTAAGCATTTATCCCATAGGTTGCCCTCATGGTGACTGTGCAAAGTATATACGTGGTGATAATGATGATAATCGCTTTTTCCCAGTTAACCAAAATTGCATGGGTACATGGACATGACAACAGCTTCAACACAAATCAGTCTTCAAAAGTATGACAATCTTGTTTCGTGGTTTTCAGTACCTGATCGTAATGTTCTGTCTTTGTTGTCATTGAGAGTGGATAGAATTGACTTAAAAACAACATGGAGTGGGGACGTATATACCACTTACCATAAATATGTTTATCAATAATACTCATACTGGAGCTTCGGTGTCCCGGAGGTGCAAGACAACTTAGTAGTGAGTTCGAATCTTGATTACGGACCTAGTGAGTTTCACTAAAGGGGTATTTCTGCCATAACGAGCTGACGCGATATGATTCAAGCTGAGGTCAAGCAAACTCACTCACTCATTAGGTAATGTCATGCTACCGCGAATCTTACCATTTCTCCAGCCGTCAACCTGCGGAGTGTACGGAGGCCTTGTTTGGTCACATCGCGTCTTCAGGAGCTTGTCATTAATTGGAAACTTCTTCAAGAGAAGATCTGCTGTGGTCCGAGGCAGCTTTGGAAGATTTGGATCAAGGTCAAGACTGGTCAGCCATTCAGTCATCGTGAACTCTGAAATGTGTGACTTTCTCTTGAGCACTCTACTTCTTTTGATACCAAGTGACCTATTTTGTTCACATTTGAAATGATACTTACTCTGTCAATTTAATGAACAACGATGCATTCTATAATCATCATCGTATCGAATATTGCCTGCTATTACATTAACATAAAGGTAGGTCCAATTTTCAGTATTTGGAGAGAAGAGATGTTAATGTGTTCTCTTGAAGACGGCTGCACGAATGGAGCTTCGTTGTCTGGGTACAACGAAATATTTGAAACACACCGACATTTTACTACTGTCAAACTGTAATTCACAATTTACCTTGTCGTTCATAAATGTGAACTGTGTGTACAGCATATTTCTAAATATGTCTATTTCAGACACAACTACCATCAATTATACACATTAACGGGTTAATTAGACAGATAGATAAACTCACTGTTTTTCTGCAGAGTGACCTTGTGATCGCACCCTGATATTGTTTGTTGGTCCATGAGGATCAGGCCATCTTTAGGGTAGCAGTAGGTGTCAAAATCAATAGTAAGACATGTTGAAACGTTGAAGTCAATTTTGAAGTCTTTGTCCGCTTTGGATATCTTGTACCTGGAATTTACTGATATTATTAGGCTCGTCTCTATGAATCCGTGGCGGCATGCACCCTGTGTGTAAGTCTAAGTTAAAAAACAGAGTGCGTCAGAACATCTACCCAATAAGAGTCGGTTGGCAGCTTTTAAATACAGACCTCTTGCAGGGTAACACTTGTTTAGGTATTTGGGCATGACGATTCAAAGTTGATCGTCCTACAAATCCACAAAGGAGAGTGTTACCCTTTGAGCGGCTTTTAACATTTCATTCATATCATGGTGAGCTTGAGTCAACGTGATGTGTATATCATATAGTGAGTGAATGAGTAAGTTGAGTTTTACGCCGCTTTCAGCAATATTCCAACAATATCACAGCGGAGGACACGAGAAATGGGCTTCACACGATGTGCCAATGTGACGAATCAAAGCGTGAGGAGTGAACGCCTTAACTACCAGGATATCCCACCGCCCCTGAAGCAGATACTCCAGCAATTGAATATGATTAACGTGCCGCCCATCACTGACCAACCAATCCGTGCGTCATGACAGTTGGCCCCAAGAATAATGGCCTTTAGAAGATTGACTAACTGAGGGAATACTATTTTAATAAATAGATCATATTTTAAATTAGGTTAGTAAACATTTCCCGTTCAACTTGTTTCTCTGGAAAGATCCAAGAAATGTGTTTGGAACCCATTGTTTTTCAGACCGTACAAATGTCCACCGAGAGATATTTTTATAGAAGCTTAGGACAATTGCTTTTGTATCAACAGGTTGCATCGAAGTGGCTGTTCTAACCCCGTACGTACTGAAGGTAGACCGGTGTGCTGTTCCCCTTCCCGACTTCAAGAACAGCTTCAGTACCTGCAACAAGAGGACAAGGGCTGCATACAACTCAAGCAAACCCTGCAGTGACAAGGTTAAACTACGTTAACTGTGTAAAATATGTGATATTTGGGATTACACATTATCAGACACAGCGTATTGCTTCCGAGCAAAATTCCTTCGCACAATTTTCTTACCCCAGTTATAAGCTAGCAGTTTTTCTGCATGCTTGTATTTCCCATAGCCGATTTCAACGCTGAGTTCACAGGGATCAAAATTAAGGAACACCGGCAGTTTCACAACCGGTGGCGTCCTGAACAAGACCATGTCAAATGTATAGTTAACGCAGCAGTGGACACCGCCACAGGTCAGCTGACACGGGGTGGATTCGTACCCCTTGGGTAATGGAACTGAGGGTGTGTACTTCGGTTTAGCCGTAGTGCACTCTGAAAAAAGGAATTGTCAGAGTGAATCAAGGAAGGAACAATACGTGATCGAATGTATTATACGGGCGACAGGTTGGCATTCTGTATTGTGGATGATGACCTGTAACGTTATAACGTGTACCTCGTGCTGTGTTGATGGTGTGATGGTGGTATGTGGCAGGATGTCGTCAGCAGACTGGTATCAGTACACATTTGGGTCATTAAATTAATGATCCAACCTCCTACCAGTGCAACAAAGTGATGTATTTCTGTAATTATTGAATAGCTGGTAAACCAAAGGAATTTAACCACTACAAAGTCTGCATAGTGATTTCTCCCAAAAAATCCGATATTGCCACTATTCTGCCTTAACAACTGTTTGAAAATATTGAATCCAATTGTCCTGGAAAATTAACTAAACTCTGTTCCATAGTTGGTATTGTGCATGATTGTGGCTTTTCACACCATTTTGGGTCCGTTTTCGACCTTCTTCTATAATTGAAGGAATACATGTCTGTAGGGCATTTTGCAAATTATGATAACATCATGAATGCCATGAAAGGTCTTTTAGCCAGAAGAAGGAAGCCTTCTAACCACGTGGAACCTAGGAGCTCCAGCTTAGTTAGCAGGGTGGGTGAACACGGACAGGTCTACGTTAAGTAATTGGGACTATACTCCATCAACGTAGTCCATCATTTCAGACCTCAGCACATTTCAGCCATTCCTGTGGATTTGTGCAGTTTTACAAGTTACGTTTCGTCTCTCCTGACACCGACGTAGAATTGGATCTACAGACGCACTTCCTACAATGTCGACGTTACAAACTGCCCGTATAAGAATAAATTAGAATAAGGCATGCTTACGTCGTTTTCTAGATGATAACGAAGGTAAAGTACACTCTCCCTCCGTGAAGACCTCCTGCAAACAATTTACATTTCTTATATTATTTTATTTTACAGTTCAAAATAGTAAATGCTTCAAAAAGGGTTTGGGTGATCCTGGCACAGCGTGGAGTTGGTCATCAGCAGCTCAGTGCCCCTTCACTGACAACGAATAGGACTTTCCTCTTGGAAGAGATGTCCAAAAGTGATGACTAACCAACACCCAGAGTGTGAGGTACAGATTCCGAGAATAATTAGGGGTTGGATAATGTGGTATTTGGGATGACATTTCGTGACCGTGGTCCCGTTATTAGCCATGTTTTGTTAATCGTTTTGTTGCCAATAGGGAGAGGTATTCCATTATACAACTGATTTAATTGGAAATAGCAAACAGGATTGGCTGAGATCTGTGGACGTGGATGCGTCTGAAACTGTGTATGGTCATATTCCAATAATTTCTATAACTATGATTTTCAATGACTTCCCTTACATACTCATGGATTCAAACACCCTGGAAATGCACTGGAATCCCAGTAACACACTGTCGTTCATTTTCCCTCCTGATTTAGGATCGGGACTCTCTGTGTAGTGGAAAGAAGAAAAGTTTCTTCAAACATACCTTTAATCCAAGTATGTCTATCACATAATCGGTGGCTTCCTTGTTCAACTTTCCCCCCATGCTGGCGGCTATGGACATAATCGTGCTGTTTTCTGAGGTGGAAGAAATAGTGAGTGAGTGAATATGGTTTGATGCAGCTTTTAGCAATATTTCAGCAATATATCACGGCGGGGAACACCTAAGATGGGCTTCACACATTGTACCCATTTGGGGAATGGAACCCGGGTCGTCAGTGTGACGAGCGGACACTTAAACCATTAGGCTACCCCACCGCCCCTGTGGAAGAAATAAATATGTTTAAACACATTCTGCAATTCATTTTAACAAAGTTTCGGTAATTCTACTCGGATTTAATCTCATCTGTTCTGTGATTAAGTGTCATATACGGGCTACATTTGCCCGTACAGCCTTGTCCACGAATACCAACACAAACTGGTGTGTATGTCATGACACACGTCCCAAACTATTGATTCAAGGATACCTATTGTGTGTACCTATGAGAGATGGAAGATGATTATTCTGACCTGCAAGATGAGTCCTGCCATTACATTTGGGTATTGGCAGTTCAACATCGTTGAAGAACATGGCGTCCAGTAGTGGAGCCCCTTCTCCTATATCAATCAGCAACCCGATTGACATTCGGAAGTTCTCTTGGAATTCGTCTAAACCAACCTTGTACCTGTCGCAGAAGGTAGAAACATAGTACAACAGTCCTTGCAGAGCAGTTGGGTATGTCTCAGGAACTTACGTCATGAAGGAATATACTGAGGGTTGTCCCCACAGACACACCGGCTGTTGGTGTTACGCGTAGTCGTGATATTCATTCTGTAGAGGTAGTGACATAGGGGTATGTTCTGTATTATACATATTACATTATCAATACACCCAGATACATGTTTAAGCCGCTCCTGAATTGATGTGTTCCTTCGTGGTTGAGTGTATCGAGTTCATTAACGCTTTTTCACGAAATATTTAGTTGTGTTACTGTACCTGACGCCAACATGATCATTCAGCCTATAGACCTTCGGTTTTCCTGAAAAATAAAATTGTTGTTTTAAGACCAAGGGACAGTTACAATAACAAGTACTCTGCCATGAATGGAACAACATATACATGATATTGTCGTTTCTTCTAAATACAAGTCTTGAAAGAGTGTGATGAAAGGTCCAATGTAATGAAGACACGGATAGCATAGTGTCTTCTATAATGTACAAGGGAAAATGATCACCCAGCCTGCTTATACGATACACACCTCAACATTATCACCGAGCTTGTTTATATTATTATCGCCCAGTACAGTTGAACATGATCAATCAGCCTGGTTGTACTATATACAAGTGAACATGATCACCCAGCATGGTTATACTATATACAAGTGAACATGATCCCCCAGCATGGTTATACTATATACAAGTGAACATGATCACCAAGCATGGTTTTACTATATACAAGTGAACATGATCACCCAGCATGGTTTTACTACATACAAGTGAACATGATCACACAGTATGGTTGTACTATACACAAGTGAACATGATCACCCAGCATGGTTTTACTACATACAAGTGAACATGATCACACAGTATGGTTGTACTATACACAAGTGAACATGATCCCCAAGCATGGTTGTACTATATACAAGTGGACATGATCACCAAGCATGTTTGTACTATATACGAGTGAACATGATCACCCAGCATGGTTATACTATACACAAGTGAACATGATCACCAAGCATGGTTGTACTATATACAAGTGAACATGATCACCAAGCATGGTTGTTCTATATACAAGTGAACATGATCACCCAGCATGGTTGTACTATATACAAGTGAACATGATCACGAAGCATGGTTGTTCTATATACAAGTGAACATGATCACCAAGCATGGTTGTTCTATATACAAGTGAACATGATCACCAAGCATGGTTATACTTAGAAGTGAACATGATCATCTACCTTGGATCCCATATCTAACCCCATTTATATCCCAAAACTGATCTTACCCCACTCGTATCCCAGCAGAGAAAAGACTACAGTACATTCCTCGAAGCCAATGATAAGTTTCAGACTGCATGGTTTGGTGTCAACAAACATGGAGACAGTCTTGGTGAATCCCAGCTGTGGGATAGCAAGGTCGGCACACAAGTCTATTCGCATACAGTCGCTCGTCAGTTTTATGTAAATCATCTTGTCGATCTTTTCGTTCGGGATGGGTGGAAGAGTGACAGGCCTCCCGTCGTACTTGCAACCTGAAATGTTCAACGGTTGTTAATCAGTGGTGGGTTTCTTTCTTCTAAGATTCTGACAGTTTGCTAAGTAAATGTTACCATTGATATTATACATGTATATTGTTAGTCTTGAGAGCAAGCTGATCCTGAAAATATTCCTCATGGCGGTTCTGTGGAGATATCTGTAATGGTGATGTGATGTCTGTACACAGTTGTAGTGTGACAACTTCTGACATAAAAACATTGTGTATGTTTGTTCAATACAGCACCCCCTCCACATATAACACAAAACCTGCTGCACATTCAACACAGACACTGCTCCACATATAACACAATACCTGCTACACATTCAACAAAGGTTCTCCTCCACATATAACACTGTACCTGCTACACATTCAACACAGATTCTCTTCCACATATAACACCATACCTGCTACACATTCAACGCAGGAACTTCTTCACATATAACACATTATCTTACCTCACACATTAATTGTCGCTTTCTGATTGGCCGAGCGCTCTTCCGTTATTTTCAATGTACCCCGCTTACAAGCGAGTAACATTTCAATGTACCCCGCTGTCAATAGCAACGCATTTGGTACTTCGTGGTAGTAATTCTTTTTCTCGAATAACATTGAATCACGTATGATGTACGGAAATTACCGATGTTTTGCGAATGCAAATCGATGGAAGGGAGATAACTCTAAATCTGTTTTTCTTGTTAGCAAAATCTAGGGATGGCTACAAACAGATTTGTACCCGTGCTTCAAACAATTAAGGTGTTCGGTAAGATAAATACGTTGTTCAGTGGTCCCTCGGGGCCCATGGGTTAATGTACCCTCGATGTTTCTATATGTTCACCCTCGCCCTTTGGGCTAAGGGAACATGAACAAGCATATTCGGGCTTACGGAACATAAACAAACATCTTCGGGCTCAGGGAACATAAACAAACATCTTCGGGCTTACGGAACATAAACAAACATCTTCGGGCTTAGGGAACATAAACAAACATCTTCGGGCTCAGGGAACATAAACAAACATCTTCGGGCTTACGGAACATAAACAAACATCTTCGGGCTCAGGGAACATAAACAAACATCTTAGGGCTTAGGGAACATAAACAAACATCTTCGGGCTCAGGGAACATAAAAAAACATCTTCGGGCTCAGGGAACATAAACAAACATCTTCGGGCTCACGGAACATAAACAAACATCTTCGGGTTCAGGGAACATAAACAAACATCTTCGGGCTTAGGGAACATAAACAAACATCTTCGGGTTAGGGAACATAAACAAACATCTTCGGGCTCAGGGAACATAAACAAACATCTTGAGGTTCAGGGAACATAAACAAACATCTTCGGGCTCAGGTGAAACATAAACAAACATCTTCGGGCTCAGGGAACATAAACAAACATCTTCGGGCTCAGGGAACATAAACAAACATCTTGAGGTTCAGGGAACATAAACAAACATCTTCGGGTTCAGGGAACATAAACAAACATCCTCTGGTTCAGGGAACATAAAGAAACATCTTCGGGCTTAGGGAACATAAAGAAACATCTTCGGGCTCAGGGAACATAAACAAACATCTTAGGGCTTAGGGAACATAAACAAACATCTTAGGGCTCAGGGAACATAAAAAAACATCTTCGGGCTCAGGGAACATAAACAAACATCTTCGGGCTCAGGGAACATAAACAAACATCTTCGGGTTCAGGGAACATAAACAAACATCTTCGGGCTTAGGGAACATAAACAAACATCTTCGGGTTAGGGAACATAAACAAACATCTTCGGGCTCAGGGAACATAAACAAACATCTTGAGGTTCAGGGAACATAAACAAACATCTTCGGGCTCAGGTGAAACATAAACAAACATCTTAGGGCTCAGGGAACATAAAAAAACATCTTCGGGCTCAGGGAACATAAACAAACATCTTCGGGCTCAGGGAACATAAACAAACATCTTCGGGTTCAGGGAACATAAACAAACATCTTCGGGCTTAGGGAACATAAACAAACATCTTCGGGTTAGGGAACATAAACAAACATCTTCGGGCTCAGGGAACATAAACAAACATCTTGAGGTTCAGGGAACATAAACAAACATCTTCGGGCTCAGGTGAAACATAAACAAACATCTCCGGGCTCAGGGAACATAAACAAACATCTTCGGGCTCAGGGAACATAAACAAACATCTTGAGGTTCAGGGAACATAAACAAACATCTTCGGGTTCAGGGAACATAAACAAACATCTTCGGGCTTAGGGAACATAAACAAACATCTTCGGGTTAGGGAACATAAACAAACATCTTCGGGCTCAGGGAACATAAACAAACATCTTGAGGTTCAGGGAACATAAACAAACATCTTCGGGCTCAGGTGAAACATAAACAAACATCTTCGGGCTCAGGGAACATAAACAAACATCTTCGGGCTCAGGGAACATAAACAAACATCTTGAGGTTCAGGGAACATAAACAAACATCTTCGGGTTCAGGGAACATAAACAAACATCCTCTGGTTCAGGGAACATAAAGAAACATCTTCGGGCTTAGGGAACATAAAGAAACATCTTCGGGCTTACGGAACATAAACAAACATCTTCGGGCTCAGGTAGCATACACAAACATCTTCGGGCTGAGGGAACATAAACAAACATCTTCGGGCTCAGGGAACATAAACAAATATCTTCGGGCTCAGGTAACATACACAAACATCCGGGGTACATCAACCCATGTCCCCCTCGTGACCAGTGAAAAACTTATGATACCCACTACACATTCAACATTGGAAGTGCTTCACATATAACACAATACCTGCTACACATTCAACACAGGAACTGGTAAACGTACAAAAAGGCCACGCCCCACGTACAACACAATACCCACTTTTGTGAATGGCCCCGAGCCTCTGTACAAGCTCTTCATGGGTCCCCTCTGTGCTACTTCCCTCTTTCTTCAACTCATCCTTCAACATGTGGTCAGTCATGCCGTTTGGACGGGAGCATGGTGTCGTTTTACCAGGAGCCTAGACAATGATATAATCTTTCAGTATTTTTGAAGCAGGTCGTTAGAGAATACCACTTGATTTGCAGTGGAGCTGTGTACGAGGAATTAATGGCATGGATGAATTAACATCGGTAGCACAATATCAAATTAAATATTGCATTAATAGAGGTATAATCTCTTATACTCAAATACACTAAAGGAAAACAAACAACAGGACATGGTCTAATGTAACAGTCACAGATCACTCACTCACTCACTCACTCACTCACTCACTCAGTCACTGTAAATCACTCACATCCGGGGAAATGCAAGGCAACAGTGTCAGAAGGCGATCTATTCCCTCCTTTGCCAGTCGGAATGCTGTGTCCTTCAGTTTCTCTTTCAGCTTCCCAAAGTCCAACAACGACTTGTAGTCAACTGGAAAATAAATACTATTCTTGCACACAACACTGGAAGAAAAAAACATGCTATACAATGTACACATGGTATTCAGATTTTCTGAACAGGAATGTGTTTCAGCAACAGTAGCTACTGACATTCAAAGATGACATGAGATTCAAATAGAGCTACTACTCGTTAATGTGTATATTAGTGGTGGTCCGATTAATTGAAATAATCGAAGATTGGTCGTAGTGACTAAATGACCAAGCAATCGATCATAATTTCTCATAATTGAACACAACCAATTTTGGAACACTTGTTTTCATTAACAATATTTTTCACATGGTTGGTTTTGGCTGTTACATTTCGTAAGCACTACAAGCTCGTTCCAAGTCATGATAGAATTTATCTTAAAGGCTTCAAGAAATTTATGTTCCTAACATACTACTCATCCTTTACAAATGTGAAATTTTGCCAAAAAGACCCAAAAGAACTACATGTTTTTTTCCTTATTTTTATGTGCATTAACAAATTTCATAAATGACGCTAACCAATTATTTTCGATGATTGATCGGTTGTAATGAACCAATTATCAATTATGAGATTTTAACCAATTCCCAACACTAGTGTATATAGTGTCCAGTGTACTCACTGTCAGGCCAGGTTATCGTGCCATCTGGGTTGCACATAGGGAGGGGAGTCACGGCCTTATCCAAGATGTAGAAAAATCCCTGACATTTATCCAGGTTGCTGACAGAGCAAAATCCAGCTCCAAGAGAAACAAGCATAGCCTTTTCACTTTTCTCCAACTTGACTCTTGAAAACAAGGATGTATGTACTTTGAACAAATCACATCAGTGTATGGACAAGTATTATCGCACAGAAAAGTAAACTGCAAATTGTTGATACAAAAGGACAAATGTTGTGAAATATCAAATCTTTGAAGGGCATTTAGAAGTGAAATGCATAAGAAAAGCAAGATATATGGATGTCAGGTTCTTTATTGTGAATACCGAGACGTTTCGGAGCGTATGCTTGCTCCGTCACCAGGTACTCACGATACATCCACCCTTTATAATCCACCTTTTGCAGTGTATATAGATAGCATTGTCTGTTGTAATACATACCTCAGACCATTCGGTACCATAGCTTTGTATGTAACTCACATAGAATGTATCATAGTCGATTGAAGATATTAAAATGTTTTGAATATCTTCCGTAACATTTCCTTTGAATGTAGGGTACAAATACTGATCACGTGTAACATGTTACACGAATTAAACACTCAAAACCAGCGATGTTGCCACGCGACAGGGTAAGGGTGTTCTTATATGTCGGATACATCCGTCCCTTGCATACAACTTACAAACGAGTAATCATGAGTACTGATATAACTAATTATAGGGGTAACAGCATAGCATGTTGATACGAGAGACTTAAATTAGTCCTATTGTTTATCATATACCTTTGAGAAATTTCTTAACATTTCATTTGAAGGTGAAGCCTCGATTAAAAGATTACGTGTTAGCAAAATCTGTTTCTGATAACTTTGTGTCAAGTGTTTTTTCGGTTGTGCGTTACTAGGAAATTGAGAACGATTGACGTAAACTAGACCCGATGGTATATTACAAAATCGAAATCATCCCTTCTTTTGAAGACGTGTGGTAACGACAAAATTCGTAATATGGTCATAGGATGTCGCTGCTTAGAGGCCCCAGTAACAGTCCGAGTGTATGATCCGAATGTATAATTTGAGTGTATAATCTGAGTGTATGATCCCTGACTCTGCGCTGATGAATCAATAAAGAAAGAGTAATCATTTCAGGTGTACGCGAACATAAGCATATATTTCACAACCACACGCAAAGGTACAGTAATTGTTGATCTGACAACACTCGGGTATACATGGTTCAAGTTAAAACAGAACTGTTTTACCACATCTGTGATGTGGTAATCGAGGGCAACAGGTTCGGTATTCTGAATATTTTAACACTATTGAAACAAAGATTCGAAGGCGGTTTGATCTTGATATAATTCCTTTTGTAAAAGCTGTTAATTTTATCAAACATGAATGTTGACACAAAGCTGACCGCTGTCCAGTGTGTTGAACTGAAGTAGCCCTTGCCTATACCTGAGAGCCGGAGAACTGACTTATCACATACCGTATTATTAACTCTATCCCACCGAGTACCTCAAGCACCAAGCCGGTCTGGATTTTCTGATCAAGACCTGAAAATATGTTACGTAATATATTCGAAAAGTACATTTTAAATGACCTTATTCAAATTATCACCTTGTTCTAATGAGCAAACATTATCCTATTGTCCATCCGTTCAATTACCCAACCGCCCAATTACCGACTCCTTTACGTTACTCAGGCCACAAGCCCCAGCCCACTCTCCCTGTCATTACACTAAACAAACTGACATGAGGTATTATGAGAGGGCGATGGCAATCAAAAGTGTATGTCTAATATATTTATCATTAAGTGCCCAGAGAAACAAACTAGTTCAGATGACAAAGTAAACACGCAGATGAAATGTGGCTTATACTTTAGCGTTCAGAAAAACAAAAAGAGCTGATTTTTTTGTTGGAACCATTTACAACCGGTGTGGAAGGAATTCGACATTTTAAACAAAATGTTTCAATTATACCAACTGTACTGTGTCAGAAAAGCCCAATAAATGCAGGTCTAAGACATTGACAACATCAATGAGACACACGAGCTGAAGCGTTGAGCTGACACAGCATGGGAAAGGTTATCCCAACACACTTAGGTTTAATGTGCATATATTTCAAAGAAGGTTTTCTGAACATGTAAAATCGGAAATACAGTTTATTGATCTAAAATATCATATTGTGATCTTGCTTGCCTGAAAACATATTGTTGAAACCGAAATTTGGCAGTTTGATGGTTGTGTTGAAGGTGCCAGCACCCAGATGGAAGGCCATGGTGCACGGGTCGAATCTGGCGTAGACTTTATAGGTGAATCTGAACATGAACGCCTTGAAATACACGCAGCACTCTACTCCCAAACACATGTTGTCGAAGGTACAGAATATAGACTTCGGCATTGCGATATTCCACAGTGGACACACTGAAAGCAAAACGAAGCGCGTTGAAGTATGTACATATGTGTTGTATGGGACGTGTATTTGACTATGTGTTAGGACAGGAAAGGTGGACAAATCGGCTTGAACATATGTTGGAAATTAAGTGTAAATGCAACATTTCATCACAGTGTGCTTGAGTATATAGTGTCAGTATAATTCCATTGTTTGAAGTGAGCAATATTCCAGCAACATCACTGCGGGGGACACAAGAATATGGTCTGCACACATTGTACCCATGTGGGGAATCGAACCCGGACCTTCGGCGTGACGAGCGAACGCTTTAACCACTAGGCTACCCCACCTCCCCCCAGTGTTTGAATCTACTGACATCATGTTCCTAATGTCAAGATGTTTGAAAGACACGGGCCCTATGTGACAGAACACTTTTTTCAGTGAAACAATTATCATTCCGTATCGCTTCGAAGAATGTGCTATCCATGATATTTGCCAGGACAGTACAGGATCGCTTGTGTCGAAGCGAGGCTGTTGGAAATCGACCTCAAACGGCGATTCAAAATATTAGCAACATACACCAGGCTACTGCGGTTTGAGTTAGAAATCAGAAGACACGAAATCTCCAAGCCGCTCATCACCATGACAGCAGACATTTCGTCACGTGTCATGTTTTCAAATGAGTTCCCATTCACATTGCACGTACATGATCAGGGTACAGCCAGTATTATCTTATGACTGCCGGTGGAATGGTGTTTGTGTGGAATGGAATCAAGTTGAGCGAGTCAGTGTCACTGAACAGTAATATCTTGACTACACACCAACTCTCTGCTATCATGGGAGACTAACGGTATTGCCCATTACTGATCCACAAACTATGATCAGAGAAACTTTCCGTCTTGTCCCCATTGTGCTTCGAGGTGGTTGCCGGTCATAGCTGCTACTGTTGTACTTGATCCTAAATTAGTTCGTTCATTATTTCCATACAACTACGACCACAAACTAACATCTTACAGGTTGGGAAATGTAAAACAATTACCGGTGGAGGGAGTTGTCAGGACTTTGATCATGTCGTCCCTGGAACCTATGGCTTTCTTCCCTCGGTCTCTAAGTTCCGCTCGTAGCTGCTTGTCAGTATACTGATAGGGATTCAAGCAGGGCTTGGTGTCCATCATCACCTGGGAGGGATAGAGATACTCACTTACAAATGACATGTGTGCTGTAAACACAATATATATGTGACTTCAACATGACGTGTAATATAACTACCAGGGCCTACGTGTATCGTATGTGTAGATATTACGTAACAATATACTAACAACATGTTATATACTTTCAACATCAGTATATGAGAACAAAGAGGATTCACAAAACATATATTCAACGTGTGAGGTCTGTATTCATGTTTGACCGGATAGACTGCATATATATTTGACAATATGTACAGGTATGTATGTGTCAGATATCTGAATTCAGGTTTGACAAGGCGAACTTCTATTTTTGTTTCACAACAGACTTTCCAGCCGAGTGAAGGCGTAACGCCAAATGTTCATGTACTGCCTCTGCTAGCTTACCCAGTGGGGTAATGTTTGTCCTCTTGAAGAGTGATCCAAATATATGTTTGCCATGTGTGATCTGTATTCATTTATGTCTAACTAACCTTGATGCTTTTGATGATCTCCGCCACGTGTTTCTTGGTTTCATGCAGTTCCAAGACATCCAGGACATCAATGATTGACCCAAGCTTGATGTCACGGATGGAGAAGTTCTTAATAAACTTTACAGCATTCTTAAACAGTGTTGACAGTGCTGCAAAAAGTGGTTCCAGTGATTGTAAAACACAATGACATATAGCGATTATTTATAGAATCAAAACTTTCAAATTGTATCATAACATACCGTTATCTCCTGATCCAATAAGTTTATCAATATTCGCAGTAATCTTGTCCAAGATACCTGGAAGACAAGCAGACCAGTACACATTTAATAACAATCACGATATATTTATACAGCGCAAGTCCCAGCGAAGCTTCTCACAGTCGCATTACGTTTCAAACATTAACAAAACCGGTAAAAACAGTATTACAGTGCCAGCTTGGCTTTGACCAGTGCCACTTGATTCATGCGGTGTCTACACATATGGTTATTCTTTACATGGGAAGATGTGCATTTTCAGTTCATTGCGAAAGACCTGGAGAGTAGGTGCTGACTACATTATGATCCTGAGTTAACGATATGCACATTGAAAGGCTAAACCACCAAGTTTTGTTATTAACCTCAAGCTTCGTTATATCAGAGTCTGTTATTGCATCTGAAGGGAGTTCTCTTCTGATGAGGCTCCATCCAAATGAGGTTAAAATAACTTTTTTGACAAGTGTAGGATGTCAAAACAGACGTAGTGCTACATTGCATACTCGTAACTACTGGGATCTAGTTTAGAACAGCAGCAACACGAAGAATATAATTATACTGAATAATATTTATGAAATCATATAGTAATAGTGATTTCCATGAAGAATGCGCAAATAGTACTTGGACTATTAAATACGGAAACAGATGCATTGAAAGGACTTCAAGCTATACTGAAGCATGACGATACTTCATTAGCACATCAGACGAATCTTAACACTTACCACCACCACCACCCTCCTCCTCCTCCTCCACCACCACCACCACCTCCTCCTCCTCCCCCGAAGGATCCTGAGATGAGTTGATAGATCATAGTGTCGTCCCCCGACCCCATCTGCTCTGGGCTGGTATCGACTTTGTTCTTGCCGTCCAAGCAGATAATACAACCCTCGGCTATGGTGTCCATCTGGGAAAATGTGTGAGTAGGGTTTAATTAAGAATGCGCTATGAGCTGATGTGAAGGAATCAGAGCGAAGCGGGGAATTCCAACGTTCGAATTATGGCTGGACACAAAGACCACAAATGTTCACACGTACACTTTTAAACGCAACTTCTCTAAGCAGTTACCTTTCTGAAAACATACTGTATCATAAAACAAAATCTGCTGCAAATTGCCTTTAATTAAAGTTTTATACTGTCAAAGCTGCTCGAAGTTGATAAATGTTGATCTGGAGCTGAGTTCAGTTCCAAGACACTTTCCCCATATAGAAGGTTGTTGCTTTCAGCTGGGATCCGTGTCATTTGAATGACATTCTAAGTCTTTAGCCCGAGAATAAAGACTTGACTATATTAAGATGTGATGGAAACCGTACCTTGAGCACGACCTTGTAGTCGTCACACTCTTGATTCCAGGCAGGAAGACCTGGTACACGGGGCTCCAGGTAGTGGGTGGGGTCGATGAAGCCTCCATCTCGCTTCATGGATACGTGGACGTGATCATGCCCCTTGCAGGGGGACTCCGTGCTCACGCCAATCACCTGACCCCTCAACACCTGGTACCAAAACAACAGTGATATTTATCCTTTTATATACCACGCTCGTATTCATGGTCCGCTGACATTTGCCTTGTATTGCCCGCTCACCTAGCTCATCCTGTCTGTGACATTGCATAGCAATACATGTGTAATATTTGACATAAGGTTGATAGATTATAACCATTTCTCCTTTGATTTTACTCTGTGATTTTACTCTGTGTGATTTACCTCCACTTTAGACCCGTGAAGATCCAGGTGAGAATTGGTCTTCAGTAACCCATACTTGTCGCAAGAGGCGACTGACGAGATCGGCTGGTCAGGCTCGCTGACGTGGCTGACACATCGCATCCTATTTGCGTAGATCGATGCTCATGCCGTTGATCACTGAGCTGTCTGGTCCAGACTCGATTAGTTACTGACCGCCGGCATATAACCAAAATATTGCTGAGTGCGGCGTTTATCAACAAACCAACCAAACCAATACCCACCTTATATTGTGATTTATGATACTGTCCCATGTGTCATTGCCTGGTATTTTCATTTACCCGTATATATACCATGATGATTAACAGCAGCTAACGATATAACTGTGAGTAGCCATATACAAGGTAATTATACTGGAAGAACCGACAGCTTGAGGTATACATTCATTTCAAAGTCATGTTTAACGTATGCGCGCATGTGCATGAGCCCCGTTTTATAACGGTATCTGTTGATGTAGAGCAGCAACGGTATCTGGTACTAATGTTCTACAGATGATGTTGTCCTGTGAGATCCTGTTAATTGTTATACATTGATAGAAGGGCTATTAGACAAATGGAAAACATCCGCTTCACTATATTTAAAAAACGTACCTTTACCGGCTCCGATCGAGTGATGGTGTCGTTTGGTTTGATGTTAGTTATGTATATATGTGTATCCTTCAACGACCCACCGCGGATGTCGAGAATGACCTCATTGGGGTCTTCAGAGAGGGTCATAAGACCATGGAAAGGGGAGATAATCTGCAAAAAATATCATGACCTGTATCGTCATTGCATTCGAAAGCAAACAGGTACGTCGGTTACTGATATAACATGATGTGGGTATATACAGGGAGATTATTAGCTGGGTGATTTTCCTATAATATTTATTATTAGTAACAATCTACATATTTCTGTTACATTTTCTGTACACGTTGATAGCTGTATCTTTAAACAAAAAGTCCAGTGTTTTTGTAAAGTATATTTGGACACGATGTATGGTTACCGTAAGTTAATCATATAATGCTGATTAATGTACAGCTATGATTGTGTACAGACACGACATTACATCTCACACATTTACCGGAGGGTGATGTGAATTTCGTCGGACTGTTTTTCACGGTGATAAATCTTTTAAAAACCCAATATCAACATGTGTTCCCAGTTGGTTTACTGGACATTCAGAATTACCTGAAAATAGGTGCCAAGGAATGATAATGTTTTGCTTCTCCTGGCGGACCCTTTACTTGTAGACAATAACAATGTATATGTTTGGTGTGAATAAGGAGTCCTTCATTCTCAACATGATCCGCAGTCTACCGCGTCTGTTACTGTTAATGTGTAGCCAGGGGACGGATAGCAATAATGCTGGACAGTTTTCCTCATATGGTGTTCCTCTGATACATAGCAATATAGGTACATAGCTATGCCAGCGAACATTATTCAATGACGATAGTTACACGCATGTAATATATCATTATATGATAGGCTCAGCGCCTTGAGCATGTACTAGTCTCGTGGATTTTTGCGCTATATAAATATCCTACAAGAATAATAATTAGAAGAAATATATACCCAGTCGAAATGCCACACGATGTTAGTTTTATATATTGTCGTTCCAAACGTTCACGGCTTATCTGAATATATGCCACATCACCGTGAAATAACAACACTCATTCCAGAACATGATTAACACGGACTTCATCACTGACCAAATAAGTGGTTAAATTTGGCCAATCCAATCCTCATTTACCACTACTTATCGACAGAATGAGTGAATTAATTCAAGGTGCTTCAATTGGATAGGTAGCACACAAAAGTACCGTGTACACCGGCAAAATAGGCAAAGGTCGTGGCTGATAGCGAGAGCAAGAGTTCAGATGTTTACAAGGCCACACAACCAGTTCAGGGCGCACGTTTACCCTGTAATACTCGTGGAAGATGGATGAAGATTCCAGATCAGGATTTGTCCTTAACAACCTGTGCTGTCTGCAAATAATGAAACCTGATGTACCGGGTGGACCTAGTGGTCGGGTACGGCGATTTGGATGATTATGCGTCATGGGTGCACGTCGACAGCGTTAATCCTTGCTTACAATGTCAGTCAATGGTTTGTATAGCCCAGAATTAATGTTTTGCTAGGCCGCCGTTGTATAGCTTGAATATCGTTAAGACTATCGTTTCCACCCATGTATGTTGACCACGAGTGTAAATAGATATGCGCTGTGTTCTTGAAGTAAATGAAGCTCTTTATGACTGAATACATTTCGATGACTGGGTATGTTTAATTCAGGGCAAAGGTCAATATGATAACAACATACATTCTCGCCAGTTTTCAAGCGCACGTCCACTCCATCGTGTGCGTATTCCGTCCCAGTGCCGAGTCTGGAGGGGTACGTTCCAAAACCACTACAACCCCCTCCTTTCTCTCTCCTGGAATTGGGGAAGTCCTTGTGGAACTTGGGTCCAAACAACCGGTCAATAAAGCTACGGGCCGAACCGAATCTAAATCCAACAGACAGGAGAAATATCTTATGTGACTGGTAATGATATCGCGGTATGAAACAATCGTGGGTCCAAACAACCGGTCAATACAGCTACGGGCCGAACCGAATCTAAATCCAACAGACAGGAGAAATATCATATGTGACTCGTAATGATATCGCGGTATGAAACAACCGTTTCCAATATAATATCTATCAGTATCTTGAAACCACATGTGCGGCCTTATATAAGTCAATGGAGATTTGTGAATGTAAGTCAATGGCATTTTTTTTCTTTTCCCTTTCCACAAATTTTGTTTGAAACCTTTCCATTGACGAGGAAATGATTCGATGTTCATATTCCTATCGTGGACACTAACCATACGACCATAGTTTCGGAACTGTTCAGCTGTTTTAATACAAAGCATAAGGTACAGTGTGTATTTCAGGTCCACATATATTTTACGAGCGTTTCTTTGGTTGTTGGAAATTGTCTTCAACAAACATCAATATTTGCCCCCCATTATTTATAAGTCCAAGAAAGTACTAGTCCTCGATTTTGTTTGAAAGTGGAATCTGTCGTGGCTGCAACAGCCCTGCACTGCAGTCTGGATTTCCATTTTCAATCGAAACTTCAGAACCGTGTGTTTTAACAGTAACACCGAAACAGAATAGCTCTGCTTATAGTCGAAGAATTATCGCATTCATTCAACTGCCACCACAGTAAGACTCACGATCCTTCTTAGACGAAGCGAGCAACCGTCTAGGATCAGATGATTTTCCAGAATATAATGAAGATATAGCACCCTGGAGAACCAGGAAGGTGCTATGCCGATTCTGTATCACATGTCATCGATGACGGAATCTGACTGCATATATAACAGAGTCGGTGACCATCCATTTCAGTGAGTTTTCATATGACACGCCTTGTCCCTTTTCAATTGTAAATGAATTGAAGTTCTTATAAAAAACTGTAGCAAAATATGAAGCAATTGACACCAATAGGGTTACTGTTGGTATTATTGGTTGACGTCAGTTACCCGTTCTTAAGAATGTTGTAAGCTTCCTTGATGTCCATGACGACCCGGTACACCTTTTGGAAAGTGCCCAGGAACTTGGTCCCCATGTTCTTCAACCCCTTCAGCGGTCCAAGAATATCATCCAGGATCTCATTCAGCAGCTTCACTAACCGTTCCTTCTCCGAATTCTACAGATAGAAACACAAGCACAAATTATCTCTCATACACCCTCTTCGCAATTCAAGAAGGTTTTATGCAACTGAACTGTTCATCTTGGGGATATTTCATCGCAATAATATCTAGGAAATGTTATTGACAAAACCAAGACAGCAGAAGAAGCTGATATTATCAAACCCGCTTCTAAAAAAGCCGCTTCTTTTATGGTTCATTCTGTTCCTTGAACTGTTGGAGTTTCACGGGAGGAGACAATTGGGCTATAGGCAACTATTTCTCCCTTATTATAAAGGCGTGATTCATGACATTTTACACGTTTCTTCGCAATCCTGGTGTTCGGCGTGAATAATTATTTAAGAAGAAATGTTCCTAATGTTGCTACAACCTACCATCGATGTTTTCCCATGTGAGAAAGAGGCGACTTCGTCGTTAGTGATCGACTCCATCACCCATTTCACGCCGCCCTTTGCCAGAGTCGTGAAAGCAGTCTTTGCCAGGCTAATGATCTCACCGATAGGACCGTCCATCTTCATCCAGTCAGGTTTCTTACCTGTAATAATACGCGGATTACCGTAACATGAATCAGGCTTATTTTCATACAATGATGATGACTTTTTCACATGACGACTTGAAGCTTTGATTGCAGATGTAGTAGGAACACGCACCGTGCGGTTGCACAAGTACGCTGCAGTATACATATTCATATTTAATGTGAAATGGTGACTAACGTCGCGTATCATTTGTCTTACATGTGACACGTGAGTGCAGCCCTTGGTATAATGCCGGTGTTGTGGCGTTACATGCACAGTGATCACATACCATGCTGCAGTTATACATGGACACATCACTCAGACAAAGTATACTGATCGGTGGTCGATCTTCCGGTGGCATTGTGGTTTTAATAAAGAATCATTCACTTAAATACTTGAAGTGGTTTAAAGTAACAGAAAATGCTGTGTTCGTTCTTCTCGACCGTTCACTGTTTGGTTTTGATAAAGATATTCTATATTCCTGTGTCTATGTACAACCGGAGTCATCGTCATGGTATGATAAATTTCCCCTAACTGTAAAAATGGTATTAGTATATTCCAGGACTCTATATTAGAAATTATCTCATATCTACCAGATTGTTATATCTTGTGTGGCGGAGATTTTAATGCTCGAACCGGAACCAAAGCAGATTTTGTTGAAGATGACTTATTTGAATATACAGAAAATCATTCCTACTGGGATTTTCTTATAGATTATTTTAACTTGCAGCGTTTCTCCGCCGACAAGGTCGTTAACAACTTCGGTAAAACATTTCTTGATATGTGCTCTGTTTTAAACACTCATATACTAAATGGTCGATGTGGAAGTGACACAGAAGTTGGAGATTACTTTTCTAGGTTCAACTGGTACCAGTGTTATTGACTATATAATTTCTTCATCAACAATATTTGACTATATTCTAGATTTTAGCATACAAACGAGAACTGAATCTGATCATCTTCCCATTACATTAAAACTAAACACAGTACAACTCGAGCAATCCAACACTTCTACCAAATGTAGGAATAAGTCGTTTAAGTTCATTTGGGATAACGATAAATTAGAACAGTTTAGAAAAAATATTTTGTCAGATAACGTACAAGAATTACTAGATAAATCGATTGACTGTGCTTTCGTTAATATTGATGATAGTATAAGCTATATGACCGAGGCACTCTGTCTGGCCGCCTCTTGCATGCAGAAAACAGTTAGCCCTCCCACAACAACAACTAATAAATGGTTTGACTCTGAATGTGAAAGATTAAAATCAGACCGATGTAGAGCTCTGAATAAGTTTAGGAAATCGAAAGAGAAAGAATCATACGATCAATATTGCGCTAAACGAAATAAATATAACTCAATTTGTAAGGAAAAACGCCTTAATTATTATAAAGAGAAGCAGAGAGAAATAGGAAACAATATATCTGATTCCAAAAAAATTTGGTATGAACTCAAACACCTGAATACTAGACATGAAGCTCAAAACAACATCGAAATGAACGACTGGTTAGAACACTTTCGGACACTGTTTAACTCTTTACACAACGAAAATGACGATGTAACATGTGATAATTTTGAGAATGAAAACCCATCAGATCCGAATTCAGCGCTTACCAAGGTAATACTTGATTCCCCAATTACTAGAGATGAAATCTTAGATAACATTAAACAATTGAAATGTAATAAATCACCAGGAATTGATAAAACAATATCTGAATTTTTAAAATACTCAGCAGATCTTATCGTCCCGTACTTAGAATAGCTCTTGAATTTGATATTATAAACTGGTACGTTCCCCAGATGTTCGGCAATTGGCATAATAGTTCCTATCCATAAACAAGGTAATATAAATAATCCAAATAATTACAGAGGCATAACACTACTGAGCATATTTAGTAAAACTTCCACCTCTATAATAAATAAAAGACTTGTAAACTGGGGAGACTCAATGGATAAGATCAGCGAAGCGCAAGCTGGCTTCAGACAGGGATATACGACAGTAGATAATATGTATATACTGCAAAGTATTATTCAAAGGTATTTAAACTCTAAAGGGGGGAAATTCTACGCATTATTTGTAGATTTTTCAAAAGCTTTCGATCCAATACAACGAAAAATACTTTGGCTTCTATTTAATACCCACGGTCTCAGTGGTAAAATGAGTAAACTTTTATGCAATATGTATGAAAATGTTAAGGCTTGTATTAAAAGTAATCATAATTTTTCAGAAACATTTGACTTGCAACTTGGTGTGAGACAAGGCTGTATACTAAGCCCATTTCTATTTTCCTTTTGTATATATGAGTTAGCACGACAAATCGAAACTAATTGTGTACACGGGATTCAACTCCACCCAGATATAGTTCATATTTTCCTATTGCTATTTGCAGATGACATTGTTTTGTTCTCAAGCACGATTAATGGCTTACAGAATCAAATTAAGGAACTTGAAAGTTACTGCGATAAATGGAAATTAACTGTAAATAGAGAAAAACAGAAAATTGTTGTATTCATAAATGGAGGCAAATTGTCTTAAAAGGAAAACTGGTTATATAAAGGTATGAAGCTGGAGTGCATTGGCTTTTATAAATATTTGGGACTATATTTCACCAGTGGCCTGTCATGGACGAGGCATGTAAAATATGCAGCGTTACAGGGACAAAAAGCATTAATTGGAATTATGAAACAGTTGAGTGTACTTGGTAATATTAACTACTCTTCATTCTTTAAAATATTTGATGCCAACGTCAGTCCAATTTTATCATATGGGGCCGAAATTTGGGGAATAACAAAATTTGACGAAGTTGAAAAAATCCATTTATACGCATGCAAAAATTTCCTCGGAGGTAAAATTAACACTATTAACGCAGTGATTTATGGTGAATGCGGTAGGTTCATCAATGCACATTCTTACAAGCATTAAAGTTATTAAGTACTGGCTAAAACTGTTGATTATACCTTCAAATCGCTTACCAAAGAAGTGTTATAATATGATATTGTTATATGATAAAGATGGACAAAAAAACTGGGCAACTAATGTAAAAACCTTTTTTATATTCTATTGGTTTTGGAATTACATGGAAAACACAATATGTCGAATCACCTACGTTATTCATACAATCCTTAACGACAAGACTAAAAGATATGTATATTCAAACATGGTGTGAAAGGATATCCTTATCAAATAAATGCATGTATTATTCATTGTTTAAAAATGCCATAGTCCTTGAGTCATATATATCTATCCTGTGTTAATGTTAAAAAGTTTAGAATAGCACTGGCACGATTCAGATGCTCTTCTCATGATTTGTTGATTGAAAGAGGCAGATATATGAATGTAAAAAGAGAAAATAGAATATGTACACTTTGTAATTTTAACGAAATAGAAGATGAATTACATTTTCTTCTAATATGTCCATTTTATGACAGGTTGCGAACAAAATATATCAAAAGATATTACTATGTCCATCCAAATGTGGTAAAATTCTCCTCACTGTTAAGTAGTAAAAATCCAGTTCTTCTACAAAATATTTCAATGTTCATTTACTATGCTATGATTACCCGATCTAAATTCCTCTCAAATGTAACATAACTTTATGTACTATAGGCCTGTGGCCTTCTCAGTGCAAATAAAAGATTATATATACTGACAGCCAGGGCAACAACAAGTACCATCTTTTAACGGCTTTCAGTATCGAACACCTGAAGGTAGGACGATCAGCTACACCACAGAGACGTGTTATTTAGCTGATTGAGTGGCTGAAACCAAGTTAAACCTCACTTGCAGACCTACCCGTGAAGATCCGGGGTAGAATATTGATCTTCAGTAACCCATGCTTGTCGTAAGAGGCGACTAACTGGATCGGGTGGTCAGGCTCGCTGAATCGGCTGACACATGTCATCGGTTCCCAAATGCTCATGCTGTTGATCACTGGATTGTCTGGTCCAGACTCAATTATTTACAGACCGCTGCTATTTTGCTGGAATATTGCTGAGTGCGGCGTAAAGCTAAACTCACTCACTCACTTGCAGACCACAATGTGACCACAGAGAGAAAGACAGACCGGCATCACCAATATCACTGGCATCTATATTATAATTTCGACCTCTGCAACACATAAATTATCAAAAGGTGGAAAACGTATGGATGTGATTTCTTGTAAGTGACTTTACGAAGTAAATTCTAACTCCTTCATCAGATGAAGATAAACTTACGGAGTATCTTCAGATGAAAATGGAGGCGTTAGAATATACACCGCATAGTGGTGTCACGCCGAAGACGTCGACATCCATAAACATTCACCATTTATGTGTATCGCTTCTAAACGTATTCTGGGCGATGGTGTAGCCTAGTGGTTAAAGCGTTCGCTCGTCACGCCGAAGACCCGGGCTCGATTCCCCACATGGGAAAATGTGTGAAGCCCATTGGTGTTGTCCCGCGCCGTGATATTTCTGGAATATTGCTAAAAGCGGCGTAAAACTAAACTCACTCACCTATACGCACTCACAGACTTTATTTAAATAATTTATTACACTGATACCTCATTTCGACAGAATTCAGCATTCCGATGGTAATTTTTACTGTAATTATAGGTGTCTGTAGTTCAAAATTAGCTTTTGCTAAAAGAAAAATGTGTGAATTTTACCTGTCTAGTGTGACGCAAGTATCAAGAGTCAGTGTACGCATGACCTGTAAATGGATGGGCCTCTAAGAGAGTCCATCTCCATCTCTGTATAGAATACCTGTCACAGACAGCTTCCGAGACCTGTGTACAAACTCACCGTGAATGAACGAGCACTTGTCTTTCACGTCCATCACTGCCTTTATAACATTCGTCACGTGGTTTTTGACACTGCAATGAAACAAACGTACTTTAGAACGCCCATAATTCGAATCTGCAGAAGATGATTGAGCTATAGTTAAGGGGAAGGGGATTGTGGGACATGTGAGACTTGTTCAAGAAGTACCAAGAGATCACATTCTAAATACAAAAATAAGTGTTTCACGTTTAGGAAACATATATATTCTTGGCATATGCATAAGATGAAAAGAACAGTTATAAATTAGTTAGAATTCGTTATTACTGACAGTATTAGTTTTAGCAGTAGTAGTAGTTGCTGTTTCAGTGATGGCAGCAGCAGCAGTAGCAGCAGCAGCAGCAGCAGTAGTAGTAGTGAGGTGAGGTGAAATTGGGTTTTACGTCGTGCTTGAGAATATTTCGCTCATATGACAACGTGCATGCGTGTGTATGTGCGTGTACTAGCCCAGACTGGTTTTATAGTGCTAGCCCACTGAGATACCATGCCGCAGTGAAGCATGAATACCCCACTCAGACACATTATACTGACTCCGAGCCGACCAGTCCTTGTTGTACCCATTAATGCCGAGCGCCAGGCAGGGACCAACAAGTACCATATTTTAACGTCTTTTGGTATGACGCAGTCGGGGATCGAACCCGCGACCTTCCACTCTCCGGGCGGACGCTCTAACCACTACACCACGGAGGCGGTCTGTAGTAGTAGTAGTACTACTAGTAGTAGTAGTAGTAGTAGTAGTAGTAGTAGTAGTAGTAGTAGTAGTAGTAGTAGTAGTGGTAGCGGTAGTAATAGTAATAATTATAGGTGGTAGTAGTTTATAAGTGGTAATGGTTGTAGTCATGGTTGTAGTGATAGTCTGGCTGAGTTTGGTTTTACGCCGCTTTCAGCAATATTCCAGCAACATCACGGCGGGTGTAATGATAGTAGTGGTATCAGCAGCTGTAGTAGTAATAGTAGTAGTAGTGGTGGTGGTGGTTTTGCTAGTTGCATTTGTAGCTCAGTAATATCGACTTCGTTGCTTTAAGTAACAGTATCATTAGCCTCAAACGGACATACCTCATTACACTTGCAGCAATATTGGATATTGCCGATTTGGGGTTTTTGTCAAATGTTCTGAACGATCTGATGACCTTGTTGATGTCCTTGAAGATTTCCTTGGCTGCCGTTGGTATTACAACTGTAACAGCTTCCATCAGCGACTGAAAGGAGAGCAACATGGCGATAGTTTGATGTTGTATCTGTTTACTATCCAGACGTACTATCTTGTTCCACACACAAGACAGAACTTCAATATAAACACTCCTGTACTTGATGTTTTATGATTTCTAAGATGCCTAGCGGTTAGAACAATCGAAAAAAAAATACATTATCACACAATAAAGGTATAGTTTTTTGATGACGTAACAATTGAATGACGTTATCTCGTCACTGCGCCATTCTAGTGTGCCCCCTCGTAATCGAACCATTTTACATTACGTCACAATGTAAGCGACGTCACGATGCATGTCAGTTGTCATCGCCTTGTACGGCCTCCTACAGTAAACTACACCGTTGCATCCCATTTCTTGGTTTGCAGTTGCTTCACGCAGTTAACATCACTGGCGGAAACATTACGTTTATGTTTTACGACGGTTAAAATGTCTCATTTCGACTCACAAGTTTTCAGCGACACGGTAACGTTCGTAATATTTACATTCCCACAATGCAATTGTGGAATGTCGCTTGACTACTCAACTTCCTCTGGATGTACTGATCTAAACTTACGCTGGTAGTAGAAATGCAACGTTCATATTGCCCCATATGGTTTACGTTAATGACAGATGTAATTAAAATAGTTCAAAGAAGATATTGAATCCGAACGTAAACCGTCATCAAACTGTTATCATTTGTTTTTTTTCTGGTAACGTTCGTCTTAACGTAGGGGGCAGACACATCAATAGAACAGCGCGCCAGTTAGCCCTGTGCGAGGATTCTTAATTTAGGTCACCGACACCGTCGTTTGTTTTCTGCCTTAAATTAATCGTAATTATCTTTAGAAAGTATTAAATTTGGCATCTTGGAAAAGAAATACAGTTCGCCCTACCACCATGTATAGTGTAATAAAACACACTTTCGCCCTGAACTATTATAACGTTAAAGCACTCGGACGCAAGCGTCCTCGTGCTTTAACTATAATAGTTCAGGGCAAAAGTGTGTTTTATTACACTATACATGGTGGTAGAGCGAAGTGTATTTCTTAAATACACACTCTTATACTTGATGTATTATGATATACACACTCTTGTACTTGATGTATTATGATATACACACTCTTGTACTTGATGTATTATGATATACACACTCTTGTACTTGATGTATTATGATATACACACTCATGTACTTGATGTATTATGATATACACACTCTTGTACTTGATGTATTATGATATACACACTCTTGTACTTGATGTATTATGATATACACACTCTTGTACTTGATGTATTATGATATACACACTCTTATACTTGATGTATTATGATATACACACTCATGTACTTGATGTATTATGATATACACACTCATGTACTTTCTGACAAGTTCCAAACCGCCGTAGGCGTAGTGAGAAGTTGACTTTGGTTTAATCACTTTGAACAGCATCTCAGGTATACCAGTTAGGTTTGGCTAAAATCCGGAATCGTGATTCAAACAAGACACGTTTGACCACTACGGAGAGCCTAAAATTATCGGCATGGTACAGAAAAGCCTGGGGGAAGCTGGGACTTTAAACCCATGGTGCTGGTTTTCTCGCATCATGAGGGAGACAAATCTGCATAACGAAACTTCAATGGCACCAGCTGTGTCTCACACGACGACAACCTCGGTCTGGGTAGTATATCCAACATGACAAGCCTATCGCTTGTACCGGAGAGCGTGAGGTCTTTTCTTCTGAACATAGACCACTTATGACAGATATATTTGAGCACGTTGAGTATACCATTACGCACTGAATGCATTGCATTGATTTTTGCATATTCGAATGGCATTATGTCTTTGGAAATTGTTAGTCTAATTTAACATATGGGAACTACTACCAACTTGTAATACGTTCACGCTTAATACCTGGTGAATAGGACAAACCCGAGAACAGAACATCTATGATTCTCTTGTGTATGCGTTAGAAGGGAATATAAAGGAATTGCACTCACGTTGAAAAAGGTCATCACATCTCCCTGGGCGCTCCCTACGAGCGATGTAATCTTCAGCACCAAATTGCGCATTGGTCGAACAAAAGGTGGTAGGTCCTTTTCATCAATCTCCCCCAGTAGATTTATAGCCTTCCCAGCTTTGTCCATGATCGAGGCAAACTTCAGAAACAATCATACATTCACGTATATCCCATTGCATGACTGTAGCGATAGTTTGTGTCCAATGTTGTTTTTGCGAATAGCAACAAAGAGCTTAACGTATCTGTTTCATCACAACGATTCCACTACATAGGAATCTTTTATTTTCATGGAAGCTATTACAGTATTATGAACAGCAAGCGATGTTCTAAAAAATTTGTGAATTGACAAGGGACAAATTTATTTTGGGAATATATCATATATCATCAATTTCACGGTTGATATAAATATCATGCTGTTTTAATATTTCAAGATTTTGAAAACAATGTTTCTTTTGAAAATGTGGAAAATTACATGTGTCAGCTCATGATTGGTAAGAGTAAACGTTTCCTCGGCTTTCCTGTATATATGGTATGGCATTGTAGCAGGGATAAGCTGGCTTCGACATATTCAGCTACGAGATTGCATACTACCTCGTAATTCTTAAATTAACTGAAACTGAGATCAAATACCTAACCGAATTTCTGTCGGACAGAATAATTGATAGTGAGTTGTTACTTTGCCAGGAAGTTCTTCCAGTGCCGTCTTGAAATCTTCAAAGATATGATCTATATTCACATCTCCTTCCGTCAACGACTTGAACAGCTCGGTTCCAGAGCCGATGGCTTTGATGGCGTTGTCCTTAATGTTGAAGAAGAGGTCAAATAGTTTCTTCATGTCGCCCTTGGCGTTTTCCTGAAACACACAACATACAATAATGTCCTGCAACTTTTCCAGCTGTGCAAATACTGCAACAATGGGTTGGAAACGGCGGATACACACTAGATATGAATTTATCCAGGTAGATGTTCTATTTGGTACTGGATTCGAGAAATGTATTTGTCACTAACATTTCTTGAAGACACGATATGTTTCTAAAAAGAGCTATGCCAACTCGATGACCTTGGAGATTCCCATGTGAGGCTGAGGCCACAGAAAACAGGTGAATATTACTGAGAACATTCACAGTTTGTATCACAGATGAGGTATGACGTGATGCACTTTGTGATGCAGATGTTTATATGTTGTCTTAGTTCGATGTGGCGTGTTTATTCGTTTTACACACATTAAGGATATGTGGGTAACGGTATCCAGAAAAGTTCCTCAGAAATGACGTAACCATTTGCTTAACTTCTTTGAGAGGCATTTTAGAAGTTGTATAGATGAAGGAAAACCAAGTTCTATGGATAGTCAACTTCTTTATTGCAATGAGCGAGACGTTTCGGTGTAGGTCGCTTGCTTTATAACGGTGTTAGTACCTACACCGACACGTCGCACTCATTGCAATATAGAAGTTGACTATCCATAGAACTTGGTTTTCCTTCACCATTGGCTTAATTGTGGACGTTTGGTAGTTTAGATTCTTATAAATGGACATTTCGACAATAGTAATGTCATAGACTGGTTATGTAATCAGTCGGGCAGCGGCGACAACATTCCGAAATCAGCGATGTCGTTAAACCGACTACAGTTACAAGCACAACCTATCCTACCATCACCCAATCACGAAACAGCGAACCTTTATAGGACCTGACCTCATATTGCCGGGGTAGGTAATCAAAAGCGACAAAATCCCTCGCAATGTATTTATATGGTTTTAATGTTGCAAGTCGTTTAGTTGTTCATGGATGTTTATGGTTTTGTTTGTACCAAATGCACATCTTGAGAAGCATTTATTTCTTAATTATTCATTTTCACAAACTGATGACAAATGAACGCTCACCATGTACACCAAACGTACCTTCATCATATTCATGTCATAGGACGCGCCTCCCTTGAAACAGACGCGGCCAAAAAACAACTCCAGTGTTTTGCCCATGAAGCCCAGGTGCACCCGTGCATAGGCTTCGTCATGGATGTCCAGTCGGGCATGGCTGTTGAGCAGGGCTGACGAAGGCATATATTGGTATATTATGGATATTGCGAATTCGCTGTTTAAGAACTACGGTTGTAACTAAAATACTTTTAAGTAAGTCTCACACCACCGTGACATAAATGGAGAGTACCGTTAAACAGAACTCACAAGGTATCTGTTTACAAGCCAGTGGCCAATTACAACTGCTTCTCATATCTAATCAGACGTTATATCTGCTCTCTATCGCTGGTAGTTAACTATGATTCCAAGAATAATGGATCATTGGTACATAAGGTATCGTTGCCTCCAAATACTGGAGTGTCCAGGTCAGGGGCATTCACTGCATATTGATAGAAAGGTGCTCACAGAATTTCAGGTCTAGTTCATTTTTAATGATGAGACCAAATGCTGCCCCAATTTTGGTCGAGCCAATCATCTTTTGCCAGTCCACACTGGGGGATTTCAGGTTGTACTCCCACTTCTTGTTGACGAAGTCCTCCACTGACCGCTTGTCACGGTGGTGCATACTGAAGTCATGTATGCCCACGTCACGGGGGTCGGCGTAGAATATTGATCCATTAATTACCCTGGAAAATGAAACTTTTCAACGTTATGTGGGTACAATGTGTTGTTACATTTCATTCTAAGCAAGAAACGGCATCCTTGATGAACATCAACCCAATACAGAACAGGAACGCTACATGGAGTTATGATACATAGCTCTCACCGTATGCATGAAAACATCAGATCAACGCGTCATCTCTACATATTCACTCCTTACATGCCAAACGTTTAGCACAGTACTATGTTTAAGATAGATACTCTATATAACAAGGACTATTTTGAAGTACTTGACATGGCAGTGCAACAACAAAGTATGTCTTGGTACAGTGCGATAGAGAACAAACAATCAAACCTGGCATATTTTTTTATTTCTGTACCGAGTTTGTGTTGGATAATACCTACCCTTTCTCCATATACATGGGTGCTACGGCAACCGCCTTAGGGTGGGCCTGGTACTGCAGTAAGGCTTCGTACCGCACCTTCTCATCATCGTCATACAGTGCTGTCCGCAACATCAGGTCCGCAATCTGAAACAAAGGTCCACAATATCATACTAGCGGACTGCCGTATCAGGTCCGTAGTCTGAAACAAAGGTCCACGTCACCATGCTACAGTCTGCAGCATCAGCATTCAAACAAAGTCCACGTCAACATCTTACAGATCACTCTGCAGCATCAGATCAATGCCCTCAAACAAACTCCACGTCAATATCTTACAGATCACTCTGCAGCATCAGATCAATGCCCTCAAACAAACTCCACGTCAATATCTTACAGATCACTCTGCAGCATCAGATCAATGCCCTCAAACAAACTCCACGTCGATCAGCTTGCAGCATCAGATTAATGCCTTTAACCAAAATCCACGTCAACATCCTACATATCAATCTGTAGCATCTCGTTCGTCCCTTCAAACAAAGTCCACGTCAACATCCTACAGATCAATCTGCAGCATTAGGTCCGTAATATAAAACAAAGAATAGCTAGTTAATCCGCAAACAAAGAAAATGGTAAACGCATGTATGAAACTTTGCCTTTTCGTGATGGTATTTCCTCAAGGCGTGAATCCCTGCTCGCTTCACCCACTGTGAGTTGGTCGAGTTGATGTGTGACACTATATGTTCATATGATCGAGAGAGAGCAGCGTTCCCCAGCGCACCGAGGAGAACCACCCTGTAGTGGTCAACTAGCTGGAGATGTTCTTCCTTCATCACAGACCGCGCCTTTCTATAGACATAGGGATCTGTAACAGAACAAAGGTGAGAAAGATATCGAACCGAGGACAAAGTATAGTAAACATCCTTCCTGGTCCATTGCTTAATTCAAGAAGCAAGCACACTTTAAAATGAATGCATCATTTCAAAGTAGTAAAAAGCAGTGAATTAATCTTTGTGGATTATAAACTTCAGTGATAAAGAGCATGTCATGAAATATTTCTTATCATCGTCACATAGTGGGGTGTCTGCGGTGTGTGACAAGAATTATAGTGTGCCATCGTCGATGGGAAGATGATCGTTAATTGTGTTGCTAACCACTCGTATATATGGCCAAGAAATATATCTGATTGCAAAGTAAAACAACATTCACTCACTCACTCACTCACTCACTCACTCACTCACTAACCGCGTCCATTCCTATGACACCCTGACACCTACGAGCTGGAATAGAACTGTTTGTATTCACCACATCTACAGGATGCAAAGCCTCACCATGAAGTCCAAGCCATTTCTCCAGATTTTTGACAATATCTTCGCTTTCCTTTTTCCTTCCAGCATCCCACAGTCGCCTAGCAACCACTCCGGTTGCTAAGACGATCCGCTGGTGTGTATCCTTTTCCAGGAGTTCTAGAAACGACATCGGTGGATAGAAGCATAGTTGGGTCATCTTGTGAATGATCACCTGTGGACAAAAGAAGAACGTGAAGCTGGATACAAAGTGAAAGAAAGTCATATTTACACGTATATCCAGTTATTCACCCGTTTTTCACGGCACATGAGTATGGTTTCAGGTGAAATCACAGAAGGATGTATGAAATTGTGAGAATATTGCTAAAAGCTCAACTCACATACTCGCTCAGGGCCCCGTTTCTCAAAGCGATCGTAACGCAAAGATGATCGTAACTCCCATACTTTAACATAGGCTTACGACTGTCGTAGCGCTACGATTGCTTTGAGGAACGGGGCCCAGGACAAGTGTGTTCTCTACTATTTGTCTTAGGTTGCCAAAGGCTAACGACGGTTAGAAACAAAACAGCAGTTAGGCCTTAATACTTACATCTATGGGCGGAGTGTCCATGGAGACGATGTGAATAAGTAATCTCTTCAAGAGGTACTGATTAGGTCGTGTTTTGTTGAGTATGTGTGCAAAGAGTAGGTTTTGGGATAGGTCGTTCTCCAGCACTGCTATTGCATCGAACAGGAACTTCTGGTCCTTGTGTTCCCGTGTCCACCTGGACGTAAGAGTCATTTACCATTGAATCCTGGTTATCAAATTGTTCCCCTCTCGTACAGTTCATTTAGTGCAACAACGGACACCAATTCCACATTTGGAAACTAAAATCGAATTAATAACTAGTTCATGTTAAATGATATTATTTGAAAGATTAATGTCAATTCGGTTTAGTAATTAGTCTATTGAAAACACGATTCGTCTTAAAGTCTGGTTATTTATGAGATTTGGATATATATGGGAAAGACAGTATATTAGTAGCTTAAATTCCTTCCTGTCTGAATTTATGATCAGGGCTCAGCATATATTCCATCAAGAATGGCATAACTCGTTATCATCAAGTTCTAAAACTTGTTCATATTCTCTTTTCAAGTGTCATCTATCTATGGAACCATATCTAAGTGGTATTAACGTTAGTAAATTTCGCATTGCACTCGCACAGTTTCGCTGTGGTTCCCATCAATTAAATATTGAGACAGGTAGATACACAAATAAGCCCAGACATCACAGGTTATGTAACATGTGCGACAATTATAGAAAACGAGTATCATTTCCTTTTAGTGTGTACTGCATACAGTTCCTTGCGCTCTATATATATTCCTGCCAAGTTTTACACATACCCTTCTTTGTCAAATTACAATATATTGATGACCTCAAACAATACCTTTGTCATCAGAAATGTAGCAATGTTTGTTTATTATGCTTTAAAGCACCGCCAATCATATATGGCTGCATACATTTAATATTTGTATTATGGGCCGATGGCCTACATACACTCTGCGAATAAAGATTTTGAAATTTCGTGTATACGTGTTTTTACATCTCATTTCACTAGATTTCCCCATTTGCCACTGTTAACGTGGGATGATACTCAAATACATTTGTCTGTGCAATTTCTAGTTTATTGTAACGATCGTATTTCGACATTTGGTACACGTGGTCTCCTCTTGATTCCTTAAACATGCACATATATGCTTTTTACATGAATAATTATTTTTATAACGTACATAACTATAAAACTATATCATATGTATAAAGTGAATACGTTACGAACAATACAGAACGCAGTACAGCAGCTTACGTTGGTTTTCTCGTGAAGTATCGCTGCGCAATATCTGCCACCACCTTGTCTGGGAGAGCCTTCAGCGTTGACGCCAGACGGAAGAAGCACATGGACATCCGTTTGGAACCTTCACAACATGGGAACACTCCACTCAACTGCACAGTACCCATTACTTACTGGCACATTCTGTCATTTAAGATTGCAGAGGTGAGGTGAGGTGAAATTGGGTTTAACGTCGTATTTGAGAATATTTCGCTCATATGACGACGTGCATGCGTATGTATGGGTATGTGCGGCTGCTTGTACTAGCCCAGACTGAAGCTGGTTTTATAGTGCTAGCCCACTGAGATACCATGCCGCAATGAAGCATGAATACCCCACTCAGACACATTATACTGACTCCGAGCCGACCAGTCCTTGTTGTACCCATTAATGCCGAGCGCCAGGCAGGGACCAACAAGTACCATATTTTAACGTCTTTTGGTATGACGCGGTCGGGGATCGAACCCGCGACCTTCCGCTCTCCGGGCGGACGCTCTAACCACTACACCAAGGAGGCGGTCTAAGATTGCAGAAATCGTGTTGGACTCACATTAGCCTTTTTCAGGTTATCTCGCCGGTTTTGAAAACATGTGGCTTTCGCTTCTAACTTATTAAGTTTAGCCAGCAGGTGGAATGAATTCGACATACATGAAGTCGTGTTCTGGGAGACACTGCAGACTCACTATCTATCAACGTCATTACAGCGCAACGTCGTTTCTGTATAAACTAACAATATGCAAACCGTGACTATCAATAAGCATATCATCATGACTTCCACGTATTTTCAAAGAACTTCTAAAAGTTTTAAAACTGAGGTCACAAGGTTCAAGGACTTTTGTCATATTGTAAATATTCTACGATTGATTTTCTGTCGACCACATACCCTGTTCCGGTTCCTCCCTCATGCACGTCAGGTTCCTCTCCAGGTACCCCAGATACTCCGCAACATTCACGGGCTTCTTCTTCTGCTTCACCTTCATAACATCAACCACAAGACAGCGTATATGTCATGAATGATAACAAGCCATGCCAGATATGCGTGTTTCAAACTATTCCTGAAATCATGGTCATGTCGGGCGTCCTAATGACCTCTCACTTAGTGTCAAATTTTGGCTTACAACTTCAACAAATGTTTACGTCTTGACGTAACAGTAAACATACTCACATTTCCAAGATGGATGGATGATTTTCCGATTCGCCTTGGTCCTTTTACTGGAGCATCATGAACTTTGTGCTTTGTAAGAAACTCCAGCTTTCCCAAGGCTAAGGCTGACATTTCAGGAAATTCTGAGAAGAACATTAAAGTTGAAATGACTGACATTTTATAAACTGTTTGTCTTTGACAGTATATGTCCTGATGAATGCACTTTAAAAATCATAGAAATGGGAAAAGGTCGCACCGACAAATATATGTTACTACGAAATGTTATTTCGGCAACTGAACGTTAGAAATATACTCAAGCAACTCATCTAGATGAGTATCGTTTGATAAAAGTGGCATTACCCATGTCCTGTAGCTGGTTGACAGGCTTCACAGGTCGCCCTGTACTATGAGGATCAAAACTGAAATATGAATATTGTTAATTGAGCATGAATTCACATCAGACAAATTACTAGACATGGTTTGAATGACTTCTACACGACAAATAATATCCCTAAACCAGTAAATTGTGTCCTAGAGCGAAAACAGCATCCACTGATCTAGATTTAGGCCAACTGTAATTCGTAGAATCTCATCCCCCGTCACGTTGACATACAGCGTTCTAACTGAGATATTGTTCAAGACGTTAATAACGTCACCCATTCACTCCACTGCAAGATTCAAAATGAGCTATATTGTGCGAACTGTAAGTTGATAATAACTACAGTGATGAAGCTGGTATGTCACTAGCGTCTGGCATATCGAAAAGCTTTCTTACCCATCTACCCGTAAAAAGAATCCGGGTTACAAGATTCAGTAACCCACAGTTGACATATGTCATCGTATCCCAATTGCGTAGATCGATGCTCATGCTGTTGAACACTGGATTGTCTGGTCCAGACTCAATTATTTACAGACCACCGCCATATAGCTGGAATATTGCTGAGTGTGGTGTTAAACAACAACAAACCAAATTGAATCTTACCCATCTGCAACCTTGTGGATGGTCTGGAACGTCTCGTCGATGACGACTGTGTGCACGGTTCCGAGTTCACGGTTGTAATACAGAGTCTAGAGACGAACAATTAAACTTCAGAAGGATCGTATCATTGCTCGTGGCATGGTAACAATGAAACATATTTCTACAGTGACATCAACCCTCAAAGTCGGCTACAATTTAGTCTGGTATACTGTGGGTGGTGAATCGGTTAAAATAGATTGAATTACATTGTCCAGAGTCAGGCGTTTAGAGAACTTCATTTCTAAAGGATACTAAAATTAATGTTTAAAGGTAATCTGCAGAAACTCACCTTTGTGTAGTTAGAGGTGGCGTGCTCCACTGGATGGTCATCCGGGTGTCTGGTCTTCGTGAACACGTGACCTTCGACACTTGGTTGAACAGTGTAGGTGGCGTTGTGGAGGCCTACAGCAGGGAACAGTGTTAACACCAGTACACCACTATGTCCTAATGTCTGAGTGACTTGGTTAATTGCTCTTATGCCAGTGCTGGGCTATGCTACAGCCTCATCAACATGGCTGTTTTTGTAACAGGCCTTCTCCTGAATGTAAGCACCCCACACACCGACCGTATGGGACTTTAAGACAATGTGTGTTGCCAACAAAGGAGCAAGGCACCCTTTTCTGGTCCGATGGGTTCGCCATTCCGATATGTAATTTATTATAGATTAAGTATTTAAGATGGTCAATTGCTTAACGATATAGATAGAATCAAACCCGCCAAGATCAACAACTCCAGTACACCCCCCCCCCCCCCCCCCCCCCTTGTCTCATTACGTGTATGTCCTGTAATTTTTTTTTAAAAGAGCAACTTGTCACCTTCATGTCCAGATTCAAGGACGTGGTAACGCCATCCTTCTGGCAGTCTCTCCGTAGGCACCTGTAACACAGACATAGCAATGCCATCAGTAGGTTTTGTAGTCTAGAATCAAAGCCACGTTGAACGGACGTAGTTAATTCCTTCAGTCGGAACATATGCCCTGCGGCAAAGCATAAATGTAAAATGTCCAAGGGAATATTAAGCTCAACCGGTTAGTGTTATAATATTTGCCGATATAAATTAATTATTTTTCGAAACCAACTGATGTGAAAACTATCCTTTATCACCACCATAAAAGTGAACTTCCTTATGTGTAAAATCTCATTATGAGCTAAGCAGCAGTCTAATACCAGAAATCCCGTCTATTTAGGTGACAAAAGCTGACGATGGTACAAACTACCCATACATCTGATTCATGGTGAAGCCTGGAAGCGAACATTGCCGAGAATCCTTTCTTCATAGCAACTGCCTCTTCATCGTCATCAGGAGGATGATACACGTGGGTTATCTCCCCTTTTCGAGTTATCACAAATGAGAACCTGCAAACAATATTTGTGGTATATTTGAGAAGGAGTTCGTGCCTTTCTGTAAGATTCCATTGATACATTACCTAACCCATGTAGGTACGTGCTATACACCTCCAGTTGCCTTCAGTGGCTTACAAGTACATATTAGTTGAAATGCCCTGCCACGCTATGTACATGGGTACAACTCATGCATACATTAAAATACCAGTAGTATGTGCACAAGTACGGAAATAGATATACGAAGTTGGTCAGATATGTATTTTTGCAGTTAGTACACATAATTGAAAGACTAACACCAACGGACAAAGCAGGTCAAGAATGCGGGAATGACTGTACAGTATAACAGAATACTGTGATATAGTAATTACTTACCACTTTGAAAAATCCCACTGATGACTGATAGTATCTGTATATAAAACATTTTATTGCTCAGTTTTATATAAAGCAATCTATATGTTAGAAATATACAATATATGAAACAGAAAGTGTAAGTACTATGTTTAGTTTGCATCAATTACGATGTGGATGTCAGGAGAAAGTCCGTTTCGGAATTCAAAAGAACCTTTGTTTTTCCATGTAATATTTTTCCTAATGTCTCATCTAATTAGCTGATAAAGTTGATAAATTATGTCCTGATAACACACTTTATGAAAATAGCAACCAGTCAGATCATTCGATGAGATAAACACTTCATTTCAAAAAGAAACAAAATTAATAAGAGTAAATATCCTCCATTACTTGATTCCGTTAGGTGTGTGTTTCTTTATCTGAAGAGGTGGGTATATAAATAGAAGCCTTTTAACGTCTGGATGAAACATCTGCTAAACTGTATTACCGCATTGACAACAGAAACTTTAAAGAAATAACGCACCAGCATATTGGCCGTTGCTTATGCCCAGAGCGTATACTCGGAGGTAGATTTCTTGCCCTTCGACACTGTCTCCAACGTTGATATAGCCCACCTGAAATATGTATCCACATATTACAACAGTTATAATTTCAGTTGTGTGGTTCCTCAGTTATTGATCCCATGCTCAACACGGACATCCATGGAATGTGTTCTGTGACATGTATATAGGGAACATGGAGCATTAAAGTAAATTATATACAAAACGATCGATCTGTAATTATTTACGTGCTTGGCGATGGCTTTCAACTACTGGAAAGAAGCACTGTTAAGTACATATCTCGTGTTATCATGTATATACGTCGTATTAAACCCTATAGACCATCAATTAATAAAATAGATAACGTATAAACCACACAGTGATGGACATGGACGGTTAAGTCCGCAGAGTGGCTGCCATACGTTTTGAAGACTTTTTTTTTCTGAGCACAGAATCGTTTCACTGAATGTTTTTTTATTTATTTATTTATTTTTTAATTTGTTCCCATGGTTACAAAGTCAATAAGAAGGGCATATGGTAGCAACAAGCACAGAAAAGGTGAAGACACATTGCTGTAGAGATGTAATAATAATTAGTTGCTGAATATTGGGATGAGCGAATTCCATTTAAGATTTCATTGTTTCTCTTTGAAATAATTTTTTCTACAGAAAATACCTCTTTTAATACCTTTTCATAATTACTGAATTTTGGAGTTGATGTTTTTTATATTACATAAATTGATATTTTTTTTGGCAGAGATAATGATTTGATTTCGTTTTGAAGACTTGCGTCAGAGATTATCCTGATCACGTATCACTGTTCTATGCATACTCCCATGTCATAGAAGAGCACTACACCACTTCTCCTACGTGGTAATAGACCAAGACCTGCACCACTCTTTCCTCCGATATTAACCTGATACATCGTGAAATCCGACTTATTGTATGTACGCGTAGTCGATGTGAGAGTGAGTTGTTTTATGACTACAATGTCAGACTATGTGTAGACACATTTACACTGGAAACGACGGAAGAGCTACGTAGTCAATGTCCTTATATACCACGTGTTCAACGTCCAAAATTAAATTCATCTGCGACTTCAAATGATAAATGATAATACATTAATCATCCCAGTGACAACTCGTGTTCGTTGTGAAACACAAGTTGTGGCTAGTCTGGATGAAACATTTATTGTATTAATCACCGCATTTGACAACAGGAACTTTAAAGAAATAACTCACCAGCATCAATTTGTACAAAAAAGATAATCTGAGGCTTAAGAAAGTGTATTCTTACCAGTCTCCAGCAAATAAGGGTTTGAGTTGTTGGGCATCAAAGGTTAAAACAGTATTGTCTGATTATGGATTCGGTGAAGTGTGGAGAAATCAGGATGTTGGTATAATAAATCGGTTCATATCATCTTTCAAGCAGAGGTGTATAGATATAGATAAGCAATGCTTGTTTGAAGGTCTCCATAAGTATAATAAACTAACTTTGTACCGTTCTATAAAACACGTGGCAAACTTTAAAATTTATCTGTCGTGTATACCTGTGATAGTTTATCCTATTGCCCTTTCATCTCTCCGCTGATCTAGTCATAAGTTATTAATCGAAGAAGGTAGGAAAATAGGTTTCAATAGAGAAAACATGTTATGTCCTTTGTGTGTAGTTAGGAACATAGAATCAGACTATCCCTTTTGTTTAGTATGTCCATGTTATGATGGTCTTAGACGCTCTGTCATTCCTGCATATTACTATACATTTCCTTCACAAATAAAGTTTCAAGAATTGATTGCACCTAAAAATATCCATGTATTTTCACTGCTGTCAAAGTATTAAAATCACGGTTTCTCCAGTCCCATGTACAATATATATTTCAGGCGTTTCATTATGTTATACGCTGTATCTTGTATCTGTATTATGGGCCAGTGGCCTCTATACTGTCAATAAACTCAACAGCCATGAATGTTTTCTATAATTCAGATGAAAATGTTTTTGAGTGCATGAATCGTGAATACTATTCCAAAACAGGACAGTTGTGAAAAGCTGTGGATTAATTCAGGATGATACATATATGGGCAAAAGTCACTGAGACATCACTGTAGACGATCATGTGAGTGTGGCGTATAAACTGCCCCTAACTAAACGTAAATGGGTGTACAATATGTGTCCATGTCACTATGCCTTGTCTTTATAGCATGTCCATATAACGGTGTCCCAAGCATGTCACTACACCAGTTCCATTTCTCAGACATTCCAAGAAGACCAGCAGTTGTGTGAAGATCACCTTTCACCCTATCTATTCAGTGTGGACCTAGTTTTGTATCGTGACCACTTTTGCTTCGAAATGAAGATCACCCATTACTGTCTCTATTTTCAACCAGTGCCTCTATATCATATAACCATTGCATTTGTCCTGCCATTCTTTATGCACTGTTGTTGTATATATTTCCATAGTGACTTGTAAACATTAATTAACATTGTTAATTGTATCAGAATACTCTGTCGTATCTTGATTTCACGTCGAGTTTAACTTACAGACAGATTTGCTGTTAACTTATTTATTTCAACTCGTGAATCAGCACGTACTGCACATGGTGATTTGCATGCAATACGAATACAGCAAAAAATATTACATGCATCCATCAAAACAAATATTTCACATACTCACAGCTGCTTCTCATGTCGACGTCGTTACCGATACTGCTCTATGCTTCAACCACACATTTATCCTTCAGGATTCACAACCGTAATTGTTCTAAAACACTGTGATGTACGTTTCTAAATATACAAACATCACTGAGTAGGAAACTCTCTCAGGCGCCTCATGTCGTCCGGCAAAGTAACGGCCATGGACACGTCCACAACTTAGATTCAGCTGACACGACAAGATACAACTGGAATACCGGAGTTAAACTCAACTCACTCACCCACTCACTCACTCACTCACTCACTAACTAACTGTCAGAGTGAAACCTACCTTCCCTGACACGTGGAAGTCTCCAGCTCTGTCAACTCACTCACCCGCTCACCCACTCACTCACTCACTAACTGTCAGAGTGAAACCTACCTTCCCTGACACGTGGAAGTCTCCAGCTCTGTCAACTCACTCACCCACTCACTCACTCACTCACTAACTTTCAGAGTGAAACCTACCTTCCCTGACACGTGGAAGTCTCCAACTCTGTCAACTCACTCACCCACTCACTCACTAACTGTCAGAGTGAAACCTACCTTCCCTGACACGTGGAAGTCTCCAACTCTGTCAACTCACTCACCCACTCACCCACTCACTCACTCACTAACTGTCAGAGTGAAACCTACCTTCCCTGACACGTGGAAGTCTCCAGCTCTGTCAACTCACTCACCCACCACTCACTCACTAACTTTCAGAGTGAAACCTACCTTCCCTGACACGTGGAAGTCTCCAACTCTGTCAACTCACTCACCCACTCACTCCCTCACTCACTCACTAACTTTCAGAGTGAAACCTACCTTCCCTGACACGTGGAAGTCTCCAACTCTGTCAACTCACTTACCCACTCACTCACTCACTCACTAACTTTCAGAGTGAAACCTACCTTCCCTGACACGTGGAAGTCTCCAACTCTGTTCAGTTGTGTCTTTGAGTTGAATTTGTATTGATACTCATAACCCGGATCAAAGTTGATGAAGTTGCAAAATGATGACGCCAACAACGTCGCAATGAGCAAACACCGCCCTGGGGACGTGAGGACCCCCATGGTGGCGTGAACTGGTGACATGGACGTGCTCTGCACCATCGCAACTGACGTACCTGGCTAACCATGGCTTATATAGCCACAGTTCCTTCTGTAACTGATACACCTTGATCATTGATGATATCACGGTAAGTATAACCAGGAGTATAGGTCACACATTGGTGCGTGTAATGGAATGAGATCTTGTAGAAGATACGGTCATATGCCTATGGTGCGGTGGGGTAGCCTTGAATTTAAAGAATTCACTTGTCACGCCTAAGACCAGGGTTCGATCCCTCACATGGATACACTGTGTAATGCCCATTTCGTTTGCCCCCCGCGATATTGCTGAAATATTCCTAAAAGCAGCGCAAAACTAAAACTCTGAAATATAACAATCTCGTTATCCTGATCCTACCGGGTACCCAGTTTACTACTGGACAACGTATACAGGATGACAACGAACTGGAAAACACTTGAAGGTGTCTGCACCGCACTATATTACACTGTATACACCACTGCTGAGCTGAATGCTATGTTCCCCATTCTGCCGGAGACGGTGGGTGTTGAAACTGCATTTTGTATTATTAAAAACTGTTACTGTATTTGTAGTTACGTTACAAACTCTACACGGATCGTTCAACAGACACATAAAATAAATCCTACAATTGTATTTGTGCCGTACCCATGCAGATACGTGTTAGAACTGATCTTCAATAACCCATGCTTGTCGTAAAAGGCGACTAAAGGGATCGGGTGGTCAGACTCGCTGACTTGGTTGACTTATGTCATCACTGGATTGTATGGTCCAGACTATATTAGGCCTAAACAAACTATTGGTTCCAAGTGTTACGAACGCCCCACAGTTATATACAAACTACAAATTTGATCTTGAAAGAAACAATCCCTACAACCTCACTGGGTTCTTACAGTGGACAAACGTATTCTGAAATAGCCTGCAAAAGATCAGCTTTGTCCACGTACCTTCAATTAAACACGTTAACGTTGAGTTTGAAGTGTTATAGTGTTACCAACTGCGTCTATTACACTGCTGTACACGCTTATTAACATATCGTACCACCATAATCAGCAAGATAGATCACTATCCTATGTACATAAGGAGCGGTGAAATGACTCCCAGTGTCTCAGATATCTCTGCAGTCATGAATCACAGAATGATATGTTGAAAGAACATATTTCTTTCATGTTTAAAACAGTAAATCACGCAAAAACATTAAAGTCAGTTCATATGTTTAGATAAGCCAAGATCGTTGGGACCCAGTCCATGCTGATAAATACAGTATAGTGCTTATCCGACAAACATTCATATAATGCATGGTGACTGGATAATTAATTGCATTAAACTATCAGATTTCAATATCACCTGTATCTCAGTGCTGATAAACAGTTCAAACGAAACCCGATATCCATACAGATGAAACAGAATTACACATAGACTGGACAATGTGTAGGTGCTTAAACATTGTACAGAAATCAAATAGCATAGAAAGAAGGCAACGGGTCTCTTTGTCCGCAGTAAGGTAATATTTATCAATGTTGATAAGGTCTGTAAAATATAAGGTTTAGCTCAAATCGTATTGGTGATTTAGGTACATGAATATTTGTGTACTACAGGAGTGCACGTTGCTCGAATGGCAATATGTACAACACACGTGATGTGTGGGACGCGGATGCTTGTTGAAAATGGACCTAATGCTTTAAGGGAGACAACTGCGCTAACCCTAGTATCCCTAGTTTTTGTGGCTGTACCAACAGACGGGCCCTGCTCAGTGTACGTACACTGCAAGCTGTATGCACAAACCTCCTTAAGTCCTGCAATTCAGTACGCTTCACTACAGTACGCTAATCTGACCTTAAACAACGTCACGCCGTATTTAGTGACGTTCCAGCAATATGATAGCAATGGACACAAGATCAGAAATGGACTTCACACAATATACACGTAGAGAATCGAACTGAAACACTTCAATCCCCAGGCTAACCTCCTCTTACATCCAGAGTAATTTAGTAACCGTGTTATATATATACCACAAATCATTTGGTAAAGGGGGAAACCCAAGTAATACTGAGAGGTTTTACAAGTTACACACGTTGGCCTCAAGCCAATGGCGGGGCGGTGGGGTAGTCTAATGGTTAAAGCGTTGGCTCGTCACGCCGAAGACGCGGGTTCGAATCCCCACATGGGTACAATGTGTGAAGCCCATTTCTGGTGTCCCCCGCCGTGATGTTGCTGGAATATTGCTAAAAGCGGCGTAAAACCAAACTCAGTCAGTCAGTCAGTCAAGCCAATGGCACTTGTATGTGAACATACTTAATTCACACGCCACATGTTTCGTTTTTCTATTGTTTTTTGTGTGTATATTTAGTAAAGGAATATAAGAATCTATGTATTGTCTAGTCTTTGCAATATTTGAAAAAGGGTGAAATATGCGACAAAATAATGCAAAAGTAATAAGGAGGAATTTGTGAATAAACGCATCTGGTGGAGATGCAATCAAACATACAGTATACTACCGTTATAACGCAAAGTTACGACTAGTTTTAGTTTGTTGAAACCTTTCGACAGTAAGTTGCCGGAAAGAGAAAAAAGGTAAGTATGTGTGTGAGTGGATGCAGGCGTGCGTGAGTGCGCGCACATGTTAACAATGATGTTGATGCATGTCACATGTCCAACAATTTGTACCAGGCCCAGTTGGCGCGTCATGCACACACACGTGCAACCAGCCGTGCAAACAAGAGCATGCTACTCGTCCAGTCATAAGTCGTGCGATTCTATCTTCTGAATATTTTAATGCCCTTCAATATGGATACCATCACATGTGGTTTGCCTCTCGTACAAAAGTCCTTGCTCAGCCTCCCGTAGTCTGTCAAGGGCCGCTCGTAGTAAGATTTAGTTCTTGACAACTTGTTATTGATGGTAAAGGTTAAAACTCATCAATCTAGAATATCTTGTGTTAGCCATGCATATTGAAATAAACCAGGTTTCATTACTCAACGAAACAAAAGTATCACAATGTCTACTCATATGTAGTAGATTTCACTGTTATGGATATACTGAGTAGATTGTAATGGAGATTTTAATATCGTGGTACGATCTCTGATCACAAACTAGCATGTCATACATTACACATTTACTGCTGACAGCAACGATTGTGTGAATCTCATTGCCTGTGGCATTCTGAAAGTATAGTATTGGAAATATACGCAAAGTACCATAACGATCTAATTCCACAGCTGGTAAAGGAACACATATGTTAAATACAGAACAATCCTGTTTTCTCAAAAACGCTAAACAAATTCAAGTTATTCAGGAAATCTTGATAACCTTCGAATCTGTCTGTACCCGATAATGTGTCCGTTCACTGACGTTGACTGATATGAAAACATCACTATATACATTAGATTTACACCTGCTCGACTCTTATTTCTATAACAACACTAGTTGTATTGCATAGACATCGTTATGACAGGTGGGACAATGAGAGAAATGAAAGGCCGTTTATGTTGTGTTTAAATTGGACAGCAATCAGATAATCACAGCTTAAAAGCTTGCACAATCTACAGACAGCTCCACGAAGGACAATCCGTTTTTCTGAACACATCCGTTAGCATGTATCGAATACGGAGAATCATTGCAAGGGTGCGTCTCCTTCGGTATGTTGATATTATGTTATATCTTGATAATAACTCAACTGACTGACTGACTGAGTTTTGGTTTTACGCCGCTTTTAGCAATATTCCAGCAACATCACGGCGGGGGACACCAGAAATGGGCTTCACACATTGTACCCATGTGGGGGTTCGAACCCGCGTCTTCGGCGTGACGAGCCAACGCTTTAACCACTAGGCTACCCCACCGCCCCAATAACTCAACAGAGTCCGTGCGTCCATACTTAAAAACCACCAATACTATGTACAGACAGATGGGTGTTCAGTGTCAGGGTGCTCTCTTTAGAATAGCTGTAACACCCCCAGATGTTCAGATTTGCGAACTGGGAACATGAGTGAGTGAGTGGTTGGGTGGAGGTGTTAGTAGATGAATGGGGATATGTGTGAGTGAGTGGTTGGGTGGAGGTGTTAGTAGATGGATGGGAATATGAGTGAGTAAGTGTTTGGGCGGAGGTGTTAGTAGATGGATGGGAATATGAGTGAGTGAGTGGTTGAGTGGAGGTGTTAGTAGATGGATGGGAATATGAGTGAGTGAGTGGTTGGGTCGAGGTGTTAGCAAATGAATGGGAATATGAGTGAGTGAGTGGTTGGCTGAAGGTGTTAGTAGATGGATGGGAACATGAGTGAGTGGATGGATGGATGGAGGTGTTAGTAAATGGATAGGAATATGAGTGAGTGGATGGTTGGCTGGAGGTGTTAGTAGATGGATGGGACTTTGAGTGAGTGAGTGGTTGGGTGGAGGTGTGTTTGACAAAGTGGATGGGTGTGAGTGAGTGAGTGGATGGATGGGTGGAGGTGTGAGTAGATGGATGGGAATATTTGTGAGTGAGTGGTTGGGTGGAGGTGTGTTTGACAAAGTGGATGGGTGTGAGTGAGTGAGTGAGTGGATGGATGGAGGTGTGTTTGACAAAGTGGATGGGTGTGAGTGAGTGAGTGGATGGATGAGAATATGAGTGAGTGAGTGGCTGGACGGAGGTGTGTTTCTTTTAGCGGACGGGTGTGAGTGAGTGATTGGATGGATGGGTGGAGGTGTAAGAGTAAGTGGATGGGAATAAGTGTGAGTGAGTAAGTGGTTGGGTGGAAGCGTTAGTAGATGATTGGGAAAAAAAGTGAGTGAGTGGTTGGGTGGAGGTGTTAGTAGATGGATAGGAATATGAGTGAGTGAATGGTTGACTGGAGGTGTTAGAAGATGGATGGGAACATGAGTGAGTGGTTGGGTTGAGCTGTTAGTAGAGGGATGGGAATATGAGTGAGTGAGTGGTTAGGTGGAGGTGTTAGTAGACGGATGGGTGTGAGTGAGTGAGTGGATGGATGGGTGGGTGAGGGTGTTAGTAGATGGATGGGTGTGAGTGAGTGAGTGGTTGGCTGGAGGT